CGTGGGCAACTTACTTACCGTCTCTGTGCCCCTTTTCTGGTCTGGAAGAGGAAGCTCCTGGCCGTGTGTCTCCCCAGGACTGTGGTGGAGGGCCGGGTGTCCGCTCGTGGGCGGTCCCAGGACGGCGCCCGGGGTCGGCTCCTCGCCCGCAGCCTCTGTCTGAGGCACAGTGTGATGGGCTCACACGAACGGCGCCAGGAGAGACGTTGCAATGAAGCCATCCCCCAGGCCCGGTCACCCAGGCAGCCCCCCACCCTTTCCCACCGGGGTGTGTGTGTGTGTGTGTGTGTGTGTGTTTAGCAAACGCTGTGGCTAAGACAGAATTCCTGCCCCAATGACACACACATTTTATGCACACACTCGATGGCTTCCGGCGTATTCGCCACGTTCAATGATAAAATGTTTTCATCACCCTGAAGAGAAGCCCACTGCCCTGGGCTGGCACCCTCGGTCTCCCCTCCCCCAGCCACTGAAACGCCTGCTGTCCCTGTGGCTTTGCCTCTTCCGGACATCTTCTGTGACTAGAATGACACGTCATGGGGCCTCCGGGTCTGGCTCCCGTCACTCGGCATGGCGTGTTCGAGGTGGGTCCAGTCCCAGCGAGTATCGGTTCTTCGACCCTTTTCATGGCTCAGTAATATTCCACGGCACGAATAAGCACCGTTTTGCTTTTTTGTTCACAGACATTTGCGTTGCTTCCACCTTTTGGCTGCCACATGGGACGCGGGTGTGAGTGTGCAAGTTCAAGGTTTGTGTGGACGTGTGTTTCCACTTCTCCTGGGGGGACAGCCAGGGGCGGAATCGCTGATCTATGGAAATTCTGTTTCCCCTTCGGAGGACCCGGTGGATTGCTTTCCGATGGGTCCGCACCGTCCGACCGCCGATTTCTCCGCGTCCGCCCCAGCGCTCTGCTTTCCCTGTGTCTTCGGGGACAGCGGCCGCGGGAGTGAGGCGGGCCCTGTGCGGCCAAGGCCGGGTCGGCTTCCTGCTCCCTCAGGTTAGAGGTTACAAACGTCTTTTGTTGCCCGTTTGTGCACCTTCTCTGGAGAACTGTCTATTCAGATTCTTCGCCCACTGATAAAAACTGAGCGATCTGTCTTTTTACGATTGAGTTGTAAGAGTTCATCGTCCATTCACACGAAGAAGTCATATTCATGGATAGAGAGAAATCTTACCAGAGACACAGAGTGCAAAATTCTTCTCCCACACTGGGGTCGTCTTGTTGCTTTTGTGGTTTTCTGAAACACCCGAGAAGTCTCTCAACTTCTGTCCCGCCGTGAGGCAGCATTCCAACTTTGTGCTTTTGCACGTGGGTTCCCATGTTTTTCACTTGTTTAATGATCTACTTCCATCACTATACTTGTATGTTGTGGCCTCACCTACGTAATAATACCCCGAGTTTGAGGAGCGTGTCACTTGAAAGAGATCCACGACCACCATCAGACTGTTGTACAGTTCACATGCATCCGCCGGGCGGTCTCGTGCACATTCCCCTGGGAGACACTGGTTCCCGCGCTCACTGGGAGGAGGGAGCACACAGTGGTGGCGGATCTGATTGGAGGAGGGACTGTGAAAGGCCTCTGGAGAAGCGATGCTTGGCCTGGCCCCTGCACCTCCCCTAGGTGTCAGCTTTAGGGGGGGGGGGTGGAGCCTGGCAGCATTTTCCAGGCAAGGAAACAGCACGTGCAAAGGTCCAGAGTCAAGCAATATTGGAACCGGGAGAGAGAGATACACAGGGGCCCGAAAGGTCAGGACCCTGCACAAATCCCACTCACCCGCACACAGGCAGCGCCCCCTAGAGCCCCTGCAAAAATCAGGAAGGGAAGGAAGCTCCCCCCCCCCCCACCGCTGACTGGGTTCTGTTTCTCTGCCGTCTGGTGGGGCTCCCCCCACACCGTGGGGGCTCCTCCTGGCAGCCCTGCCCAGCAGGGCGGTGCTCATCCCGGGTCCTGCCAGGGAGGGTGGGGAAGCTGAGGCAGCCTCCAGGAGATGAGGCTGGTGGGAGGTCCAGGAGGGACGCCTGGGTCGGGTCACGAGTGGCCGACAGCATGGCCTTGGGCAGCCTCTCCCCACCTGTACACCCCTGCTTCTCGGGTGCAGGGGGGCTTCCGCACACTTTTAACAACCGAGGGCAGCGTTCCCGCGGAGGTCGGGACGGCCGGCTTTCCTTCACGTAACTGGTGTCTGAAAATGCCTCGCCCTGGGGCCGGAGGCAGGGAGACACTCCTGCTTCCCCACGGAGTGGCTGGCTGCGTCCCTCTCGGCCAGCTCCCTGGGGTAGTGATGGGGAATCAAGAAGAGGAAAAAAACCCTAAAACCTTCCAAGGTCAGATACACTTTGCAAACAAAGCTTTGTCAGACGGAGTCAGACAGGTTCCGCCCTGTGGGGTGTCAGCCTTTCGCGTGCTGGTGAGGCCATGTTTGTTGCGGGGGTCGGGGGCGGGAGTGCAGGCACTGGGGAGCAGCGTACCTGCCAGCTGCTGGGCTAAGCGCGGGACCCTTCTCTGCCACAGATCCCCCCTGGGGTCCCCAGGAAGGAGCGCCCCAGTGCCAGCAGGTGCCTGCCTGTCCCCTCTGTGCCCTTCCCAGGGCTGGGCACAGAGGCCCGCAGTACAGGAAATGGGGCAAAAGGAGGGTTACAACGGCTCACATGCAAAACTAGTGACAATAATTAGTAAGTGGCACTACAGGGATGAGCTGCATGCGTGTCTTGTGCACCCGCAGCCAGGGAACCGCTTTTGCCTCTGCACGTGTGACCGGAGTCAGAGCTCCAGGGAAACGGGGGCCTGGCTTTGCCACGTGTCCCTGCTTCACTCCGTCTCAGGGGTCACGCTGCGACAGGGTGGGCTGGGGCTGGAAGGGAAGCTGGGTCCATCACTGGACCTGGGACTTGAGCGCTTTTCTCAGCCCTCGGGTTGTCCTCCTTCTGGAAGGTTCTCCCCTCCTCACCTGAGTAACACTTGGTCCTCCTTCAGGTCTTGGCTTGAAGCTACTCTTCCGGGTGCCGCCTGCTCACATGTGACAGTCAGGCCCCCGGTTCCGGCTCCTCCCAATAACGTCGGCATTCATTAGTGATCTGCTTGATTGCTGCTGTTAAGTTGAGAGTCTTTAGTAATCTTTAGGTTTTTGGTGAGTAGAAAATTGGGTAGATTGCAGAGAAAGTCCCCGATGCCCTTGCTCCTCCTGCATGGCCTCCTCTGGTTAACCTCCGGCGTTAGTTGGTGCAGTTGTGACGGCGGATGAACCCACGCAGATACATTATTAACGGGCTTTCCTCTCGGTGTTGTAGTTCTGTGGGTTTGGCCACATGTCTGATGTCATGTATCCATCATGAGGGTGTCATACGGAACCGCTCCACCTGCTCATCCGCCGACCCCCCCACTGATTCTTGAGGTATCTCCCTGCTGCACCCCACACTTCATCAGAGTAGAGACCCCATCTGCTTTATACCCACTGTCCCCGCTCGGAGCCTGGCGCGTGACAGGTGCCCTAGAATTGTTTTTCTTTGCATAATTTAATAAAACGGGATTCTGTTAAACATGTTCTGCAATTTGCTTTTTACTAATATTGAAATATATCTTGGACACGTTCCCGTGTCAGAATATAGAGCCTTGTCTGTCTTTAACTTGTTACTGTGGAAGAGTTCCAACATGCCCACGGAAGTAGGAAATGCCACGGGGAGCCCGGCCATTACCAACTCGCGGCTGTCCCGCCCCTGCCCGGGTTCGCCCTTTCTGCCGTTCTGAAGCAAACCCCCGACAGCGGTATTCGCCCGCCCATGTTTCGATGGGAATCTCTAAAACCACAACCTCAGGACCATCGTCGCACCAACGCACGTTCGTTTAGTTCAAGTGCAGTCAGTTCAAATTTCCAGCAGCCTCAGGAAGACACGCTCTGTTCGTTTGAGTTTGGAGGCTGCGTGGATGAAGGTCCAGGTGAGGTCTGCAGCCCATGCTGGCGGTCTGCCTTCGCGGCTCCTCTCCGCCTGGGCCCTCCTCCGTCCAGGTCAGCCTCTACAGTTTGCCTGCTCAGAGGCCTGGGCGGCCCTTCAGCGCTCCCCTCCCGCCCCAGCCCCCATCTGGACTTTGCTGGTTGCACCCCCTGGTGTTGGTTAGCACGTGTCTCTGTCCCACATCCGTACATTCTTCGCTGGATCCGGAGGCTTGATCTGATTCAAGTCCAGTTTGTTTTGATGAGATGCTTCGGGGCTGAGTGTGTCATCCTTTCTGTCTGGAAACGTCCCTCTGGTTGTCTCTCTGTGATGTGCCAGGCTGTTGGGACCCAGAGCACTGGGCCTTTCATCCGGTGGGGCTGCTCCCCGGCAACCTTCTGATTCTGTCATTCCTTCTCCAATTGTTTGCTGGGATGTTTCTACAGACGAGACACCCCCGTTGTCTGTGGGTCGCCCAGAGGTGCTGTGTGTGAGAGACAAGCAAGACAGGGCCTCCGTCCTTCCCCTTCATTACCGGTTTTCAGAACGACGAGGCGCCTGTACATACTGGAGTGAACGAATCATCCACGTGTGGATGAGCTGGCAGGACTTTGGGAGTCGGGCCATTTTTCTCTCCGCCCTCAAGGGTGTGTGTGTGGCCGCAGTTGCCAGTGGAAGTGGTAACCCAGAGGCTACCTAAGTCCTGGGGCCGGGTCGGTCCAGGACTGTGGAGCGCTCCTGCTCCCTGTCACCCACCTCCGCCCCGCGCAGAGTCGGAAGCTGGGCCCCTGCAAAGACAGCCTCTGGGACAAGGGCACCTGGCACCCGCCCCAACAGAGACGCAGTGAGCCCTTGAACCCCTGATCAAAGACAGGCCAGCAGCTGGGTCCAGGGCAGCCTCCATCTGGGCAAGGACGGAAGTGGCGGTCCCTGCGCGGGAGGGGACTGGGGCCGTGTGTGTCCTGACAGAGGACCCGGCAGGCTGGACTGGGGTCTGTCGGGTCCCCGCGGGGCCAGCCCGACGGCCCCCGCACCCGGGCTCGCTGACTCTCTGCCCGTGTCCCCGCAGGTGCAAGTGCAACCTGCACGCCAACCTGTGCTCCGTGCGCGAGGGCAGCCTGCAGTGCGAGTGTGAGCACAACACCACGGGCCCCGACTGCGGCCGCTGCCGCAAGAACTTCCGCACCCGGTCCTGGCGGGCCGGCTCCTACCTGCCGCTGCCCCACGGCTCTCCCAACGCCTGTACGTACGGCCGGCCAGGGCCCTGTGCCCCAACCTCCAGCCCGCAAGGCGGTGGTCTCCCTGCCCCGCGGCTCCAGGAGTTCACGGCAGCCCTAAGCTGCAGGGCAGAAGGCCCGGGCTGACCTGGGTGGAGCTCTTCCCCCGCCCCGAGTGGCGTCACCGGTGCCTGACCTTGGTCCGGCATTTCAACAGAGGCTGTGCTCAGCCCAGCTTCCCACTCAGCCCCGCAGCAGCCCTGCTGGGGGCATCATTGTCACCCCACTCTCCAGACAGACAAACTGAGGCCCAGCGCCCTCGGCGCCCTCCCGGGTTTCACCACACTTGGTTCCAAAGCCAGGCTGGGGCAGTGGCCTCTGGCACCTGGATGACCACCCGCCCTTCTGGGCACATTGCAGGAGCCCCTCCGACCCTCCTGTGAAAGATTTGGGTGACTTTGGGCTGATCGAAGCTGAGAGCCCTACCGTGAGGCGTGTCCTGGGTGGGAGGGGTCTTGCCAGGTGTGCCAGCACAGGTGGCCTTCAAGGGTGCAGACACCCCGGTCCCCAAGGCACCCTCCTCCCGGGTGTCCCCCCCCCCTTGCTGCCTGAACCACCCCCTGAGCCCTTGCTCCAGCCCCTGCCACTCCCTCTGACTGGCTACCTCCCTGGCGTTTGCCTGTCCTGTGGCCTCCCCCTCTCCTCCCTGCCTCCTCCCTGCCTCCCATTCTCCTTCCAGAAGGGTCCTCCAGCATCTCCAGACCCCCACAGACCAAGACTCAGCCCAAGACTCTGGGTGTGTGGGTCACACCCAGAACTAAAGCCAGGCCCGGCCTTGGCCCTCACACCTCTCCTCCCCCCGACCCTATGCAGGCATCAGAAGCTTCCTTGTTTGGGGTGCTGCTCCTGCTCCCCTCTTCCCCAGGGTCTCCAGGGGCAGGGTGGGGCCGGCACTCTCCACACCCTCAGCCAAAAGCTTTCTCACCGGGTCCCCACCTTTGCTGAGACAGCCAGGAGAAAAGCCCCGAGACACAGACTGAAACAAGCCCCCTCAGGTCCCCATCTCAGCCAGAGTCCCCGACACCCGGGGGGCTGAGTCCTCAACTACAGCCCCACCTCCACCTCCTCCCACAGGGCCCCCCTCCACCCTCCCCTCTGCAAACACAGGCCTTTCCTCACCTGAGGGCTCCAGGCTCCAGAACCTTGGGTGCCCTGTACCCAGTGACCACAGAGTAAAACCTTGACTAGCCACGTTCCCTTCCAAAGGCCTTTGGGGCCATTCACCCCACACACCTCGTGCCCCTTCCCACCCCCACTCTGAATCCAAATGCCCTCCCCTCCCCAAGTGTCTCTTTGGCTTGGATCTTTCTGTCCCTGTGGCTTGGGACATGCTCCTTGCCCCGCCATGACATTCGTGTTCTCAGACATTCCTTTGCCCCCCAGAACAGCCTCCTGCCTACTCTCTCCAAGCCTCCTCGTCCTGTGTTTAATAAGACAGGTGCATGCGCACCCCCAGCAGAGTGTGTGGCCCTTCTGAGCATGTGCCCTGATGGGATGAGTCAAGGCTCTGAGACTCAGTGTCTCTGTCTGCAAAATGGGCTGAGTGCGGCAGCAATACATATCTTGGTCCTTGCAAAGTGGGGGCTCACGATGGTGGGGACTGTAAGCTTCCTCCCCGGGCCCCGCCCCCACCCCCCAGCAGGGAAGAAAAGGCCTGGGTCCTTGCTTCTCCAGCTACCACACTGTGACGCTTCTCTCCCCACAGGTGCTGCTGCAGGTTCCGCTGTTGGCAGTAAGTACCCACCTGGGTCCCCACCCTGGGGACAGTGATGGGGACCCCCAATGCTTGAGCCTCTTTGCATGTCCTGGAAAGAGCAAGAGACAAAAGCAGGGGGTCCCTGGCCCTGCTGGGCACTCAGGCCACCCCGCTCCCCCCAGTTTTGCCTTGTGCACCCTCACCTCTGGCCGCTCCTTCCCGTCCCCTTTCGCTGGCCCTGGGGCCACCCCCACCCGCCACTGTCTCTCCCTCAAGCCTCTTGGTTAGTGCTGCTTTGGAAAGGTCTCTGTGACTTCTGGGTGGATCCTGGCCGCACCTCTGGCCAGGCGAGAGTGGGGGTCCCTGCCTTCCCCACCAGACCAGTGTGAACCGGGGCCTCAGGCGACCAGAGCAGGCAGGCCACCCGCAGCAGGGACACGGGTGTCCCGAGAGCTTGTGGAGGAAGCCAAGGGAGGGTGGGCGCGGGTGCCCGGCAGACACCGTACACCCTGTCTCACCTGCTCCGAGTCTGGTGTAGGCCCACTGGGCGGTCGCAGGATCTCATTTAACCCTGGCACCGCAGTGGGCGTGGCCATCTGCTCTGGGAGCGCCTGCCAGGGTCACGCAGGCTCAGAAGCGCATTTGGGGAGCGTGGCCTCCCTCCGCCAGGGCTCTGTGGGACCATACCTGCCCTGGTGGCTCCTGCTGGGACACCAGTGGAAGAGGGTGCCCAAGGAGGCTGGATCTGGAGGGGACTCGGGCCCACTCAGTGGGACCCTGAGCTCTTCTCTGGGCTGGCCCGTGACCCCCACCCTCTGCCACCAAGCAGCAGCAGGTCCCAGGAAGACCCCATCCCCCAAACCCCTCATGGGCGCTGTGGCCATGAGGGGGGACCCGGCCACTCCTGTCCCCATCGTATCCACTGCTCCGGCCCCCATGGCCCCAGCAGCCCCACTGCCCACAGGTGGGGGCCCAGGCACAGCCCAGATGCCCCACCTCTCCCAGTCCCTGCCCGGCCCCTGCCTCTCGCTGTGGCGTGACATGATGTGGTGGGGGAGGGCGGGCCTGGCCGTTAGAGAAGCTGGGGCCCTACGGCCACCGGAGTGTGTGGCCAAGGGGCCTCCAGGCCGTCTGGGCCCCAACCAGGGGTTCAGGGCCCCCTTCAAGCCCCTGGAGTCATCTACCTCTCTACGCCACACCCCCCGGCCACCAGGCACCGCTCGGAAAGACGCCCAAACCGGCATGGCCAGGACGACAGGGGGCCCTAGAAGGAGGGGCCCGTGGCAGCAAGGCCACATGCAGTTCACCCAAAGTCAGCGCCTGTCTCCCGCGGGACTCTGGCTTCAGCGTGGCCCCCGTGGGCTGCTCCACACCCTGCTCTGCCCTGGCCCCTCAGCAGCCCGGCCCAGCAGTGGCCCAGAAGGCGGGGCAGACGGGCCCCGTGCCAGGTGTTTGGAATACGGCTGCAGGGCACCTCGGGTCAGGCCGGGCCCGGCTTCCTGCTCACGTCAACCAGAGCGGCCCCCCCTGGGGCCCACCCTCACACAGAATGGCAGACACGCTGTCTGGGCCTCACTTCCTCTAGAGCGGGACTGGCCTGTGCTCGAAGTGTGGGGTTCTGGGGGGCCCTCTGGTCCCACCTGGGGTCTCCCCAGACTGCTCCCCGCAGGGACCTGGGGCAGCAGGCATACCGAAGCTCTCTCTTCCTTCGCCCTCTTCCGGGGCAGGCACTGGTGGGAGGCAGGGCCAGCCAGGAGGGTAGAGGGTTGGGGGGGCCCTTGTGGCCCTGCAGTCGTCTGCGAGGAAGAGGACGGTGGGGTGGGGGTGGTCTGGGAATCCCGGCGTGGGGCAGACTGGAACAAAGCTGGTCCGGGTGGGTGCTGTGTCTGCCGTTGCCTGTGGTCCATCCGGGTGGGGGGCTGGGTGCTGTTGTGCACCTGCCGAGGGCCCCGGACTCTGTTTTCTGGGCTGCCTCTGCTGCGGTGCAAGGCTGCGGGCACAGCTCAGGGCGGGATGCTCAGGGGAGAGGCCAGGGCTGTGAGCTGAGGCGTCGGGGAGGCCTGGACTTGGACTTGGCGGAAGGAGGGGCCCCTCCTCCGCACTGGATGTCCAGTGAGGCGCGGTCAGCTGTGCGGCCTGAGCCCCGCGCTGGGGCCTCGGGGGGGAGAGGTGACCTCAGGTGCCCCGTCCAGGGGTCATCACTGCTCCCGAGCAGCGGACGCCCGTGCCCGGGCCCCGGTTGTACTGGACCCCGCTAAGGAAGGCAGGTGCCACAAGGGCGGGGTGACACCCCCACCCCAACTCACAGCTCTGCCAGGTGGGGGCTGCTGTTTCCCACCCCCCGCCCCTACCCAGGAGCAGGCGTTCAGGCCCAGGAAGGGGCGGCTGGGCTGAAGGTGTGAAAAGGCACCTCAGTGAAGCTGTCGGAGAAGTGAAAGGGGCGCCTGGGCAGAACTGAACTCTGGGCGTGGCTCGCGGCCGCTGGGGGTCCTGCCACTCCTAGCCCAGCGCCCCTGCCCCAAGCTGGTGTGGGGGCAGGAACGCCGTGAGGCGGTGCCATCTCAACGCCCGGGCTCGCCCAGCTCCCGACTCCCAGGGAACAGACGGGGCCTCCATCTGCTCTTGGCACGGGACACCGGCCCCTGCGAGAACGCTCTCCCAGTGCACCTGAGTCTGTCCCTGGAGAGCCCCGCGGGGCCTTCCCAGCCCTCAGATCCCCGTCCCTGGAAAGGGCCTGAGTCTCTCCAGGCACCTCCCGGCAGGTGCTTTGGGCTCTTTGGCCAGAGTCCAGCTGGCCCGGGAACTGCTGGCCCAGATGTTTCTCCTTCCTGCCAATGTCAAGCTGTCTGAAGGGCGGGGCCACCTGGTGGAAAAGGCCACCTCCGACCACTAATCCTCGCCCCCAGGAGGGGGTGGGAGATGCGCCACAGCCAGAAGCCTTGGCACAGGTTTTCTGCGCCTCTAACGAAGCCCCTGCCAATGGTGGCCGCTCCCTCGGCTCCTCACTGGACACCGAGGTGATGTCAGTGTAGCGTCCAAAGGCCACCGGCTCCCAGCTGGAGGGTCTCCTGCACTTTTTAGCTGGTAGATCTTCTTTTTCTTTCTCTACGCCGAGCCACGCCCTGACTGGGTCAGCTGCTGCCTCCCCGGCTGTGTGTCCGTCCACTTGGTCTTGGAGATGGCACTGTGGCATTTGGGGGTTGACTTACACAGGGGTCCCTGGTGAGAGTGGGCCCAAACCAGGGTTCAGAGGAAAGGTGGTGGCCGGAGAGGCAGGCCAGATGCCGGAGGGCATGTGTCCTTGCACTGGGTCGGACAGGAAGCCTTCGAAGGCCCTTCTGCACACCTTTGATGTCTTGGCCTGAACAGCCACCAGCCAGAGACCAGCACGAGAGGTCTGGGCCCAGGTGTGGGACTCGGTGTCACTCTGCCCTTCAGTGGGGACGGGACCACACAGGCAGGGCAGAAGAGTTCCCGAATCAGGGGTCCCGCTGCAGACAGGGTGCCTGCCGGCCAGGTTTCAGCCCGCCGCAGGCTGCAGCAGTGCAGATGCCGCCCCTCTCGCGGAGCTGGGCCTCGTTCTCTCGGGCAGGTGCAGAAAGCTGCTTCCTACAGTGTTGTATCGGATAAGGGACCTGTGGGGCAGACTGTCCCCAGGACACCCCCAGCCCCATCCTCTTGCGTGACTTGCTGTCTTCTCTTCTTTCCCCCAAGAGTGGATCAGGCCGTGGACGGCAGCCCCCCCAGGGGAGAGACCCCCCTGGCCCCAGGGGTCCTCAAGTACACAAGGTATGGGGGGAAATCTTAGACCCATAGGCCCCTCCCCCTTAGTGAAAATAGCAGGTGTACATGGTGGGGACCTGGGGTGGGGGCCTCAGGGGAGTGAGGACGGGGCCTTGGTGCTCTGCTTGACCCCCACCTACCTCTCACCTGCTTAGGGTCAGTGGCATCACCAAACCTTTTAATCACACATCCCCCAAGGTGCCGGGGAGCCAAGTGCAGGTGTGATGGAGCGCTGTGTCAGGGCTTCCTGCAGTGGGGACCACGAGCACAACCGGGAGATAACAGGAGAAGTGCGTCCCAGCCTGTCTGGGCGGCAGGCCCAGCGGGCAAAGGCTTCTCAGTGGCATGGCCGAGAGCGGCCCACCCAGCAAGGGAAGGTGTGTTGGATGAAGGAGGGCTGAGGCAGCGGCAGGCCCAGAGCCTCGTGCCCTGACTGCAGGGGAGGAGGTGTGCACGGGCTCCTTTGCAGCCACAGATGGGCGTGCACAGGGGGCACGTGGACCTGCCCGAGTCGCCAAGAAGGGGAGCCACCCTTCTCCCAGCCCACCTGTTCCCTGGACATTAGACTCTAATGCCCTGGTAGGCAGGAACGCCGACTTCCCCTGCCCCAATTCAGTTCCCCTCCACATCCGTTCCAGGGCCAACGCTGGGCCGTGAATGGGGCTTTGAGCGCCCTCTGCTGGCAGGATGTTACGGAGCAGGAACCAGAATCTGTGAGGGAGGGTCTGCAGTTGGTTCCCAGAAGCTGACAGTTAGAGGGGGCTGGAGCCATCGCTTCCCTGCCCTGCACTGGCTGGGACATGGCAGGCTCGCCCCAACACGGGGGGTGGGTCCTGGACAGGCTGTGCCCTGAAACGTGTGCCAGTGGGGAACCGGCCTGGCTGGGGCTGGGGCAGGGAGAAGCTTCGGGAGGAGAAGGGACGCCTAAGGCCTGACTGCCTCCTGCAGACTCGGAGGTGAGGCTCACGGGAGTCTGGGGGGCGGGGACAGGAGAGCAGAGGAGAAGCCACGTTTTCGACCCTGCGAGACTGTCCGGCTTCAGCAGGGTGCTGTGAGGGCCGTGGGGGGTCCACCCGGCTGGGAGTGCCCACGCTCTCTGAGGCGGGGTCCACAGGCAGGCTGGTTCTGCTCCTGGATGTGCTCGATCACCTCAACTCGGAGCAGGCGGCGGAGCTGCCAGGGCCCCTTGGACGTCTCCCCTGGGCCCAGACAGCCCACCCGGGCAGCTGGACCGGGGCTGACGGAAGAGTTTGTTTCTTATCTCTCTAAGCTGCTGGCACCTTCACCACCACCCCCACCCCCGCCCAGACCTCCAAACCTTTCCAGCTCAGGCCCAAATCTCCTCAAGTGATGCCTACTGAAGAGTCCCCAGGTAAGAGGAAGGCCCCAGCAGGGTCAGCCCTCCCCCAGTAACAACCCCATCTCCACTGGAAGGAACTGAGGCAGGGTGGAGGCCCGACACCGGGCTCAGACACCCTCCCGGGGAGCTGGGTCAAGGTGAAGCTGAGCCTGTCTTCTCTCCAGTCCCCCCCCCCACCGCCCACCCCCCAAGGGAGCTGGGAGCAGGCATGAGTCAGAGGCACAGCAGGCGGAGCAGAGCAGCTGCTCAAAAGAGCCAGTCCCGGCTCCCCTGGGGGGTGTGGCCCGGGGCTGGTCTGGACTGAACAAGATCTGGGACACGGGGTCACCACACTGCTCCTTGGGACCCTTGGAGGACGCCTGGTCTTCTCGTCCCTGGAGGGACAAGGCAAAGGGGCACGACCAGGAGACCCATGGACCCATCTCAGAGGCTCGTTTCTGTGAGGTCTCCTCAGCCCCTGACACCTGGTCCTCCCCGCTCTCCCGTCACAGAAGGGAGGCACTGAGTGGGTGCTTCAGAGGGGCGGCCTGCACCCTCCCTTGTTCAGGGGCAGCCGCACTGGCTTTCTTATTCCAGGAGGTGTTGAGCCCCATTGGAAGGACACGAAGAAATGTCCTCCATTCTTGTGTCAGGGAAGGTGACCCTCCTCACCAAATCCCACCCCTTTATGAAGGGGTGGAATCCGTCTCCAATCTGTGGCGCCTTGTCCCAGGCGGTCACAGGGTTTGCCCTGTGCCTGGAGTGGATGTAGGACTGGGGAGACAGCGGCCTGGTCCTGCAGTTGGAGTCCCACGCTGGACTCTAAGGCTGGGGGGAGGCAAAGTGGGAGGGCCCTCTGGTGTCAGTCAAATTTGCAGAACAGCTCAGGCTAATCAGGGGGGTCCCGCAGGTAGCGTTGTTCCTTCCAAACACCTTCCAAAGCAGCAGGGGGAGGAAGCTTCTGGCCATTTCCATCCATCCTGCCCAGCATTCATGCATGCACCTACCCTTCTGTGAGCCCCAGGGGCGGGGTGGCAAACACCCTCCCTCGGCACACAGTCCGGTGGCCATTTCCCCCACCCCCTGCATGAATCGTTCCTAATCACCCTGACATCTCCCAACATCTCTGCTAAGAGCACCTCACCTTGGTGCGCCGGTCGGTGCTGCCCACTGCCCTGGAGCCCAGCCATGGGGCTGGGTGGGCATTTGCAGGCCGGGCTCAAGCCAGCAGGCCCAACTCTACCCCCAGCCTCCTTCCACCGGCTGACACCCTGCAGGCCCACTTCCCCTGCACACACGGGGAAGGGGCAGCAGGAGGGCGCAGTCTCCCTGCACCCCCTGAAACTGTGTCTCCCCACGACGCCGGCCCAGACTGTGAGTGCTACGGCCACTCCAACCGCTGCAGCTACATCGACTTCCTCAACGTGGTGACCTGCGTCAGCTGCAAACACAACACGCGAGGCCAGCACTGCCAGCACTGCCGCCTGGGCTTCTACCGCAACGGCTCCGCCGAGTTGGACGACGAGAATGTGTGCATCGGTGAGCCGGGTGGGACGGGGCTGGGCCAGCAGTGCTGGGCAGGTCTGAACACCCCTGGGTCAGAACCCCTGGGAGGGGCTGTGGAAATTCCCATTCCAGGGCCCACGCCCCACTGGCCTCTTTAAAGACAGAAGCCCTCAAATCTGCTCTGTCAATCAGGTCCCAGTTTGGTTCCTCTGGGCCACTGGCTGGGGTCAAAGCCTAGCTCTTGTCTCAGGGAAGCCATCCTCATCCCAGCCCACCCGGTCCCTGGACATTTGACTCTCCTGCCCCATTAGGCAGGAACTCACCAGCCCCATCAGGATTCAATTCCCCTCCGCACCAGCTCCAGCTCCGGGTCTGTGAGCAGGGCTTTGAGCGCCCTCTGCTGGCAGGATGAGTTTGCTTTGTGCATTTGGGCAATTCCCTTCCCTTCCCAGCATCCCTGGTTTCTCTGCTTGTAAAATCAGGAGATGGATCAGATCAAAGGTTTTCAACCCTTTTTCGCCGAAAAAAGCCATGAAATTCTCAAATGAAACTCTTCTAACGCTTTATAAGCATACCCCCCAACGGGCTTTTTTCAAAATCTGCTCCAGAACTGGCTTTGGGACCCTGGGCCTGGGCAGAGACAGGCCATTCCATCAGGCGAAAGCCACGGCCCCCAACCGACACCCATCATGCCCACCACCCCTGCCCCTGTCTCCAGTAGAGGCCAAAGCTCAGCCCTGGTGCCCAACCCCCTGGGGCTCCCACCGCCTGCCCCCAGGCCAGCTCTGGCTTGGAAGAGGGGGGCCGCTCACAGAGCTGCAGCTGTTGGTCTGAATCTTAGCAGTGGCCTTCAGGTAATTCCATCAACTCCAAAGTGATCCGAACGGTGGAACTGTGCTGCAGATGTCACACACGGCCAGCGGCAGGGACCGGGCTGGGCCTCCAGATCCGATTAGAGGCGCCCCTCCCCCCCAGCCTTCCTCTGCCTCCACCCCCAGGCCCAGCACTGGGCTTCGCTGATCCCTGGAGGGGAGACATTTGTCCTGCACTGTGCATGGGCCCCAGGAGACCAGCTGGAGAGGCTGGGGGCCTCTGGGGCTGCTCCTGCGTGGCCCTGGAAGGACCTACGTCCCGTACCCCCACCACACACACACACACACCTACCACAGGCCCCGCACAGAGGCCCCCAGCCTCTGATGAGGCTCTGTGCACCTGTCAGAGCTGTTTGGAAGTACTTGCTCTGGTCACAGATGGGGAGACTGAGGCCCAGAGAGGGGGAGAGTCTGTCCCAGACCACACCGCACCAGAGGGGGAAGGGGCGCCAGGGAATGAAGTCGGTCTTCCCTCGGGTTCGGACCCCCACCTTCTAGCGAGCTCATGCGGACAAGGCGTGTGGAGCTGGCTGGGTGGGGTGGGGTCCATGCCCACAAATCGCCCTGAGCGCACACGGTGCCCCTGTCCGTCCAGAGTGCAACTGCAACCAAATCGGCTCCATGCATGATCGGTGCAACGAGACGGGCTTCTGCGAGTGCCGAGAGGGCGCAGCGGGACCCAAGTGCGATGACTGCCTCCCCACACACTACTGGCGCCAGGGCTGTTACCGTGAGTGCACGCGCACCGGTGGGCGGGGCCTGGTGTAGTAGGCGGCGGTGGGCGGGGCGCCAGGAAGCCAATGCCGCGGGGGCAGAGGCCTGGCGCCTTGGCAGGGCTGAGGGGTGGCCTGAAGTTGCCAGAGGCAGTGTCAGGGACGGTGGGCGGTGTAGGTGGGGAGAGGGCCCGTGTACCTGCGGATAGGGTCGGGGTCAAGTGGGAATCACAAGAGGTTGAGGTCGAGTTGTCTGGGAAGGCAGTTGGAGGCAAAGTGGAGCTGGAGGTTGGTTGGAGTTGGCTGGGAGAGGAAGGCGGAGAGGCCGCCGGGGAAAGAGCCTGGCGGAGACACGGCCGTAGCCAAGGTAAGAGGTGGGGGAGCGCTCCAGCCACACGGAACGGCACCGAGGCCAGTGCCAGGAGCGGGGACTGCCAGGAGTTGCAGCGGAAGGGAGGCGGAGGCGAGGTCTCCTTGACGGCAGTCACCATCCACGCAGGGACGATTCACTCCAAGTCCGCCCCGAGTCTCCAGCATCCCCGTGGTCCAAGCTGTGCCCCCAGGGGCTCGCACATCCCCAGTCTCAGCAGCTCCAACATGGGGGCGGGGCGGTAGAGCTGGACTGGGCCTCGACTCGAGTTAACTGCTCCTAACTGCTCCTTCGCTCCGCAGCCAATGTGTGCGATGACGACCAGCTGCTCTGCCAGAACGGCGGCACCTGCGTGCAGAACCAGCGCTGCGCCTGTCCGCGCGGCTATGCCGGGGTGCACTGCGAGCAGCCCCGCTGCGACCCCGCGGACCACGACGGGGGACTGGACTGTGACCACGCGTCTGGGGCCGCGCCGCACCCCGCCACCCTGCTCGGCTGCCTTCTGCTGCTGGGTCTGGCCACCCGCCTCGGCTGCTGAGCCCACCGGAGGACCCGCGGCCGGCGAGGGGTGGTCTGCGCGCTGTGCGCCCTAGGCCCTGCGCCCCGGGGGCCAGGTGACAAGAAGGGTGCGGCCAGAGCTGCTCCCAGGTGCTACTCAGCGGAGTCCTCCGCGCTCCTCCCGACCCCCTCCGTGGCACCTGCCCCCGCCCTGGCGCTGCAGCAGGGGGCGCCGAGGGGTCCTGGCCCCAGCGGCCTGCTATTTTGGTCTTAGTTTTTCTATGTCCCGCAGCACCCTCCCTTCCTTTTGTTTTTTGCTGGCGGTGAGACAGGGCGGAAAGAAACGCTGCTCACCCGACGCCCCAGGTCCACACACACAACTGTCGCGGACACCCCTGCGCCCGTCCCTGGCCGACCCTCAGCCGGCAGACCCGAAGTCCAACTGCTGTAACTGCAGTGCTGACTTCGCTCTCCTGATATTCTCTCTCCGTTTTCCTCTACAACCCACCAGACGCCAGGCGGGAAAGATGCCTGGGCCCAGGGGCTCCTTGTCTGGGGGAGGGAGAAGGAAGGAGAGCTTGGGAGGCGGGGCTGGAAACTTCCTTTTGTAGAGAACTATTTTTGTTCGTGTTCACTGTCCCCTACAGGGCGGGGCAGGAGCGGGACGCTGGCCCCCAGGGCGTGGTTGGTGGTGTGTAACTGCACAGTAAAGGTTTGCTCGCTGCTGCCTCCAGGGCCTGCTTTCTGTGTGTTCACTGGGGATTTGAAGAGGAGCCCTGAAAACAGCCTTAAGGAACCCTTGTCACGTTGAGGCCCCACTCTCCAGGCCTTTCAGGGAAGAACAGGCAGCCCCGCCCACCACGGGCGGGGCCAGCAGAGCACTCGCTCCTGAGCCAGGCATGTGGCCCTGCCAGGGACCCGCTTGTTCCCCGAACGCGGGAGGTTGCCCCTCTCCTTTCACCACAACCCAACGAACCCGGTTTTCCACACTTTTCCTCCGCTGTCCTCGAGTCTGCGAGCGCGGGGCGGGCGTTGGCAATGGCTGCTGAGAAGCCGGGGGAGTGGCCGGCCCAGCCTTCCCGTGCAGCGCCACTTCCAGGCTCGGGTTTAGAAATCGCGTCGGTTGTGCGGCTTCAGGCCCAGTGTCTGCGGCCAGAGCCCCCTGAGTCCCAAGCTGGGTGAAGGGGGAGGGCCCAGGGGCAGCTGGAGAGCTAAGTGCCGAAGGGTGGGGCTCATCCTCAGAGGCCCTGTGCCAGGGAGGGCGTCCTGGGTGTTTCCAGTTCTTGGGGTTGCCCCCAGATTCCCCTCCCCACCAACTTAGGAGCAGCCGGGCAGTGACCCAGGGCTGCCTGGGTCACCCTGCCCTGGGTGGGTCAGACCTGCCGCACTTCCTCAAACCCCCCAGACAACACTAAGTGCCAGCTGGGCAAACCTGGCCTTGGGAGCGAGGTCACGGCTGGCACTACAACTGATACTGAGCAGGTCTGGCTGCACTGCAGGCCTGCAGGGCTCAGCTCCCAGCCCTGCAAAGCAAGTGCCTTCTGTACGTCCTGGTGGCGCACCACCTTCCTCACTGACCAAGCCCATTCGCTGGGGGAGTGACACTCGTCTGGGGCTCCCTGTGCATGGGAGTGGCTTCGGAACAGTTCTGGCCAGTAAGTTGGAAGCAGGGGTGACAGGCTGGGCTTCCAGAGAGTTCCCCAGACACCTCCCCTGCCCCCTCTCCACACCCAGCCTCAGGGCCCTATTGGGGCCCTGGCTTTGCTGTCTCCCCTCCCCCTGCTGCTTGGTCAACAGGCTGTGGGAGGGCCCACCTTGCCACGCTGGGCGTGAGACTATGGTGGAGGCCAAAGGTGGAAGCTGCCGTCCTGAGGCCCTGGCAGGGCTGGGGACCCGCCCTGGTTGCTGACCTCCGCTCCACACTTCTTAACGTGTGACAAAAAATAAACTTTGATGCAATTAACAACTGGAATTTGGCTTTTCTGTTACCTGCAGACTTAAAAATTCCTAAGTAATAGGCTCCACCCCCCGGCCCCGAGTCCACAGAGACCCCAACCCTTCCTCCCCCAGGGCCGTGGCCCCCACGCCACACACCCTTGGCCACGAAGACCCGATTCCAGCAGCGTTAGGCCGTGGAGTCAGGACCTCGCCGCCTTGGGCTCCTCCTTCCAGAACGGGACCTGCCTGCCCTGCCTGCACCCCCATCTGTGAGTGAGGACAGGGGCAGCAGACCCAAACCCGCCCAGGGGGACCGCCAACGCAGGCTGCTATCTGTACACAAGTCGCCTTCGTCCTGGTCACCAGGGCACTAAACCATAAGGGCGTCCAGTCATTAACCATCCACTGCCACCCTCCCGTCCAGCTCCTGGGCTAGAAACACAATCTAGGGACTGGGCTTGTGGACTCCTTCAGGAAGGAGGGAGGGAACTACGATGCAATGGGGTGCTACCCCCACAGCGGCTCGGGCACATCAGTCACACTCTGAGGTGGGGGGTAGCCTCTTGCCTCAGTGCTGTTGCTGGGAGAGCGGCTGTTCACAGGCCAACGTGGAGGGGAGCAGGGTGGGGGCCCCCAGAGGGGAGCTCTGGGCTGACCCCAACAGCTTTTACCACACCCCCCTTTGTGTCACCTGGGTGTGTCCCCAGGAGTTTCCAGAGGGGTGTGGGAGGAGAGGGTCCTCAGTGGCTGCCATGTCCTCCCCGACCCCTCCCAGCCAGACTAGGACCAGAGTGTGGCATCGGCCTGCCTGCACACAAGGGCTGGGCAGGAGGAGCGGGGTGCACACCGAGCGGCAGTCCAGCCCCCGAGGGCGGGGCCCAGCCGGGGGCCCAGCCACTGGGCAAACTCAAACGTTTCGCAGGCAGCTGAGGGCAGAGGTCAGCAGAGCCCAGCGTTCTCTCCCAGCCGGAGTGCTCTGGAGCCCGGAGCTGCTCTCACGGGGGCTCTGAGAGGGAAAGAGGAACGGCTCTCCTCTCCTGTCTGGGGACACGAGGCCGTCGTTCCCGGCGCTGCAGTGTGGCGACCTTTGAATTCCCCTGGGACACCTTTCTTCAGCTCAGTGCCACCAACGCCTGGGGCCAGGTGGCCCTTGGGGAGGGGCCTGTCCTGTGCACAGTGGGAGGTCTGCAGCAGGCCTGGCCTGGAGCCACTGCATGCCGGCGGAACCTCCCTTCCCGGTGACAGCCAGCAGTGTCCCCAGATGTCACAAACTACGAGGAAACCTCCCCAGAACAAGAACCACTGACTGGCCAAGGAGAGACGGCCACACCCATTTCACCAGAGGTGATGTGGAGGCTGGGAGAGGGGACAGAACTCGCCCCAAGTCCCACTTACTAAGCAGCAGAGGCGCGACAGCCTGACTCCAGAGCCCAAGGCGCAACCCAGACCAGGGCCCCAGCGGGGGGCAGCCCCCAGGGCTGGCCCCAACTGCTCCTGCCCCGCCCTCCTCACTACTGCAGCCGCAGGGCCTGGGCAGCAGGGGACAGGCCTCCCCGCCAACCTCCTCCTCTGAATCAGCAGACGCGGCACCTGCAGTTTCTGCCTCCCCTGCCACCTGGTCCAGCTGCGCAGCGGCCCCAGGGAGCAGCAGTGGGCACCACGGCAGGCTGGGCCAGGCTGGAGTGGGCGGGGGTGGGGGACGCCGGGCCGACCTCCCCCTCATCCCCATGGGGACCCCCAGCACAACTCAGGCCGGAAGAGTTCAGGGAAAAGGCCCGGGGAAGAGGACCTCTGCCTCCCAACTTGCCCTTCATCCGACACAGACCACGGCTGTGGGGAGTCAGAAACACAGAAAGGCCAGACGGTAACTTCTAAGTTAAAATCACCCCCAATTCTCCACCCAGTGCTGGTGACTGCTGACTTCCTCTAACGCCTGTCTCCAGTGCTTTTCCACGAAACACAGCCGCACGCAGCAGCCTCCCTGGCCTCTGTCTCACCGACCCAGGCAGACCTGAGAGCCGCCCACCAGTGCAGCCTCTGTCTGGCGGTGGCCACTGTGGCTCTGGGGGCGCCCTCGTCACAGAACCGAGGTACTGTTCCCAAAGGCAACTCCAGGTGACTCAGGCAGAAAAGGCGATTTGAAGGCTCTCGGGTCCCCAAGCCCCTGAGGACCAAGCTAGATGGATGTGCATGGAGGGCCCGAGGAAGCCTGGGCAACACCCACTGTCCTGCCTGCAGTGGCCAGAGAGCCCCTGCTGCTGTCCCTGTGGCCACCCGTCTGCAGACCTGCCTCCAGCTGGCAACCCAGCCTCGCCCCTGCCGTGTGCCCAGCCCTGCATGTCCGTGACTACTGCTTCCCACCCCACTCCACCCAGAGAGGGTGGTTGTCTGTCCCCAACCAGAGGAAGGGTGCAGGAAGCAACACAGACCAGCAGAGGGCAGGCGAGGTGCCCGGGGCCACACAGCCCGGGAGAGGCTGAGCCCAGATGCAAGCCCAGTCCTGGCACAGAAGCCCAAGCTGGTGGCACCAAGCCACGCAGCTGTCCCCCTCCCCTCCACTTCACTTCCATTCTGAAACAGTAACAGCCCTGTTTTGCGCATGCTCCCCATCAGCCTCCGGGCAGCACTTAGCAGCAGCATCCTGCACTTCAAAGGCTCTTTGAGAACAGGGAAGGTGCTGCCCCAGCCTTCAGCTTTCTGCCCCTTCCCAGTGCCCTCTTCCCCACGCAGAGCCTGCTGGCCGGATGTGCCACGGCCTGGCCCGCACTCCCCTTGGGCGGGACAGGGTCTGGCTGGCACCTGGAGTCGCCGTGGCTGTGCTGCTGGTGGCCCAGTTCACAGCCAGACCCGTGCCCACACTCCCCGCGAAGAAGGTGGTCCCAAAGGCACAAGGGCACACACTCTGGAGTCGGCCACCCGGGTGGCCTTGGGCAAGTTACTCTGTCCTGTCTCCTCTCCTGTGAAAGGTGCTCAGCACGCTACCTTATGGCGTGATGGGAGCATGGAACGAGCCCGTGCGCGCCGTGCCCCCGACTGTGTGGCCCGCACTGTCACCCGGCTGGGTGTAGTAACCTGTCTCCTCCCCCTACCACGGGGGTGTGACACCCCAGTCTACGGGGGCGGGGGGACAGCGGCCCTTTCTGGGAGGAAGGTCAGGTTCTTGCACTGCGGTGGCGAGTTCGCAGGTGCTGATTTCACCACCGGCCTCTCCACCCCCTCAGGCTCACGTGGGCTAATGGGACTGCTTTCACAGAGGGCTGGCAGAGCCGGGACGGCCCGCCAGTGACCTGGGAGTCACTGTGGACACACCCAGCCCCCAGGTCGCAAAGTTAGCCCCGACTGGCTACCCTCACCCATTCCACACCCCCCCATGACCAGACCAGGAAGTCTAGGGCAGGGCCCGGGAGAGGAGGGTGCCATCGGCTCCGGTGTGACTCCGAAGCGTAGCCGCGGGGGGACAACGCCATCCAGTGTGTCTCTGCAATGATGCTACTTGGGAACGGACAGCTGTCCGCGGCACTGAGGCTTGTGTGTGAGGTCGCCAGCACACTGGGCCGCTGCCTGCCGTGCCGGGGGTACTGCTTGCGCTGGTTAACTTGGCAAGTGCCTCTGTGCACAACAGTGACAGTAACTTGGTCCTTGAAGGGTGACAAAGGGGTTCCACGCACACAGTGACTGCCTTGAGGAGCCACACGCCACCACGTCCCCCCCAAGCTGAAGCTTGACTTCGGCCTCCTCCTTGGACTATTTATTCCTCAATCGATGAGCGGGCGTGGCTGCGGGGGGAGGGTCACGGGCACACCAGAAATCACTGCTCCAGCTGGGAGGCACTCCCGAGCACCCGGCCACTGCAGGGCGCGCATCCCTCAGCAGGTCAGGGTGTGCTCACTGTGCCCCATAACTCCCCAAACTCACTTCCCCTCCCAGGCAATCTGTGCAACCGGCTGGAACGAGCCAGTGGCCAGGTGAGGCTCTGCCCCCTTGCCCTGGGGACAGTGCCACCGCGGCTGAGCGCATGTGCCTTTGAACAGGCACAGCCTGGCACATCTGCCCTCCTTGACGTCACCCCTCTTCTAAAACTCGTTCCGGTCTGCAGCCATCAGCAGTTAGCCCTGCCTGGGACATCTACACCCTGCCCCTGTTGGGGGTGCCCCAGGCGCTCTTTTCATGGGTTCACTTGCCCCCATCCTCAATCTTGGCCTAACTCTGGGGAGCGTGTGTTCCTGGCGGACGCACCACCACGGCAGGCTGGGCTGGCCGGCCCGTACCCCTTGGTTCTTTCCAAACAAGACTCCAGAGCGAGCTGGGAAGCCAGAGGTGGGGCGGGAGGCTGGAGAGCAAGCCCGAGCAAAATGAGTCCAGCCGCAGGTCCGGGGGGTCACCTGGGAGGGACGCTGTCCTCCGGATTAGTGACACAGAACTCCCAAGCCATGTCAGTCGTGTTTCCACATTTTAATTCTGCAGTTTTCTCTTAAAATTCAGGTTTTAACAAAGACAACAGATTGAATGTTTGCCAAATCTCTGCTAGGAATTCAGCGCATAGAAAAATCAAAGCTACAGCAAAAAATTATAATGTGCACAACTAGCTTCAGAAAATAGTTTAGTGCATCTTGGTTATAAAACTCCTTTACAGATTATTCACACGTACTTATCGAAACTGGCTCCTGGTACTACATGAAACACGAACTGTGCACAGTCAACCCAAGGCAAGTGACACCGAAGAGGCAGAGCGAAACCCACTCGTGCTGAAAGAACGGACAGTGAGAGAAGACACGTGCTCGCCACGAGCCCTTTCCCGCCTTGCAGTGAGCTGACCGCCCGCAGCAACACTGCTGTGAGTGACAGCCACGGCGGGAAAGGCCATGGGACACACACGAGAGGCTTTTATGCAATTTTTTTTAACCAACTCAACAGGACCGGTTTCGGGGCAAGGCCGGGCGGGGAGGGGCTGTCGGGGCGCAGGCTCGCCCCTTGGGAAGGGCCGTGTGGGTCCCCACCTGGATGGTGCGCAGGGACGGGTGCCAAGCTTTCCCAGCAGTAGCTGCTCGGGCCTGGGGTCCTCACTTCCAGCACCAGCTCGCAGTGTTCTTAGTTCTGACCGGTCACCGCTGCAGGGATCTGCAGAACCGAGCATTTCCCCAGGTCGCAGGAAAGTAAACTTAAGCGACAATGAGATCTCGTGCCCGGGCACACGCACGAAGCTCGTGGGGCCCCGACCCCACCCTGCACTTCCCTCTCCAGCTCGGCTCGGCTTGCCTCTCCCCAGTGCCCAGGCAGGCGTGCTCCCCGCTGACAGGAGTGCTGTGTGGACACCAGTGAGGGACACGGGTCAAGGGAACGTGCAGCGCTGGGAGCTTTGGCAACCACACACTCTTTACAGAGCTCTCAGTGACCTGCTGTGGCAGAGACTTCTGAGCAGTGCAGAGCCCTGTCTGCTTAAAAGCAGACAACAAAGGTGGCTTCAGACGGCCCGTCCAACTCCAGGGCTTGTCCCCTCCCGATCAGCTGGTGGGCTGGGGCGTGTCGCCCTGAACACGGCTCAGCACCCGCGGCTCCGGGCCGTCTGTGAGGGCTCGGTTCCCCCCCCCAGGTCTGTCACACCCACGCACGACAGCCACTTCTGCATCACAGGAGGCCAGGCCCCTCACCGGGCCCTCCACCACCACACGCTCTCGCCAGTTAACAGAGCCCCCAAAGGCCGCAGGGAACAGCGACTCTCACCCCGGTCTGAACTCGGAGGACCTGCACCCTCTGCCAGCCTCTCTCGGAGCAGGTGTCCCGGTTCCCACCCGAAACAGTGCACCTGGCCTGCCCTCACGGTTCCCAGGTGGCCTGGTGACCAGGACCCCTTGGGGAGATGTGGCCTGACCTGCCAGAGACCTGCCTCACGAGGGCTGAGAGGGCCTGTCCTCCTGCTTTTCTTTCTTCTTTTAAAATAAAGTCGATTCTGGTGAAAATAACATTTTAAGCAGGAGGAAGAAAAGTGATCTACAGATTAAATTTTAAGAGGACTTTGCTGTTTGCTGTACAAATGTGCATTTCAGCTTCTACGGCACTCGCTCGGTCGGGCCTGACCCTCTCACGGGGAACCGGAGACCAGCATTCCGAGCACGTGGCCCAGGGGCATCACGACCGACACTCACGTGCCCTCTGGGAGGGTTTGCAACAGACGGGAAGGTGCCGAGGGCGACCCGCAGGCCCGGAGGCAGGCTGTGCCCCCCATGTCCCCAGCACTACACACAACACTCCTCTAAAGGAAAACAAGTCTTATCTGGACAGTCCTGGTGGCCGGTCACCTGAAACTGGGACAGTACTTGTGGCCGACTGGGTCCGTCGCCTGGCTCTCCTACAGTTTTCTCTTCTTTGAACTGCTGTCCTCCTCCTCCGGTCTCCTCCTGTCCCGGCCAGAGTTCCTCTTGGGGTGATGGCTCACAGGGCTGGGCATCTCCTGGTCCCAGTTCCTGAAAGCCCCGGCGTCTCTTTGGTGGCTGTGCCCCCACTCCTGGTCATACACACTTGGAGCTGTGGCAGCGGTGCTGGCAGCAGGAGGGTCACACGGCACATACGGTCTGTGGATGCTCCCTGTGGCCGTGGACCACTCCACGGTGCTGCCCAGCACCTGGGGGCTCGCAGGGAAGCCGGGCTCGCCCAAGGGAGGCGTTGCTCCCTGGTGCTGGGGGCTCGAGGGCTCTGGGTCCCTCAGGCATTTCCCTTGGGCTTCGGAGCTCAAGCCCATCCTTCTACGCAGTCGTGGGTCCCGCAGCTGGTCCTTCACTGGAGGCCTCTCAGGGTCCATGGCAGCAACAGTAACAGCAGCGTCCTTAGGGTCATGGTGCGTGGCATACAGGAAAGATGCAAACAAAGCCTTGATAATCTCGCTGTCTGGCCTGCTGCTGGGTGAGCCGCCCTGGAGGCTGAAGCCCTCCAGGGCCAGGGAAGGGGGGTGGGTCAGACTTCGCTGCAGCATGGGCTTCAGTTTCAGGATCTTGGCTGCGTCGTGTTTATAGTTTTTGTCGCAGGTCTTGATGATGGCACCGCGCCTCTGTGCATCCTGAATCAGGTGGTTCCAGTGCTGGTTGTCCTTGAAACCAAGAGAAGGGAGAGTTACAGCCCAACAAACACGTGCGCGGGAAGCACAGGGTCCACCTTCATTTCTGAACAAGGAAAGCAGCAGACTTTCCTACACAGACTCTCCAGAACCCACTGCCGGTTAGAAAGGCTCAAAGGGAAACCAGCCAGCGCCGGCCCGGTAAAGGCCTGCAGAGAGAAGTGGTCACGGGCGAGGAGCAGCAGGCACAAGCAGCCCTGCGCCCTGGGCAGCCATCTCTTAGAGCTGTTTCAATGTCAACTAATTAAGTGAAATACAATTAAAAATTCAGTGGCACCAGCCACATTGCATGTGCCCAGCGGCCATGTGTGACGAGTGACACGTCTGCCGGTCAGTGCAGAGAGAGTGCCTGTCACCTCAGGAAGTTCCCTGAGTGTTGCAGATCCAGTCCCGCCTCTCTCCTGGCCAGGCTAATGACATCTGAAGAGGAAGGCTTTGGCTTCAGAAAGCCCTAACTTTTGAGTGTCTACAGCTATTCTAGAAAATGGTCCGTATCTTTCATCGAACTCCCAAAGGCCTCCCAAACCCCAAAGGGCTCCAGTGTCTTCATTCGCTGAAGCCCTACTCCAAGGCCACACGCCGGCAAACCGCCCTGTGCCTCTGCTCTGGCGGAGCTGAGGTTCCAAAAGCACAACTGAGGAGAGAACCCGCCCCCTCCCCACCTGCCCGCCTCTCCTCTTTCCCACAGCAGCTTTCTCAGTGACAGGTGGAGAGAGGACAGAGTGCGCCCGAGGGAGAACGACAGACACAGGCTGAGGAGAGAAGGGGGGAGGGGCCCGGCTGCCCGGAGCCTCATGCCGCCGCCCAGGAGGCAGAGGGCACAGGGTCACTGCCCATGCGGCATCACCTTGGCAGGACCAGGTCACTGGGCCTCTCTGCACCGGCTCCTTGGCTGTGAACAGCTGTGTTTCATGTACTGATTCTGACTGCTCGCCAGGTCCCACTGTCTCAACCCTGAAGCCAGACCCGCCGGCCCAGAGCAGTGCTGTGCGCAGTCTCCTGGAGAAGGGCCCGGGGCCGAGTGCCCTGACCCTGGCTGGACTCACGGTCAATAAGCAGGTGCAAAAAGGAACACGTCGAAGCTCTCGCCTGCCAATCTATCCACAGACGCCTGCTGACCAGGCAGAGCCTCCCCAGCCTGAGACCCTGGGGAGCGCAGGCGGGGCCGGAAGCCGGAGACCGTGGAGGCCGAGGCGCCAACCCGCTATCGGCGCCCAGATCACACAGACGGTGTGTGCACAGGCAAGGATGTGTGTCCCCACCCCAGAGATGGCGAGTGATCGACACCGAAAGTGAGTGACTTTTAAGAATGTCTGAACCTATTTGCTTTACTTGTATTTTTTATGTATCAGCACAAGTGACGTGATAAAAATCTGCCTAAATAAATCTAAAAGAGTTCACTAAATATAAAATGCAAGTTTTCAGCAAAAACCAGGTGACGTGTCCCAGCTGAACAGCGGCACACCGAGTAACGCTGCATGTCGTAACCGATGGCTCCCCGGACCGGACCCCAGATGGCACCTCTGCGGCTCCACGGGGGGGGGGGAGCTCCAGAGGAGTCACGCACCCCACGTGTCCCTGGGGCTCCGTCCCCCCCGCCCTGCCCCCGTGGCTGAGACACAGGCAGAAGCAGACGGCCTGCTGCCACTGCGGCCAACGCCCCCCCCCCCCGCACCTGAACGTGCTGCCTAATCCCACCCGAAGACTCGAAAACTGAGAGGGGTCGTTAGCCTTGGTTTCGCAGAAGAAACCAAGTGCCTCAACCACTGATCCCACCTCTGTAAGGGGGACAGAGCTAAAGAACAGCAACGACAAAGCCGCCCCCAAGGCAATAGAGGTTGGAACACCCAGATGATGGGTTGGGCATGAGGATAATGTCACGGCGAGAGGTCAGTGGTCTGCCAACGTGCACCAACGTGTGCAAAGACTCTGAGGGGCGGGGCTGGAAGAACGCTGTACAGAATCATTTCCTACGTCCTCCTGGGCTTCCCGCCCTTCCGCTCCACTGTGGTCAGAGGCCTCGTCCACCCTGATCTGACCACAGGGTACAGCACGAGACACTCCTGGGTGCCAAATGAAGGGGACGGCACAAATCGGGGTGCCCACGAGAGTTCCTTTAATGTGGCACCGCTAAGAGATATCGCTCTGGTAATGCCTTACTTTTCAGGTTTGAACATCAAAATGCAACTGTGTAAAAAGTCATTGAAATAGATTATTCAAGTGACAGAAAATCCTTTTTAACATTCAGATCCTTAAGGTCACAGAAAAAAACTATTTTTTAAAAAGCCTTTTACTTCAGGGTAACTATAGATTCACAGAAATTTGCAACAAAAGTACAGAGACGTCCATGAACCCTTCACAGTTTACCCAAACAGTCATGAAAAAGGTTTTTCTAACTTTAATTCATATAAAAATTTGTGTGGCAGAGAAATAACAGTGAGATTAACAGAAAGGCTTTTAGTTGTGAAAATGTACAGCCCCACTTGATTTTATCCTCAACAAGAACGAGGGAAACTCAGTGTCACAGAGCAGGAAGGACAACAGTGGCCACGGCACGCACTTAAGAGCGATGTACTAGATGTATCTTTAGAAGCTCCGTCTTAAATTGTCGATATTTATAATACACTGAAAACAAAGCCTTTAATCATACTTAAAAACAGGATGTGCGCAGCCTTAAAAAATTATTTCAAGGGGACGCAGCCTTAAAAAATTATTTCAAGGGGACGCACAAACAGCAGAAGCTGAAGACCCCAAGAGAGAGTAAGAAAGAGAATGACTGTGTTTGAGCGCCCTCTGGTGGTGCTGACCAACACGGGGGAAATCTCTGCTAAGGTAACTCATGACTGTCAGAGAAATTAGGAAAGCAGAAAGCTGTCGCCCCTACTGAGACAAGGAGCAAATACATGCTTTAGCCAGTTGTGATACCAGCAATCACGTTGCACGTCTCTGTACCAAACAAGCCCCCGTCGCCCTCCCGAGAGGAACGTCTGTACTGGGTCCACAGTGAGCAGTTGGAGCACTTCACACATCACCTTAACGACCTAGAATGTAGGTGCAATTTTTTTACCAGGCCACTTTGAGAGGATGCTGTGGCTCCTTAGGCCCTCGTCTGAGGCAGGCAAGTAGCCTCGGCGATGCAAGCCCCAGGGAGCAGCTGCTGGAGGACACAAGGCGGGAAGAGGCCCCTCTATCACATCTCCGTGGGCCCTTGCACTCCCCCGCCAACAGGCAATGAAAACTAACCCCAACCCACCACTGGTGACAATGGCCACGCTGGGCCCCCTGGTCTCCAAGACCGCACCTACCATCAGGGTCCGCAGGTGGCCCAGGATGAAGAGGCTGTACTTGGCTCGTGTGATGGCGACATTCAGTCTCTGCAAACTCGCCAGAAACCTAGGCAATCGAAAACAAAGTTACTCTCTGCAGTGCTTGGTGGTTTCAGTGTGGGCGAGACACAGTTTTTAGATGGTTTTCCGTGGGTCCCTTTGACTTTAAAGTCCCGGTGCTCTCTCGCTCTTCTTCCCAGTGCAGGGCACCCGGCGCAGAAGCAAGTCCCACCGAAAACAGTGCACAGAACCCCCAGTGTCTTCCTTGAAACGGATGCGCCTGTCGGTTTCCTGTTTTGACTTGAACGAGATACTGGGGATTTTGACAGTATGACTTCTGAACCTGAAAGACGTCTTAAAAATACGGGACTCGAATCAATTAAATCTAAGTGTATCTGAGGGCACTAAAGCACTGTGGGACCGGTGCACAAACAAATGCAACAACTGAGGAGGAGGAGGGCACTCAGAGTCGGCAGATCCGGTGCCAACGCAGATGGAACGACCCGTCACGCGGTCCCGAAACAAGTGGCCCCCACGTGTGCACGCAGACCACCTCCAGGCAGGGGCAGAGACAACGTGCATGACTGTTTTAAGAGCAATTAAACATATTTACAACCAGTAAATTTCACCCGTCACTCGTCAGAGGGAAAAACCTCAGCGTGCTGAGACAAGGGAGTTTTCTGGCACCCACTACACACCCACTGCACCCCCTTGGCGCCTCTGGAAATAAGCTGACCGTGCTTGAGGTGAACAAACTCGGCCAAAACAGCAAGCACTGAGAGGAAAAACCACGTCATGGTACATCCTGTGGGAGAGGAACGAGCCCCTGCAAACACACTTGATCCAATGACGTATTTACTCATTACACCGTATCGTGGGTTCATATAGAAGTATCTGGGCAAGTAGAACCGACGGGTTAATTTCACAGCTGGAAAGGTCAGTAACAGTTACTCACCCAATTGAACCTTGCACAGTGTTCGCTCTGACGCACGTAACAATGATACAGTCTTTCTGACGACCCTGAAATGCGTCCACGGTATCTACCTCTGCCAGCCTGGTCACAGAAGAGAGACACTCGCTGCAGAAACACACGCGTTAAACACACGCGTTCCTGATGCTTCAGGAACGTCTTCGTGTATCCATGGTTTCGGGAACACAGCTCGCACAGCACAAAACCCGCCGCTTTCAAGTACAGTCACCACGCTGTGCGACCATCTTCCCTGACGGCACATCTCCACCACCCAGAAGAGAATCCGTCTCAACTGCCCCTCCCCACAGGCCCCTGCGACCGCGAACCCCCTTCGTCTCCACAGAGCCACGTGCCACGTGGCCTTTGTCTGCCCCCCCCAGCACGTTTTCAAGGCGCACCTGCACCCTCGCAGGTGTCAGAGCCTCCTTTCTCTTACGGCTGAGTATTTGTCCAGGTGCACAAATAAAAAGTTTATGTATCCACTTACAAAGCCTGTTGGAAGTGCTTGATTACTAACTCTGCTTCTTTACTTTTTAAAGGTCTGTTCAAATCTTTTATTTTCCTAGAGCCAATTTTGGTAGTTTGTGTGTTTCTAGGTCAAGAAACTTTTGAGTCAATGGGTTTCCAATACTTTTTAATTTTACTGCTGAGGTAGAAGGACGACAAAAACGTGACCTTCCCTCTGTGTATAAAGACACTAAAAGGGTTAATGAAGGGCGTCCAACTGGCAGCCCAGGAGGGCTGTGAGCGCAGCCCAACACAAAACTGTATATTTACATAAAACACGGAGATACTTTTGTTACGTATCACAGTGACTTTTCTGTGTGGCCCAAGACAACTCTTCTTCCTCCAGTGTGGCCCAGAGATGCCCAAAGGCTGCACAGCCCTGGGTTAAGTAATTTATTCTAAGTGACAATGGGACTCCCTGCGTCTCTTGAGAACTGGGACTGAGTGAACGAGCTGTGGACTAAATGGAGGGAGCGGCCCCGAGAGCTCTGAGGCCGGCGGCACGGCCAGGTATCAGGTGGCGGGGGGCGTCCCACAGGCGGGGGCTCCGTGCACAGGGCTGCGAGCGGGCCCACCTGCAACCCCGTGCCCTGGGCTAGACCACGACCCCCATTTGAGACTGCTCCCCACGTTTCCTTCCCTTGTGGCCCCTTTCTTCTCAACTCAGCTTAAAAACTAAACATATCTGTAAAAATGGAGATGCCTCACCCCTTTCCTTCAAATTCTTTGTCCAACTCCTTCTGAATCATCATCTTCTGAGCCTTGTAATGGGTTATGATGCCAACATTCCGGTAAGTAATGTCCTTTCTTTTGTCTTTAAGAAGTTTGATCAATTCTATGACCACTTTTATTTCTTGAACATTCACGTAAGAGCTAAATGAAACAAACAAAAGGACGTGTTGAAACGCACAGCAGTCCGACTGCTAACTCAAGTCCCACCCGCCTCTGTGACAGGAAAGGCGGTTTGTCCCCACTCCCACTCAGCAGGGACTCAAAAAGGCGGTTGGGCCGGCCCCTACCGTGGTGCCATCAAATACAAGATAACTGGCTGGTGCAACAAAGTTGTGAGAGAGAAAAGTTTTAAGTCAACTGAGGCATAGGCACCAATCTCTTAACACCTGGTAAACATCTGTTGAAACAAGAATAGCAATGGTAAAGAACGAAAGTGTAACAGAGAGGACACGAACAGTAAAGATCTGCTGTCTTCCGCATGCTGAGAAAAGTGCTTCAGATGGGTTTTTTCCATCCTGACCCGAGGATATGTTTTACTGATTTCAGAGACAGAGAAAGACGGGGGGAGAAAGAAACATCCGCGTGAGAGACAGATCGGCTGCCTCCTGCACGTGGCCCATCTGGGGATTGAACATGCAACCCAGGCACACACCCTGACTGGGAACGGAGCCCACAACCCTTTGGTGCACGGGACGATGCCCCCGCCAGCTGAGCCCCAGCCGGGCTGTGCGAGTCTCGCACCACAGGAGCAGGGGTAAGCCAGCCACACAGACTCCCAGGACACAGCCCGGGAGATGTACGCCAGGGGTCCTGCAGCAGCCCCGTCCTCACTGGCCTCCTCGCTGGCCTACCCCTGCCCTCCTAGCTCACCACCCCACAGGGGACAGGACACACAGAGGCACGGCGGGGGGACACTGCACAGGCACCGCTGTTCCCGAGGCTGCCTTGTCTCCCTTCAGGAGCCTTCGGTGCCCACCACCCTGAGTTCAAGACTTCCTGTGCAGATGACCCAGCTAACTAGCTCTCTCTTCCGCCTATCACTTCTGTTCTGCTCCATCACCTCTCAGGTCAACACCCATCTTGTGCGCTTCCACCCCCACAATGCTCAGGGAGCTCAGCTCTCGGTCCTCTGCTCCGTCCGTCCCACAGTCCCTCTGGCAGTGTGAACCCCGGCCACCCACATCTCTGCATTTCCAACTGCCCCGTCTTCAGGGACATCCTCTGAGGACGCGGCCTGCTCTGCGGCTCTTGGGACTCAGGTGGGCTCACATTCCCTCCAGCGTCATCGTGCACAGGGGCGTCCATGCCTGTTCCCACCAAGGCAGACCCCAGCCTGCCTCTCCTCTGCTCGCTCACAAGCAGCCCTGGCTCCCCCAGGTGCTTCCCAAAGAGCAGCCCCCACCCTCTCTGCTGCCACTCACAGACCCCCCCAACAGCACGACACACGTCGAGTCCTGCCCACCCTCGGTCTCACACCCTACGCCGGCCAAGTCTACGTTGCTCCTTCACAACACTTAACCCAGATGGCGCCATCCATGGCCTTGGCGATCACCCATCAGAATGCGGAAGAGCCCACTCAGAGCTACGGCCGCGGCCTGGACACGCTCCAGTGCCCACACCACATGGGGGGCAACGCGGTCTCCACTGCACACGTCAGAACCCAGGGGCTGAACCACGGACGAGGGCATCAATGGTTTGCCTTTTAAACCGGAGACACTAGTAACCTGGCTCCATAAAACCAGCCACACTGCCACCAGGCAGAGGGATGTGTGCGGACAGTGCTCTGCACGTAAAAATGACCAGAAAGACCATGGCAATTCTGGGACCTCCCCAGGGAGTGAGAAAAGAGGGAAACGTACTCGTTGTCCCGCCTCTCCAAGCCGTCTCCGACATCGAACACCAGGTAGGGCTGAAACGGCCACTCGGACGAGCACCGGATGGTCTCTGTCATTCTGCAAGGGGACAGACACCGTTCAGAGCACAGGTCCCCACAGGGCAGGTACCTGAAGAGAACTTAACTGTTAGCACCGTCTTCCCTGTGTAGGAGGCAGCTGGGGAACTAAGGGCACCAGAAGGGCCTTCTTCTGTTGGGACGTGCTCTGGTGAAAGGTGGAAAACAAAGTTTATTTCTATTCCAGCGCTTGAGAGAATGAGCGGTGTGATTAAAACATAACAATTACGATGGAAAGTTACTCATAACACAGGAAGTTAAAAAAGCAAGCCTCTGAATATTATACAGAGCACACTGCAATTTTCTTTTTGAGCTAAAAAAATGAGAAAGACGCACACAGCGCAAGGACCAGAAGAAGACGCACCGAAACGTCACCGGTGCCTACTTCTGGGCAGTGCGAGCACCGCTGGCTTCCCGCCCTCCTTTCTTTGCTTGTCTACACTTGCCGTAACCAACGTGACTTCTATAATTAGAGAAGACTATTACGTTTTGCATCGATGCTTTTTACGACAGGACTTAAGCCCACAGTGGAACGGCTCTCCTTTCTAAGCAGCGCCCTGTGCACGGAACCGGCCGACACGGACGGGGGCCCACCTGTGGGTCTTCAGGCTCCTGCCGTACACGTAATTGGAAGGGAAGAGGCAGATGTCGGGGTGCATCCTGTACTGGACGCTCAGCTGCAGGATGGGCAACCTGCCGCTCACGTTGTGCTCCACGTTCTCCTCCAGCAGCTTGCAGAAGCGGGCCATCATCGACTGGTCGTAGCCGTGCTCCTGCGCCTTCTGTTGGGCGGGAAAGTGGCCGTCTCTGAGGGGCCGCCTGTCCTCTCCCCCCCGGAGCAGTGACAATCACTGAGCTCCAGCCTGCGTGTGGCGAGGTTCGGGGCCCACGCCCGACAACCAGAGGGTCAGAGAAGGAAGACGTTTCTGACCCTGGCCCTTGAAAAGCGGGCAGCTTGGCCACAGAGGTTGAGGCCCTGCCTCTCCCTCCCTCAGAAAACCCACCCCCTGCGCATGACAGGGGCAGGGCCTTCCGACTGAGCACAGCTGAGGCTGTGCTGATGCCAACACCTGTCTCGGTGATGACAGACCAACTGCTTTGTCCCCCTCCCAGCTGAGCTCGCACCCCCGCAGCCTGAAAGCCAGCCGGCGCCTGCCTGACAGGGAAGAGAACGCCGTGGTGTCACCTGGTCTGCACCTGGGGATCCCCCTTCCAACGCCAGCCCCGTGCCGAGACTCAGAGAGCACGGCCTCGAGCAGCCCGGAAGCGGGAAGGTGCTCTCCAGGGGCAGCTCGAAGGCGGGACCCTCCTGAGCGAGGTGGGTGCGGGGCTGCAGGTGTCCCACCCACCAGCTGCGGGTGGGCAGAAAGGGTGTACGTCTGAATAGTACACTATTTATGTTTGGGATTTGAACTACATAAAGTAACTATTAGGAGACATCTGACAACGTCATTTATACCCCCTCAAAAAAAATTCATTCAAGTTAGCCAAAATCTCACTTTGGCTCTTCTCTCTGGGGAAGAAGAGAAACGACTTACAGGAGGTAACACGGGTACTCCTGGAAAAAGAGCCGAGCCCCCGACAAGAGCACGGGGAAGGGCCTTCCCGGTCTGTCTGCCGACTGCAGAGACACCGGCTGCCACAAAGCCGAGCCCTGCACACGCGTGCACGAGCACACACCTGACAACTGCCCGACACCCTCCCGGGGGACACGCTCGTGTCTGTCACCTGCTGGGATGTGAGCCCCAGGAGGGCAGGGACTGCAGCCGGTTCTCTGTGCTGTCACCCTGGCACCCGAGCTGGCACCCGAGCGCGGCCGGCACTCGGCGGGCACAGACTAAGGGAGGGGACCTGTGAACACTCGGGTGCCCCGCAGGTCTGTTCAAATGCTCACTGAGCTATCCTCAGCTATCACCCTAGAAAGAGGTCGAAGAAATGAACTTCGTACTTATTTTCTGAACTTTCCCCAATAAGTCTGCATTATTTTTGCAAGGAGAAGGAAGCCCAAATAGATTTTCCTCATTTTTGCTGTTTTTAGTCAACCACTAAAGTGGACACTTGAGCGGAGGCCCATCAACAGCCTTTCTGTCCCGCAGCCCTTCAGAGTCCGACCGGCACATGGTGGAGGCGCGTGTGGCCTGGTTTCAGAGCTGCGGCCTGGCCCTGACCCCATGACCCCACCCCGACCCCCCCACCCCCGCACATGCATGGCTGGGCACCAGGGTCACTGGGAGCGGAAACACGAGAGGTGGACCACGAGGCAGGTGCTCACTGCTGCCTTCCCACGGGAGAGCGTGAGGGCCACAGTTCCTTGTACCACAGGGCACCCAATTCTAAAACTGGGACGTGCTCTAAAGATAATCTGTTTATAATGTTTTCCTCCAATTTGCACATACGTAAATGCAAATCGGTGGCCTGGGATTCTTCTCCTTGCTTCAAACCTTTTCATTCGTTACTTTTGTGGCGTTTGTTACCCACATGAGTCGGACACAGCCTTTGACGCAGCGGCACACAGCCTGTCCCAGGAAAAGGGGCCTGGGGGTCACTCCCGGGCCTGGCGCCGCTCCTGCCACACACGCACAGACACGTGTGTGCGCACAGAGGCGTCTTCAGAGACGTGAACGATTAAGACCCAAACCGTGATTCTCTTTTTCCCAGACTTTCCAATACTTTTCCCTACAAGTAAGAGAACGATCCAACAAAGACCGCCGCCCCCACAGAAAACCCCAAAGCAGCCCCTTCCACGTTAACACAGTTGGAATGCAAGGAACTCACCAGGGAGATAACCGTGGGGGGGAGCTGCTTCGGGTCCCCCACGAGGATCAGCTTGTTGCAGCGGTGGATGAGTGGGGTGAGGGTCTCGACCTCACCAGCCTGCCCGGCCTGCGGAACAAAGCACGGAAGGAGACTCGTCTTAGCGGTCTGCGCTTTTTAGTCGGCGTGTGCGGTCTGCCCGACTCGCAAATGCTCGAGCCGTTCCGAGAAGAGCCTCACTTTGTCCTTCTGCACCAAACACTAAAAGCAGGATTTTCTTAGAAAAACAACAGAGCAAACGCTCCTCACTAAAAAACCCCACAACACACATTTTGAGGCCAGCCACCACTCAGGTGCCACTGAGACTTAGAAGGCCACGGACTGCCCCAGGCTTGCGGTCCTCGTTCCCACTGCAACTGCACTGTGTCCCCACCCACCCAGCTTTCTCCTTAGTCCCCAGGAGGCCTTTCGACAGCAAGACTGGGCGTTCCTTCCACCGCATGCCGTGTCCTTCAGCCCTTCCTCACACCCTCCGACTCCCCCTGGGTGACTGCGGGACCGTGGGCCTCCTGTCGCTACTACATGTTTGCTCACGAATGAACCAGGACAGTGCTGTGGCTCGGGCTGTGCAAAGGCATATTTAACATGCTTCGGAAGGCAAGCTGAGACACAGCAAGGAGAAGCTCAGACCATCCGTGGGCAGGGTTTTGTGAGGAACAACTGGGCATCCTTAGTAGTAAACCCCAACACTGGAAGGGTGGTTTCGACTGTGGGGAGTCCTTGGCCTATGTCAACATGAACGAATTCACGTGTCATGGCAGGTAAACTCAGAAGCAAAGACCACTGTGTCCACATCTCCCCAGTCTGTTTGTCTACGACCCCTCGTGGCACCGTCCAGGCTGGACAGTGGACTGCAGACTGACCTCGTCGACGATGACACAGCTGAAGGGGACGCCCCCCTGCCCCCGGAACGCAGACTCGAGCAGCAGGCCGCCGCTCGTGCTCAGGGTGCAACAGATGATGTGGGACTCCAGGATGATGATGCTCTGGGTTTTCTGTGGGCGCCCTTGAACCTGAGACAGCAAGCAGAGGCTCGTTATTACTCGGTTGTACGTAAATTCTTGACTACAGTAGGCCTATTTTTACTATAAAACACCCACCTTTATTATGTGACAGAGTAATATTTAGTAAATGTAAGAAGAGAATCTCAACCTACAAAAACAGCAGAAGCATTCAAGATAACCAGAAACCACCAGAAAAACATATTGCTTTGCAGTACAGTCCAAACTTAGAATCAGATTTAGGCACACTAAGAAAAATTTACCCAGGGTCTGATTTTGTCAAAGTCAACGACAACTCTTACAGCCACAGATGCATGTGGGCAGGAACCAGAATAAGCGGAGATGAACTGATTCTACCGAGTTGTGAAGAGACTGAGTAAAACTAAGGTTGGAACCAAACTTGCTTGTGTTCTTCAGTTTGTTTTTATGTACGTAAGGATCTTCTTCCTTTTCGAAAGGCTAGCACCAACAGCAAAGGCACTCTCCTCCCAGGTAGATAACAGCCCTGGCCAGCCCCCATCCTGCTGCATACAGCCCTCCCTGAACACGCTGCCCTGCAGACGGAGACCCTAGGAAAACGACTCAGCCCGCCCGGGGGGCCGGACCGGGCCATGGGGCAGACGCCTCACACTGCCCACCGCCCGGGGGCCAAAGCCATACACTAGTGCTCTGATCAGGGACTCAGCCTGTTTCCGCTCCCAAAAGCAGTGGTGACCCAAGGCCACACAGGACACACCCAGCCCCGGGCTCTAAGGCTCTCATGTGAGCTCCGGATGGAGGGGGGTGACTGTGGCCCCCCAGGGCTGCTGTGCTGATGCTCTGCCACTCACCTCCTCTCAGTCATCGATGAGAAAATAGACAAACACCACGGCCACAGAACAATGTGACTAACAACAAAAACCACGCTGTCTGTGAACATGAACTTCATCCTTCAATGTGGGAAGACTGAGTATGGGCTCAGTTTAAAATTTTAATGAAAAGCTCTCCACCTAATTTTAATTTAAACAGACAACTGCTAATGGGAATATGCATTAAATTCAATTGTATTTATTCAGCCACACAGAGAAGGCTGACCATACACTGCCGACAGAACACTGGTCACACCACTGGGCGGTCTTCCGCGCCCTCGCTGACCCAGACGAAACACCGAGTTACCTGAAGAAACGCAACATGGAGTCCCCGGCGCCACTGCACTTGAACGCAGACCTGTGTTCTCCTCCTTTTTTCGTAGTAAAAACACCCACAAACCTGTTTTCATTATCCGTCTGGCTCTAAGTATCATAACTGACTTTGCAGTTGCAGGGGAAGGAAATAGAGGACCTAGTAACAGGATTTTTAATACCCACCCAGACCTAGAAAGGGAAAGCTACTTTATGATCACTTACTGCTTAGAAATCTCAGGTGGTGATAAGAATTCATTATCAGGCTTAGTAAACAAAGGCAAATATACAAGTAATTACATCACTATCTCCACTTTTGTATTTGTTTCAAATTTCTCAAAAAATGTTTAAAATGTAACTGATAAAAGCTCACTGCTTGTCTGACCTATGTCGTAATTACAAAAAAAAATGCTATACAGTTAACTACTTACCTCTTTAATTTTAGAAGCAAGTTCCTGCCTTTCTTTGGAAACGTGAGCAATTCTTTCATCTAATTCTTGCCTCTGGAAAAATTTAGAATGCCATCACCAAAACCGAACAGGCATTTCAGAATGCTCTCTAACAATCCGCCTCCCTCCCAAAGGGGGGGCCTGCACTCCACCCGCAACACACACACTTGCTGGTTCGCTCTCCCTCTCGGGTGAGGCCCTGACACCCTCCCACATCGCCAAGGCCCGGCCGAGCTCAGCACCCCCGCCACACTGCTGCCTCCACACCCGCTCCGCGTGGCCGAGCGGCCCGCAGACCTTCGCGGACCCCGGCCCCTTCCCACAACACGTGCCCGAGGCGGCCCAAGAAGGTTTCTCTGGCCGCCTGGACACCAGCTGTCTCTTAGCCACCACCCCGCCCCCCTGGCACAGCCCCCCTCCTCGCTCCCCAGGTGAGGTCTGTGGGTTGGACCCGCCCATCCAGCCTCAGAGCAGGACCCCAGAGCACTCCACCCGCAGGCCTTGATAAAGGCATGCGCCCCAGGTGCTGCACCTCTGTCTGCCCTTGGCCCTGGCCCCCCGTGTGGCCCCCCCCATGGTGAGCTGTGCCCTTCCTCCAGTACCTGAGTAATAAACCTCACTATTTCAGTGTCTCTCCCACTCCGCTGCTGCATAGTCCACCCAGCACCCTGTGCTCCCCCCTTAGCAGTCCATGGAATTTGACAGATTCTTCCCGGTGTAGGATGCCCTTAGGTCCAGTGTGTGGCATGTGAGCTACTTCTGAGCACCTGGGCTCTTGAGCCGCCATTCCTTCATTCACTTCCAGGTGGTTCAAATGAGGCCATCAATCACACCTCAGTCATCTCTGGACACAGTGACAGGCCTATAATACAGACCTGGTCGATTATGGCACCCAGCCCCTTAAAAGCACGGATCAGAGCTGCCTATACACCACAGACTAACCTGAGTTTTTACTTGGAACCGATGCATGGGTAACAGGAGGGGCTCTCTCCACCTGGGGCTTTTCTGAGCTGGGTGGTGGAGCCCAGAGATGCTGGCACCCATCTTCTCCAGGAGGAGAGATGGCTGATACACAGACAAGCCAATCAGAGGCGGAGAAATGACAAAGCTGGCTGAAGTCAACCCACTCCTAAACGTCCCAAGTCAAGATGCCAGTGAATTCCCTTTTGTCTAACTTGAATTGAGTTTCTTCAACTTGTAATCCAAAGATACCTAATGAATTCAGTACAGCTTTAACAGAAGGCAGGCAACAGCAAACTACAGCCAAACTCAACTCACCGCCTGTTTATGTAAATAAAGTTTTATTGGAACACAACCGCAACCCTTTGTTTGTGTGTATCTCCCATTGCTTCTGTGCTATCACAGCAAAGCTGAATTGAGGAAACAGACCTGCAAAGTCTAAACCAATTACTGTCTTGACCTTTTCAAAAAAAGTCTATGAAACCCTGATGTAAGGCAAACCACTTTTGTATACATTTTTATCAATACATTATGCTATTCTACAATGAAAAATGGCATCCAATACTCATCTAGTTTGTGCACCTATGATTTATTAAAAACATTAACCAGTTCTGCCTTGTGTGGATCGGTGGGTTGAGTGCTGGACTGCGAACCCAAGGGCCACCAGTTCAATTCCCAGTCAGGACACTTGCCTGGGTTGTGGGCCAGGTCCCCGGTGCCAGGGGTGAGACAGGTAACTAATGGATGTTTCTCTCCCTCTCTTTCTCCCTCCCTCCCCCTCTCTCTACAAATGAATAAATAACATCTTTTAAAAAATTAACCAAAAAATGTTTAGATACCTGCATTTCCCTCCCACCTCGGCACAGGGCACGCTGGCGGGAAAGTTCATCTAGCTGATGGTCTAGGTACTCCTTTCTTCTATGCATCTCCTGAACGTAAGATGGTAAATCTTTTTCTTAAAAAAAAAAAAAAAAAAAAAAAAGAATTATGTGCCATCTCTCAACACACATATATGCATACCAACAAGTCCTCAAAGTCAGACTACCTCTGGGGTCTCCACATACGTTACATGTCCAACCTCGCCCACTGCACCCAAGCAGATGGAGCCTATGTCGGCGCGAACTGTACTCGGTACTCACTCATTCTGTGGCTGACTTGGTTGTCCAAACTGAATTTCAGGACCTCATTATTGATCGACTTTTCTGGCCCCAGACGCACTAAATTGATATCGCCACAGTTTCCTGTTGATGAAAAGCATACTCATGAGACCGAAAGGACTCTGCCGACCTCTGTCCACCACGACAGGGGTCTCTGAGCAAACACATCAACAAGCACCCGGAGAAGGGCTGACGGGAATTGGCCTAGCTGGAGGGGTGCCACGTGGGGCTTCACACGTGCTGCTCCAGAGACTCTGCATGACAACTGTCGAGGAAGAATTTGTCATTTCTCCTCGTAAAAGGCAGCCAGGTCATATGTAAACACTACCCTGCGGACATGAGACTCTATTATAGTAATGTTTCTCAAATTGTTTTTTGGGAAAGTTTCCATGGTTTAATACATTTGAAAAATGGTGAGTTAAAACACATTTCTTACCCATAGGATATTTCAAAAATATATAAAGACTATTTATACACCTCTAAATTTCTGAAATGATCTTAGTTGACCATCAGTCCTTTTCTGCAGAATACTTAGAACCAAATTTTGAAACTCGACTCCACATCACATTCTACTCCACTGACTAGAAACACCCCGTGCGTTACGACAGATGCCCGAGTTGTAGGGCGAGTCCGTAAGAGGATGAGACAGACCCAGGAGCCAACCACGAGAGAGTGAGCCGGGAACCAGTGCGGACGGCCCAGAGCAGCTGCCGTGGCCTCCCGGAAGCGAAGGCTGAGAGGGGGTCACCGTCTCCGTGCTCAGGCAGTTCTTAATCTGCATTCAATAAAATGCAGAGATTTACACATCTTTTGTTTTACAAAGTTGAACAAGTGTCTACATTGGCGGAAGCACCACTCCAATCAAGGTGTAGAAGTTTTATAACATGGGCTTGGACTTCAGGGCCTGCTAGCAAGCAGCAGACCAGACAAGCAGCAGGATGGAAAAGAAATGAACCTGTCCTGTCCTGGCTGAGCTGGGAAAAAACTCATTCTGTCCTGGGACTTCGCCACCACAGGCCTGTGCCACGTGCAGATTTACGGGCTAAACATTCAACACAAAGGTGGCCCTCAGAAATACAGTTGAGATTTTAGAAGTGAAAATACAAAGAACTTTATACAATATATATCTGAAAACCTAAGACAGAGTGAAATTCTTTTGAACATGTGAATTAGCAAAATTCACTCAAATCCAGAAAATGTGAATGAAGCCTTAACAATTAAAGACATTTAAACAGTGGATAAAAACTTACCCTTCGGTCAAAATCAGAAAAGACAAAACAAAACAAACAGCACTAAAAACAAATGAACCTTCAAGGGAAAGATAATGTCATATACAAAACATTCCAGAGGAAAAAATACTTCCCCTCAACTCCATTTTTAGTTTGTGTAACTTCAACACTAACACCAGAAAAAAATATGACAAAGAAACTACAGGCTGGCCTCATTTATGCATTTTAAAAATTCTAAGTAAAACATCAGTAATCCAAGCATGTGTTAAAAAACAGTAACACAACCAAATTGGCTTTAAGAATCAAAGATAGTTTATCATTAAAAAAAAGTAACTTACCACATTAACAGATTAAAAAACTTCACTACCATTTCAAAGAATGCCAAAGAAAGGCCCCAAAATGCAACCAGATTCAACACCTGCTCCTGACAGAAACGGGCAGAAGGGGACGCGAGCCAGTGAAGGCCACGCACCGGGACCCACACGCAGAAGTCACGCTGCACGGCAGGGCGTCACTTCCACGCGACGGGAAGCCGTGGAAAGTGGTGAAAACGAACCACCGAGAAAGGAGGAAAAAGCTTCCTCTACTGACAGAAGCTGTTTGCTCTCCAAGAAAAAGAATAAAACGCCTGCCTCGCCCAGCCGGCCTGGGGCCCGCAGGCCCTGCGTGCCGCCCAGGCTCGGCTCCGGGTCAGGTGCACTGGTCTGACCAGTTTCCAGAAGAATCTGGCACTGTCTAGAGAACCAAAGACATGCAAATCTCACTCCAAGAATTTCGCTCTGGGCACACAGGCAGCAGACCAGCGACCTGCACCTGTGATCTGAAGTACACTTCACCCATCAGCAGGGAGAGAGGTTACTGACCCTCCCCACCTATCCTCTGATCTTTTCTGGTTTTTTCACCTCTTTTATCTTGTTTAAATATACTCGTTATGGTCGCCCTAAACTGACTGGCAGCCCACTAGTGGCAGTCACAAGCCACCACCTGGGAAGCACCTCTCGGAGAGCTGCAGGAGCACAGACGTGAGGAAGAGCCCGGAAGCCTGCCCCGCCCTGCCCCGCGTGTGGCCTCTGCCCGGCGGCCGCACCAGCTCGCCTGCGCCTGCCCGGAGAACAGCACACCCAAATGCGTGTCCGCTGCAGTAATGTCTGGAATAACAACGGGACAGAGGCTTCCTGTCAGGATGGCAGAGCAGGCAGACTCACTCCTCTGGGCTCCAGCACCAAGATGGCAGCTTGAGGGGCACCAGTGGCATGTAGGGGGAGGCTGAGGTGTCTGACATCAAGGTCAACAGAGGCCACTGTCCCTTTTCTGAGTCCTCCCCACACAGAGCCGACAAGCTGATGCCATATCTGAGACTCCCATCAACAGCTAACACTGTTTGACCCACTTTGGAGATCCCCAGAGACTCTGCCCCACCCAACTCACAGGCCCACCCAAGCCACTTTTCCGTGTGAACGGTCTTGTCTCAAGTGGCAGAACTTCCTAAATCTTCTCAAATGAGCACAGTTGGCCTCACTGAACCCCAGGCCTAGAACTGGCAGCCCAGATTCACAGCTTGGCTTCCCCAGAAACCTCCAAGCCCAGCACAAGGAGCAGCCATCTCAGACTGCCGTACAGCTCAGGCAGGGAGCCCCAGGCAAACACAGGTGGGGGCTGATCTTGGCCGGCACACACCCCCCCCCGGGAAACCCCAGGGCCAGCGCCCCAGAGGACAGCTACAGACCATGTCGGAGCACCACCACCCCGACCCTGCACAGCTGATCCTCCCCAGAGGATGGAGGCTGGTGGTCAGTGGTCACAGCCAGTCCTTGCACAGCTGACTGGCCTGGGTAAACCCCTCCTGTTGATCTGCCCACAACAACCAAGGCTCAACTACAAGAGAAGGGTGTACTCAGCTCACACAAAGGGTGCACCTCGAGTACCCAGCAGGGGTGACGGGCGGCTGTACCGCTGGACCCTACAGGACACCTACTGCATTAGGCCACACCACCAAGACAGGGAGTCAAGCAGCTCTAGAAACAAATGCAGGGAGGCTGCCAAAATGAGGAGACAAAGAAACACGGCCCAAATGAAAGGACAGACCAAAACTCCAGAAAAATAGCTGAACGAAATGGAGAAAAGCAATCTATCAGATGCAGAGTTTGAAACACTAGTGATCAGGAAGCTCAAGGAACTCAGTGAGGATCTCAGCAGCATAGAAACGATCCTGTCAGAAACAAAGGATGTAAGAAACGTTCAAAGTCATGAAAAGCAGGGACCTAGAGCCAAAATTGCTCTACCCCACAAAGCTATCATTTAGAATTGAAGGGCAGATAAAGAGTTTCCCAGACAAGGAAAAACTAAAGGAGTCAATCATCATCAAACCATCATTATATGAAATGTTAAAAGGACTCATTTAAGAAAAAGATCAAAACTATGGACAATAAAATGGCAATAAACACATATCTATCAACATGTAAATCTGAAAAACAAACTAAGCAAACAAGAAGACCAGAGACAGGATCATGGATACAGAGAGCGTTTTGACGGCCGGCAGATGGGAGGGTGTTGGGGGAATGGGTGAGAGGTGCGGGGACTAAGAAGTACAAACAGGCAGTCACAGAGCAGCCCTGGGGAGGTCAAGTGCAGCGTAGGACATGGAGCAGCCTAGGAACTTACACCACGACCACGGACGTGAACAAGGGTGGGGGCTTGACTGCCTGAGGGGAGAGGAGGCTGGTGGGTGGTGGGGGTTAAGGAAAAAAAAATTAGGAGAACTGTAATAGCATAACCAATAAAATATAACTTCCTCAAAAAGATTTCTTTATTATTTATTTTTAGAGAGGGGAAGGGAGGGAGAAAGAGGGAGAGAAACATCTAGGTGTGTCTGCCTCTTGTACACCCCAACTGGGGACCAGGCCAGTAACCCAGGCAAGTGCCCTGATGGGGAATTGAACTGGCAACCCTTTGGCTTACAGGCAGGCTAGCACTCAACCCACTGAGCCAAGCATCCAGGGCCAGTAAAACATAACCGTAAAAAATAAAAGAGAAGCTAACTGTCTATCAACAGGCAACAGACACACGGCGCATCCCCACAGTGAAGCGCCCTGCAGCGGCCGTGCTGACAGAAGGAGACTCGTCGCCCTCACAAATGAAACGGTGGCTGGGGAAGCTGCAGACTGACAACGTGCTGGAAGTTCCACGAACCCACGAATTCCCTTTGTAGGTAACACACTCACGGTGAGAAAACGAGCGTGGCCCCTCAGAGCGAGGACGGCGGGCCCTGGCTTCTCCCGTGGCTGGTGTGGCCTGCGAGAAAACGCTGGCGCGGAGGGAGCCCACGGAGGTGCTACCGGCAGCGTCTAGGAACTTCCCTGACCTCGAGGCCAGGGTGTTCCCCGCGCCCTCTCCCCGCCGTTCTCGGGGGCCACTGCTGCAGCGGAGGTGCGCTCGGGAAGACGGCCGCACACGGGGCGGCAGCGGGCAGAGGGAGCCTGGGCCTCCAGACTCGCACCGGTACCAGTGCCAGCCTGCCCATCTCTGGCCTTCTGACTAAGAAGGAAAGAAACTTCTATCACACTTAAACCACTGCATTTGGAGTCGCTTGCGGCCAAATCTCACCCTAACTGATAAAAGGCTCTGTCAGGTAACCTCTTCAAGAAAAACGAAACTTGGTCAGGAAAGACGAGACGTGTGAGCCCGAACAGCAACCTAACACAGAGCCCACCGCACCACTCGAAGCGGACGCAGCGGGCAGGGGTGCCGAGTAAACAGGAATCCTCCGTCTTCGTGCAAGCGCCCGAGCGCCTGCGGTCGTGCTCTTCACCGGCCTCGGCTGGGCTGAGGGAGCGCCCGCGGGCACCGCCCGCCCTACTCTGCGGTGTCTCCTCCTCCGACGTGCGCACGCGGGGGACGGTCTGGTGCAGCCCCCTGGACAGATCTCCCAACTGCTGACACGGAGCGCCGCTCCAGCCTCGAGGTCGCTGCGTGTCTGCTAAGCCCCGGGCGGGGTCTCGCACCCAGAAGCTGCCCCAAGGAGTCAGTAACCCCTGCCCTCGGGGAGCGTGCCACCTCCCGGCTGTGCTGAACTAGCGGTCACGGACAGCCGTGCCTGCTGAACCCCCGCCCCCACACGCCTTCCCCGCCTGTCCCGAAGTGCCCTCCAGGTTTCCCCTAGAACCCACTTCCTCTGAAAGCCCCCCGGAGCTGACAGCACCCACAATCACTCCCCCCGGGAGAGCTGCCAGCCCCGCACTCCGAGCGCCGCTGCGCCCACTTCCTCCCTAGACCTGCCCCTCGGGGGCTGCCCTGCTGCAACGCCAGTGCTCGGCACAGCGCCTGGCACAGAGGACACGCTCGGTAACGTCTGCTCAAAGAGTCCCCAAGGACAAAAGGGCCGCACGGCCTTGTGGACAAGTCATGACCAGATCTGGCCTGCTCTGTCATTGAGAGCTCCCCAAACACAACAGAACAGATCATAAGTCCACATAAGTATCATACCCATAGGATTCTTCTTGTCTTTACACCTTTCTTTGAATTCGACGATAATTTTTTTCATGAGCTCGTCCACGGCCGCATTGGAAGGCGCACACACAAGCACACGGTTCTGCTTGATCTTGGCGTTCGAGTTTTCGTCAAAGCGCCCCCTCCTCTGGTTCCGCGATTCGCCACATGCACCAGACAGACAAAAAATACCGGTGAGCTCTACTATGGCGTTTCAACCTTTTCCTCTATTTCCACGGATGCTTACAAGTTCCCCTTATGAGGAGTTATAGACACACAAAAGCCTCCACACCTCACACCGGTATGAAGATCACTCTGGCATAAAACTACCCCGGCTTCTCTGCACCTTCCTAGTCACTCACTTTACTCAGCTGTGTTCAATCCAACCAAAACTCTGCCACCCAAGGGAGACACTCGAGACAGTCTCCGAGCAGACGGGACCTGTGACAAAGCCAGCAGCCCTCCATCTGGGCCTCAGGATCGTGTCACCCAGAACATCATTTCCTGCCCTTTTTCCTTCTTAGAACCCCCTTGCCCCCCGCTATACCCGTCTGGTAAAACTCCACACGAAATCAGAGAGACACCCAGACGTGAGGGAAGAGGCATGCCGGGGCTTCTTTACCCGCCCGTGAACTCAAGCCGAGCAGCAGCGCCCCCTCAGGCACCGCGCCCACCCCGCCGGCTCTACCTCTGTCAGCAGGCGGTACAGGAGGCCAACGATGGTCTTCGATTTCCCTGTCCCGGGCGGCCCGTGAATGAGACAGATCTTGGCAACTGCCGGGGAGTGTTTCACCATGGCATAGGCGGTTTCTATCGCCTTCTTCTGTTCTTCGTTGAAATCTCTTAGGTAGGCAGTCTACACAAAAGACGTGAGTGAGGATGGGCAAGACCCCAGAGAGACCCGCCCTTCAACTCAAAACCACCCTGGCCACTGGTGAGACAGGTACTTGGCGATGTCTGTAGGCCTCAGCCCGTCGACAAACACCCCAACTGCATTTCCACTTGTGATCCTTATCAACATGACGGCAACAGCCGTGACTGGTGTGGGTCAGCTGGCTGGAGGGCTGTCTCCTAAACCAAAAGGTCACCTCTTCGAGTCCCGGTCAGGGCACTTGCCTGGGTTGTGGATTTTTGTCCCTGGCTGGGGGCAACCTGAGAGGCAACCAACGGATCAATTTTTCTCTCACACAGATGTTTCTGTTCCTCTCTTTCTCCCCTCCCCTCTCTCTAAAAATAAGTAACATCTTGGAACAAAAGATCATGCAGTAAACTGTTCTCCTCTGCTACTTCCTTGGCCCCTCCCGCTCCATCAGCGCTCTCCTCGCACAGTGCGAAGAGCATGGGCCCCGTGGGGTCGGGGGTCGTCTAAACCTCAGTTTCACTCACAGGTGAGGTTCTCAAACTGCTCACCTCTCAGCCTTTGATACCTTCCACTCTGGGATTCCGAAGGGTGAGAACTGACCAAGACGAAGGACACGAAATCCCCAGCACACAGCAGAGGCTCAGAAACGCCCCTTCCCCGTGGTCTTTCTCTGTGCTTATTTCCTGGCACGCAGACGCACCTCCCCCAGGGAGACAGGCGCTCGCGCACAGTGACAGCGTCATCCCTGAACTCACGGCAGCACCGCTCTGCTCCCTGCTCCTGAACTCGCACCCCCGACATCATTCAGGGAGGGCACGCCGACGTGCCCGCGCAGCTCTTCAAGCACGCTTGCGATCGTCTCCGGGGCTCTCCCCTCCTCCCAAGGAGAGCTGCCTACCTTGACACCCGCCCAGCATCCCCGTGTGCACACGGCAGACACGTGGGAACGCGAGGCACACCGAGCCCAAAGCCTTACCGTCCCGACAGGACCCTTTCTGACTTCCCTGCTGCCACACAGCCATCACTCACGATTCTCTCAGATGTTGTCGCCAGTAAATCTTTTGTACAGAAGTCCATGGGGTTTGGGTTCAGGATAGCTCTGGCCAGCTGGTTCCGACCACTCAGCAACATCATGGCTTTCAGTTTCCTTTGTGTGGTTACCAGAGAACTGATTACAACACATTTTACAAATTCACTTAGATTGACTGGCAAGTCACCTTGAGTCTGGATGCAAAGGAAACATTCGTACTTCCCATTACGCACTAGTATCAAGAAAGAGAAAAAGCGGTTTCAGTGACCAGTGAGTAACAGTGTCCAGCTCAAAAGGTTATTCAGAAACTGTGTTCTGTAATGGCTGTTTCTCTATGACGTGATTTAAATATTCATGCTGTCAACCCTTCTCGAAGGCCTCCTAGGAACCAGACCACACTTGGACCCTCCAGAGGCTTCTGTTTTCTGGAGTTAAAGGCAGACCACCGATGACAGCTGGGAATGAGTGCTCTGCAGGAAGCAGCAAGGGGGCGAGGGTTGGGGGGGCATGACTTCTTGCAAGCAGGAGTCAGGGAAGGTCTTCCTGACCAGGTGGCATCTGAACAGACACTTGCAACACAACCCCTCAGGAGGCTCTTGCCGTCATCCAGGTAAACGCTGATAGTTGGATGGCTAAGGACACAATAGCTGAGTGGGCCTGGGCTCAGGGTACATTGCAAAGGAAGAGCCAACAGGTTTACTGATGGAGTAGACGGAGGGTGTGAGAGAGCGCGCAAGATCGAGGGTGACTCCCAGGGGTCCGGCCCGAGACACAGGAAACTCGGCCCCACTAACTAAAACGGGAAAAACTTCGAGGACTAGCAGGCGTCGGGCAGAAAATCAAGTCTGTCTTTTTTGCATGGGGTCTGAACTGCAGAGACGCCTGATGCGTAGATATAGGGGAGTTCAGGAAAGAAGAGCGCCTCAGAAACACAAACTTGGCCAGTGCGGGCACGTGCAGGAGTCGGAAGCACCTGCACGCGCCGTCGCTGCCCTGTGAGACACACCCGGCTCAAGAGCCGCGCTCCAGCTGTGCGCAGGACAGCAGGAGGTATGACGGTGCAGCCTGGTGCCGGACTGGGAGATGCTGAAGGAGTTGCTCTTTCTAAAGTGTGGGGCAAAGGCAAAGCAGTAACGAAATCGTCTTCTCCCACATGGCTGGGACTAGGGCAGCTCGGCACAGAATGGAGAACGGGCTCTTGGCTGTGGTGCTGGACCCACTACCAGGTGCAGAGGGCCCCAGGCTCCGGCTTCCTGACAAGCAGGGTCAAAGAGCTCGTCCTGCTCTGCCGGGCTTCGGGGAGGACAGTAAGTATGACAGGAAGGTCAGGGCACACGTGGGTGCTCACTGAATTCGAGCTAACGTTATTTCTGCTGTGCTGTCCTAGGGAGAGAAGTCCCTACAGCCCCACGGAAACAGCAAACCCCTCAAGCTGCCTCACAATCAGTTACATGCTCAGTCTTCATGTTAATCGCGAGCCAGAACACCAAGGGTCAAATGTGATTTAAGGTGCAGCCAACAGACCTCTCACAGGTTGCACGTTTCATAATAAACATGGCAGATGAAGAAACACATATACAAAAAGGACATTGCAAAGGAAAGCTTTTAAATTATAAGCTTAGAGCAATAAACACTGGACCTTCTCCTGATGCATCTAGAAAAACCAAGAACGAAGGACTCTGAGGCGAGGAACCAGCCCGGCAAAAGCGGGCCCCAAATTAAACGCGCAGCTGACCCCTGAACAACGCAGGGCTTGCGGCGCCCACCCGCCTCCTCGCGTGGTCAAAAGCTCGTGTATAACATCTGACCCCCCGAAAACTTAACTCCCATATTTTTAGGACTGTAAGATGTACCAGACCATAAGATGCACCTAGGTTTTAGAGGAGGAAAATAGGGGAAAAAATTTTGAAGCAAAAAAAAAAAAAAAAAAATTGAAGCAAAAATGTGGTAAAATATTTAATAACCTGTGACCCTGCTCCACCGTCCATCCCCAACCCCACAGCAAGCCAGGCAAGCGACATTTGGACTATAAGACGCAACCCCCTTTCCTCCCAAATTTGGGGATGCATCTTATAGTCTGAAAGATACGGTACTAATAGCCTACTGCTGACCAGAGCTGTACTGGTAACATAGTTGATTGATACATATTCTGAATACTATCTGTATTTATACTGTATTCTTACAATGAAGTAAGCTGGAGACAAGGTAGCATTACTACGAAAATCCTAAGGAAGAGAAAATACACTTACAGCATTTACTGAAAAAAGAACCCACATATAAGTGATCCCGTGCAGCTGAAACCCGTGGTGGTCAAGGGTCAGCTGCAGGGCAAATACCGGGCTGACGAAGGACAGTTGGGGGACACTAAAGATAAGCTGAGAGCCGACAGCTTCCCTTCGATGTCTCCTCATGTACTTACGGACTGACGTGCGGCGGAATTTATGGACGTAGGCACAGTGGTACTCACGGGGACCCTGGATGGGGTTCCCCTCCACATCTCTCTTCTCTCCACTCTGACTTTCAGGGACCAGAAACACCAAATCATTCTCCTTCGGATGAAGCTGTTTAGCTAGTTCACAATCCTCAAGAGAAACTATAGAACAGTAAGATGTCAGTATTTATCTTAACAGAATCATTTTAATTTATATTTTAAACAAGGTTAACTAGAGGACCCTAAACCCTGTGCCAAGTCCCAGCATGTAGAAAGCACTAGTAGTTCACACACACTTAAAATGGTTAAAATAGTCTACAAATACTGATTATACAAAACCATCAAATTTTTCTTAAAAACTGCTTAAAAGGTGAAACAGATGAACACATAATATTCAGAAGTAGCTGATACATTTCCTTCCCTTGACATTTACTTTAGTTTTTAACCTAGGAATTTTGAGTAAGAACTTGAGACCTGCTGGTGCTGCTTCAGACGGGGGAAGAGGGCTGCACCCACTGACGGAGCTGGGAAGCCAGAGCCTGCTCAGGGTCACCAACTCCGGTAGCCACACACTGAGCTCAAGCACGAGGTCTGGGCACTGGGCAGACCAGACCACTGCATCCAAAAGGGTTTCAAACAGAGCAGGTAAGAAATACCTATCTGAAGGCGCCAGGGAGCAAACACAACAATGAAACCCTGTGCTGAGACCCAGAAGGGGTAAGTGCAGTGCTTCCTAAAACATTCCAACTGCCCAGGAACTGCCCCCGCAGGTCGAGCATGCCTGGGACGGCCTCACTGGACTAGAGACAGCAGCTGGAGGTAGGGCCTGCACCAAGTGAGCCCCTAACAGGCCTCCTGCTTCAGGTTCGGAAGGACGACACCCAAGGATGAAGCTGCCATCTCCTGGGTACTTCAGAGTAACTCAGTTCCTTCAACGGGATTAAGATGACATCCCCTTGCTAGTGCCCTCAGAGGCCTGTGGAAGCGAAGGACATTCCACTCTGGTAGAAGACAGTGTATCATCCTAGGACTCAAATGCTTCTTATAAGAAGCATTGTTTCTTGTAAGAGATCGACACACATCTGCGACAAACAGAGCCCGGGGAGAGAAGAACACACGAACTGGCGCAGGGGGACTGCGCAGGGGCTGCAGAATGGGACCCCACACTGACGCTGAGGGAACGCGCCTGAAACAGCACCCGAGGTGGGTGGGGACACACGGAGGCGGTCTTGTAAGGTTCTGCCTTGTCTAGAGAGACGCTTAACGTATCCATTAAAGCCACTGACTTGGATAAATCAAGGATGCACACTGTAAGTTCTAACCTAACTACTAACAGAGTAAAAGAGGTGTAACTTCTCAAACAGAAAAGAAGAAAATGAAAAGTTGTTTAAAAATGGAAAAAATACAAAGAAGTAATCAACCAAACAAAAGAAGATAATAAATGCAAATATGATTAGGTTCACTAGTTTCTACTATTTTTCATTTTACAGTTGGCTCTTTTTTATCCACCTCTGTTGATTTAATGACTCAAAGTTTCATGTACCAAAAGGAAGCTCTCAAAGACGAGCAGGTCCTGCCTAAGCCACTCAGAATTAAAATGAAGGGGTCAGTCACAGAGGATTGAAACACAAGTATGTTTAAGTCAATGCACTTAGAATAAAATAATTTTTAAAAATCTCATTGGTCAACACCAGTGTTTGCAGTGAATTAACTCATTATTTTGAAAACTGATGAGTCAAATACTCATTCTACATTTTTTTATAAAGTATAAAAAAGTAACCAAATAATACGGAGATATTTCTCTTCACAGAACTATTCCAGCTAACAAATGAAGAAATGATCAAATAAAAACAGCATCATTTTGTGTCCTTGCATAAATTAATCAATCAAGGCTTTAAGCATAACAGCTGTAAATATTACAGCAAAATAAATTGGGACTTCCTACCAACATGCAGGCAGAGGTAGACACACTGTGCCTCCTCCCACAACCAAAAGGAGGACAACAAATTTAAAAACAAAAATTAACCAGAACTACCAGAAAACTGAACTGTATAGAAGTCCAACAACTAAGGAGTTAAAGAAGAAACATTCATTCAGACAGGTAGGAGGGGCAGAGACAGGCAGCGGGGCGGAGAGGACTCTCAGCAAGGTGGCAGCTGGTGGACTGGGTGGTCCCAACTTTAAACATTCCAATATCCGAATCACAGACGTACCAGAAGGCAAAGAAGAAGAAGAGCAAGAAATTGAAAACTTATTTGAGCCCTGGCTGGTGTGGCTCAGTGGATTGAGCTCTGGCCTGTGAACTGAAGGGTCACTAGTTTGGTTCCTGGCCAGGCTACATGCCTGGGGTGTGGGCCAGGTCCCCATTTGAGAGCCTTATGAGAGGCAACCAATATCTCTCTCATACTGATGTTTCTCTCCCTCTCTTTCCCTCTCTCTGAAAGTAAATAAACAAAATCTTTAGAAAAAAAAAAGAAAACTTATTTGAAGCTCAGAGAGTCCTGAAGAAGGTGGACCCAAGAAGGAATACCCCAAGACACAACATAGTTACATTAGCCAAGATTAAAATGAAGGAGATAATCCTAGAAGCAGCAAGAGATAAGGGGACAGTCACCTACAAAGGAGTTCCCATAAGACTGTCAGCTGATTTCTCCAAAGAGACCTTACAGACAAGAAGGGGCTGGAAAGAAGTATTCCAAGTCATGAAAGGCAAGGACCTACATCCAAGATTGCTCTACCCAGCAAAGCTTTCATTCAGAATGAAGGGCAGATAAAGTGCTTCTCAGATAAGGTCAAGTTAAATGAGTTCATCATCGCCAAGCCCTTATTACATGAAATGTTAAAGGGACTTATCTAAGAAAAAGATGATGAAAAATATGAACGGTAAAGTGACAACAAACACAACCATTAACAACTGAACCTAAAAAACAAAAATGAACTAATCGAACTAGAACAGGAACAGATTCACAGGAATTGAGATCACATGGAGGGTTATCAGCGGGGAATGGGAGGGGGGAGAATGGGGGAGAAGGTACAGGGACTAAGAAGCATAAATGGTGGGGACAGAATAGGGGGAGGTTAAAAATAGTATAGGAAATGGAGAAGCCAAAGAAGTTATATGTAGGACCCATGGACATTTCCTGGGTGGGGGGAATTCAGGTGGGAGAAGGGGTAAGGGTGGGAGGGGTGGTGCAGGGTGCAGGAGAATGAAGAGGAGAAAAAAAATGGGACAACTGTAGTAGCATAACCAATAAAATATATTTAAAAAGAAGAAATCAGACATCAAGCACATCCTTATAAAGGAAAATACCACCATCAATGAAAGTTTGCCAAAAATAAGAAATCAAACTTGAATCTGATCAAACCCGTCGATCCAAGGACCCATTTACAGGGAGTGCAGAGGATTACAAACCAGTGCACGCCGCCAGCAAACAGCACACACACACAGGGAAGGACCCTCCAGCACCAACGGCGCCATTTCTAAGTCACGGAGGGAAAAATTAGCAAGACTGACAGTCGCAGAGCCGCACCGACCAGTGTCAGTGAGTGAACTGAACTGGGGTTTTAGTTCAGACCAGCTGAAAAAATTTGTTATTTATGAGGAAACCGGAAATTTGAACACTCACTAGCTATATGATACTAGGGAACTATTAATGTTTTTGTAACAAAGTATTGTTTTCTTATGATCTTTGAGGTCCATACCTTTAGACATTCACTGAAATGAAATTACAAATGACAAAAAAATCTAACCAAAGAGAATCTGCAAAACTCCACAGAAAACTATAAAACATTACTGAAAGTAAACCTAAATAACAATGACACACACTTTATGCATTAGTTAGAAAATCAGTGTTAGAAAGATGTCAATTTTTACAAGTTTTCACATTTTCTTCTCTAAAATTCATACAGGAAAGCAAAGGGACACTAACAGCCAAGGCACTCTTACGGCAAAACAAGGTAGAGGACGGTCTACTGGATGCTAAAACCTACAAAGCACTGGCTCTCTCTGGTCCCCGGTCTCAGGCTTTCTCCCGCAGGGACGCGTGGACGGCGTGCTGCGGCTGCCTGCATTTCCCAGTGGAAGGCATCCGCACGAGAAGGAGCTCCGGGCACAGCCTGGGATCAGGCCGGCCTGGCAGAGTGGGAGCTTACTCTTTGGGTGTTCTAGAGGGGACAACCTCTGCGGCAGAAACCTGCCATCCTTCGGAAATTGTGTAGCTTCTGTGTCTTACGTTATTCTAGTTTGTAAGCTAACCCTATAGAAATAAGATAACTAAAACTAACAGGGGGGATGATATGAGAACTCTGGTGTTTCCAAAGTTTAGCCTTAATTGACAGGCTTAAGTGACTAATGCATGTGGAAACTGTTATTCCAAAACTCTGAAGCTCTGGAATAAAGACTCCTTTCCTTTATTACCCCGCCCCCTGAAAAAAACCAAAAAAACCCCATAACTTATAAGCAAGATGAAGCAAGCAGGCCACGTGACACGGGCACTGGCGAGCCCAGAAACAGGCCCACACCTTAAGTGGACACGAAACTCCGACAAATCGGCTCTGCAGAGCAGAGAAAGGGCACCGCGATGAAGAGCACCCCACCAGAGCACACCGTCTCCCCTTGAGAAGAACGGAACGGAAACGTGACCCTGCATCTCACTCATGTACAAAAACCAACTCCAAGGTGCCGGACATCAAATCCTCTGGAAAAGGGGCTGACAAGCTTTCTCTGTGCAGGCCACACACGGTGCGTGCTGCTTACTCATCCTCGTGTCTCAGCCCCTTCCAAACGTGCACCTTAACCGAGGCAGCACGCAAACAGGATGTGGGCGGACTGCACACTGCCGTCTGCCGACTCCTCTCCCCAATGTTAGTTGAGACAGCATCTCCAGGGCCCACAGCAGGAAGGGGCTGTTAACTGAAGCACAGAGCACTAACCTCATGCCAAGAAGCATTTATGTTAATAGGAAACTTGTCGGAAGAATAAAATACAAATTTTTTAGGATATCACTGAGAAAGTCAAAATGCGAGCCCAAGTGGTAGACACGCTTGCATATAGGTTCTATAAAGAACCACTACAACTCAGTGAGAAAAAGACAACCCAGTGAACAGGCACTTCCCCAAAGAGGTTACGGCAGCACCTACTAAACCCGTGAAAAGGTGGCCAACCTCACCACGACAAAGGCTATTACAAAATAAGTGCGCGCGCGCAGCCATCAGCACACGCCCCGTGATGGCTAAAAGGAACACGACGACCGACACTGACGTGCTGGGAGGACACGGCACCCGGGACTGCGCAGACACTGCCGGCCAGCCTGCGCTGCACGGTGGGCTTGGCGCTGTCTACCTGTGCCGAACTCAGGCACCCCAAGACCCCGTGGTCCACCTCCAGACAGGTGTGGCCGAAGGGCCCTCACTAAAGCACCGAGGGACACGAGGGTCACAGCTGTGACCCACAGAGAGGTCACAGTCTGTTACCCACAAACCACTGTGTGAGACAGAGAGCATGGCAGGCCTGTGGCAACTGCAACCTCCCCCATGCTTTTCCCTTTGCTGACTTTGCTTTGCAGTCCTTCGTCACAGTAAGTCACAGCCAGAAGCACGAAAACGTGTTGCGTCCTCTCAGCGAATCGCTGAACTCAGGGATGGTCTTGGAAACCCGATGCACAGGTCAAAGCTGCCGGGGAAAACGCCTGCCTGCAAGGAACTGGGATGTGCTCACAGGACGCTACTAGCGCTTGTGCACACAGAACTGATGAACTGGACAGACGTGCTAAACAAAAGCAGGCAGAGACAAGAGCAAATACCAAGTAAGTCTATCATACGGTCGAGATCAATGGCAGTCAGCCAAACGAGTGATTTAAGTATTATTTACAACACTGCTTCCAAATTAAGAAGACAACCTCCTGAAGAGAAAAAAGTTCAAAGGGCACCATCACCCCTGCCCCTAACCCCCACTCAATCCCAAATGACCAGTGAGGCTCTGGGGACAAAAGCACAACCTCAGGTGAGACACACTTCCATACACAAAACTGAAGAGAGAGTTTACACGGCGAAGGACCGAGACGCGCACCCTCACACCCTGCGTCAGAGGTGGACACCGGCCGGGGGGCCGGGCAGAGGCGGTCGGAACGAACAGTGTCACATCTCACTGCCTCGCTGTGGACCCGGCGAAGACTTACGCGTGCGTGTGACACAGAAAAACTGTGAATCATGTCCACGTCTAGCTCAGAGTGATGTTAACTGCAACTATGGAACACGCTTACAACGAGAGACCTGCGATAGAGTCCACTGTCCTTACCACCCTTGCAACAACTCTGAAAACACGTCCATAACGCAGCACGTGAAAAGAAGTCAAACGCAAGCTTCATGAAGGCAGAAGTTCTGTTTCCCTAACAGCTCCATACCCAGCATCTACAGTCAACCGTGGTCAGACAGCATTTACAGGGTGAGACAAGAGTAGGTTAACAGTTGATTGTATGGAGAATAATAAAAAAATAATAGCCCTGGCTGGTGTGGCTCAGTGGTTTGAGCATCAGCCTGCAAACCAAAGGGTCGCTGGTTCAATTCCCAGTCAGGGCGCACAACTGTGTGGGCCAGGTCCCCAGTGGGGGTCGTGCAGGAGGCAACCACACATTGATGTTTCTCTCCCTCGCTTCCCCTCTCTCTAAAAGTAAACAAAATCTTTTTTTTAAGTAGAATATTAAAAAAATAATAAACCATTTTGCATCCTTACAGCTGCAAACCTACTTGTGCCACACCCTGTATGAAGCCAATACGCATTGGAACGAATGGTCACAAAGCAGTGACAAGCTCCCCCCACACACACACATGCAGGGAGGGGGAGCCCAGCAGCAGGACACACAGTGGAGCGCTCCCGGGGCTGACTCTGCCTGGCAGCAGTGGGGGTGGTCTCTCACTGCTGGCTAGTGTCACCTGACGCCCTATAATGAACACACAGCACCTTTCGTTCTTAGGCGACTCCGTGGGGCGGGGCAGAGCCGGGGGAGTGGGCAGGATTCCCACTTCCTGGGTTAAAGGTAACTAACACCTGAATGTGGTTACGTGCTTCACACCAATCATGAAGCGAGAAGACAGACAGCAGGAAGATCTTACTCAGAGTCTACACACAGTTATTACAACCCACCCCTCAGCCCGCAAGCCCCCTTCACTGGCCCCTCCCTCACGCCCACGCCCAGCTTCCATGGACAATCCAGCCTGCGGTAGTCTCTTTAGAGAAAGATTAAACCCATACATTTATTACCCATAATTATCCCAGTAATTACACTCATCAAGAATTTAAACAGATTCTTTGTAAGAGGCTACTTTAAATTCAGCTGAAGAAAACTACGTCCCAGAAAATTTGAACATTTCCTTGAGCAGAAATCTCCAATTACTACCTAGTATGTTCCAAGTTACATAAGAAAGAACTTACCAACAAACTCCCAGTATTTTTTGTATTCTACAGGAAATTTTCGTAAATGCAACTCATAGAATTTTTCTTTATTTGGAGAGCTGATCCATTCCTGTGCTACCTATACAATGCAAATAGAAAATAAAATAAAATAAAAAGCAAATTAAGAAAGCCAAAACATTGTGGAAAGCCAATACTAAACAGCAAACTTTCCAAAGTAAGCCACAGTTAAAACGCAGAACTTAAATCCCAGGTGATACAAACACTAAAAATTACTTTGGGACTTCCAGCTTCCTGTTCAGCACGTAAGGATCTTAGAAGTTGTCACTCTATCCTAATGCATAAAAAGCTGAACACGGTGAAAAACTCACTTCTGTTACACCCAACACAGAAGTGAGGCTGCTGCCCCCAAACTGCAGACAGGCGGAGGACACAGATCACCGCCACTCACCAGAGCGCAACCTGCATGGAGAGGCCTCTGGGTCAAGACAGGGAACCCGACCTTGACTGGACAAACCGCAGGAGGCTCAGTATGGACAACTCTAAACATTAACAACACTGGGGGAGCCCAGTGTAAGGGGATCCACACTCGGTGAGTTTTGCCTCTTGGAGCTCCACCAGGTTCCCACAGTGAACACTGGAGAAAATTCCCTTTGCTTCCAGCAGAGGGAGAGCACAAGGAACTAATCGTACTTTGCTGTGTACAATGTGCACCCACATTTTGGGCCCAAACTTTCAGGAAAAAAGTCTTTCATTTTAATTTCCTAACTCAATTTTTTATTGACTTGTATTTAGGAGCAAAATCGATGATCATATTCCAGGGCATTATTTTGCGTATGGATATCATGATTGCTTTCTAAAGTTACACTTTTACTGCATAAGCATAAAGATTTAAAAACACTTACATACACACAGAATTAGGACTACCCACATACAATGCACATCCTTATTTTTCCCTAAAAATTTTGGGCAAAAAAATGCACACTATACATGGCAACATCTGGTCTTTTGAAACACTGCACGCCGGAGCATTCAGATCTTTGTAACTGCTCTGCTCTGGGGGCAAACATTTCACCAGCGCCTAACCTGCGGGGCTTCTTTCAGAACCTAATACACTTGGAAGAAGAGAACCCACTCCAGCCCACTCCCCACATGGTGCCCCACCTAAGGAGGCGGGGACTGACCACCGAGTGTAAGGCTCCCAAGCCAGAGGCACAGACTCTCTAAAAGACCAAGGCGGAGTCACAGGATGGCAGAACACGCCCCTTCCCCCCCCCCCCCCCCCGACAACTTCCATACTACTGGGAGTCCCATACGACTTACTACCGCTCTGTTACCCAGTACATCACGGACACCTTCCAGCAAGAATTAAAGGGCATACTTGAAGGCCAAAAGATCAATTTGAAGAACAAGCATCAGAACCAGTCAGACATGGCTCAGATATCAGGACCATCAAACCAGAGAATTTTAAAAACTGTAGTTAATACACTAAGGGTTCAGTGGAGAAGGCAGACCGTGTAAGAACAGATGAGTAACAGCCCTGGCTGGTGTAGCTCAGTGGATTGAGCATGGGTCTGTAAAGCAAAGGGTTGCCAGTTGGATTCCCAGTCAGGGCACATGCCTGGGTTGCAGGCCAGGTCCCCAGTAAGGCACACATGAGAGGCAACTACACACTGATGTTTCTCTCCCACTCTTTCTCCTTCCCTTCCCCTCTCTCTAAAAATAAATATTTTTTAAAATAATTTTATTTATTTTTTTAGATTTTATTTATCTTTAGAAGGGAAGGGAAAGAGAGAGGGAGAGAAATATCAGTGTATGGTTGCTTCTCATATGTCCCCTGCTGAGACCTGGCCACTGCTGGGAACTGGCTTGCAACCTAGGCATGAGCCCTGACTGGGAATCGAACCAGGATCCTTTGGTTCTCAGGCCCGTGGTCAATCCACTGAGCTACACCAGCCAGGGCTTAAAAACAAATATATATTTTTAAAAAGAATAGATGAGTAATGTAAACAGAGATATACAGGGTCTAGCACAAATAACACCCCTCTTTTGTAACAAAGTCTTTTACTGTAAAATCATAAGCATACATTTCTGTAATATAACAGTATCACACTCATGTGCGCATGACACTTTAGGTGAAATGTTCGTATTAAAAGTAAATTATTACACCCATGTCAGTACCCTACCAACCACATTCAAGCAGGTGTTATTTCTGCCAGACCCTGTACATGGTAGGAAAGAATTGAAAAGAAATGCTAGTGATTACAGTGCTGGAGCAGAGATGGAAAAACAAGGATGCCTTTGACGGACTCAGCAGTAGCCCCAGACTTGGCTGAGAAGACTCTCTGAGCTCAAGGCTACAGCCCCGGAAACTACCAAGGCTAGGAAGCAAAAACTGGGGAAGAACAGGGTGGCCGGGACCTGTCGGGGAGCTGCAGCAGGTGCAACCATGTGTGACGGCTGCACCGAGGAAGGGACAGAGCAGTGTCTGAAGCAGGAAGGACCGAAGGATGTCCCCAAGTTAATGCCAGACATCACAACAGAACTAGGAGACCCAGAGAACATCAAGCAGCACAAACGCCAAGAAAACCACACCGAGGCTACCATCACCCCCCGGGCGCAGTCGCTAGGGACGGTCAGCTGGTTTTCCTGGGGTTCCGAGCTCCGGGGATCCGGTATTTAATCTGCAAGTCCTAGGCGGGGAGAAGAACCTGAGCAGGATGGGCTGGGGGCAAAGGGGAGGCCACCAATGGGACAGAGCAGCTATTACGAGTAAGAAACCAAGAAGACAGACGTGTTAAAAGAAATTTAGGATTTACTGGGGGGGTTTTTGTTGTTGTTGCTACCTCTTCAAGGAAACCTGAGTGAAGGCCTACAGTACTTTTCAAAAAAAACAATGCACATGGGAAACTCTCCTCTGAGAAGCCTTCCCTTCCCTTTGTGTTGACAAACAGTTCCCTGGGGCTAGCTCAGGCCCCGGTGCACGAGCACCGGACTGTCAGCTCCAGGAGGGCACAGCTGAAGCAGGTGCCGCCTCCACACCGGCAGCACCTCGGCAGCACTGCACAAACGTGCTTGTGACCTCGAGAAGCTACATCACCACGACACTGGCTGTTCTACCTGCCACTGCTCTGCGGGGTCAAGAAAAGCAGCGACTTCAAAGACTGAAGGGTATACAGTGGAAATACATACTTACTGTTTCAAAAGTATTCACTACCATCAAAGGGAGAAAAACTTTAAAATAATCGCTACAGTCTTGAAATCTGACAGGCACAGGTCTTGAGATGGTCTGACAAAGACTTGCTGGGAGCCCGCACTGGTCGAAGTTCACAAACATCTCATACTTCCATTTTAAGACCTCTTTAACGAAGGTGTCAGAGACGGACTCTGATGAAGTGCTGTCCAGAGAAGATGAAAGAGGTTTGCTTTCACCAAATGGGAGTTTGTAAACTTGCCTGCTGGAATTACTTGGAGTCGGTGAAAGAACGTTGCACAAACCCTTCACTTCACCCAATGGCTTCGGAGACACTGGAGGGACCGGAGAAGAACGAACGTTGCACAAACCCTTCCCTTCTCCCACTGGCTTTGGAGACACTGGAGGGACCGGAGAAGAACGAACGTTGCACAAACCCTTCCCTTCTCCCACTGGCTTCGGAGACACCGGAGGGGCTGGCTGCGGTACTTTCAAAGCAGACCGTCCTCCACTTGACTTATTTTTTAGAGCTGGGAGTGCTGAGCTACTTTCCAAAGACTTAGAAAGATGAGCAGTTCGTGAAGTACTACTCGAGCTAAAAATCTTAGTGGTGGAAGGCCTCAAAGGTTTAGATGCAGAAAGAGGCAGGCCAGGTTTGCGAAACACTTCTTCGTCTGCCGCTTTGGCTTCCGAGTGTTTCGAGCAGCAGTCGCCCTGGGTTTTCACAGTTTCGGCACAGCCCTGGGACTTACATTTCGTGCTACTCAAAGACTCCAACTGAGGCTGAAGTGTGGAATCTTCTACCTGAACTCGGTTTTCTCCATGGACCACTTCGATGAGTTTATCGTCATTGTTCTGCACTTGGGAACACAAGTCCATATCTTCAGGATCGTGTTGTGTTAAAAAGAGGTCATTTCCCTCCATGTCACTGTCGTCGTCGTCAGGCTCTGCCTTCTTCAAAGCTGCCACCTCTAGGTGCTGTCCGGTCAGGTCCCTTCTACCTGGAGCGTCTTCTGAAGTGGAGACCGTGACTTCATCCATTGGTCTTCTTCCACTCAACACTGGGGAATCACACGGGTCCACAAGACAAGCACCAGCAGCCACGTGAGGAGATCGTGGGTGTGCAGGTCCTCGCTCGGGAGACGTGCGTTTTGCTGACTGGTTCCCGCTGCTGCGAGCCGAGACCCCCGTCCCTCCTCTGCTGCTACAGCCCGACCGGCCCGGCTCTGGCGTGACTGGGTCAGAGCTCCGTGCCGCTCGCGGCCCTGCTCTCGCAGCACTCGCGGGTTTGGAATCACAAAGTCCTTGTCTGCCTTGTTTAGATCTCTGTCTCGTCTGCCTTTGAAACTGAAGATCTTGACTCACAAGCAGTCTCTTGTCTTTCACAGGAAGAGTCTGAGGAGAAATCAGTTTAGTCTTTTTTCGGGTGTCAATGACGCCGACGGTTTTGCCGTGGTCACGTAGCTGCACTATGCAGTCCAAAGACCGCTGCGACAGCTCGAAAGCCCGGCGACGGCCCTTCTTCAGGCCGAGCCGCTCCACAGTGGAGGCTGGCTCGGGACACTGGCGGTCTTTCTTTGGTGGCACTATGAGAGGGGTTGTCCTGCAGCTTATGTAATGGGAGCCCTTATTCTGCCCTCTTCTGGTATCTGAATGTGTTTTCTTAGCAGTTTTGGGAACTGGGGCTCTCCGAACGGGTTTGGAATAAATACAAGGCTTTGGCGAAGGCTTCTTCAGGGAAACCGAGGCGGTTCTCTGAACACCTGCTTTGGAAGAGGTCCTTATGCCTGTACTTCTGTTATTTTTGGTTAGCTCACTCCCATTACGAATGTCAGACTGGTCCTCATTTCTGACAGAAGATGAAGGCGTTACACCATTTTTAGCCGTTGGTCTTTCAACTTTTTTTCTTTTAGGTTTTTGGACTTCACAGGATTCCTTACCAGTACTACTGCCTTGTGGCTGTGCATGTTCAGTGCCCTCTGTTCCTTTGTTAGTGACGTCTTCGGACATGGGGTAGTCTGTGTCATAGCCCCAGTCATTTGTGACGTCTGCTACCGGCGTCCAACGCGAACTTTTTTCATCCCCTTGAGGGGAATTCTTGTTGTCTGGTTGCTGATCTTGCCAAACCGAAAATACTTCCTTTTGGCTTTCAAACTCAAAAACCTGAGAATCGGAGTCCTCAAACTCCAAGGGGGAATTTGTCTTTTCTTCTTTTGTTACCTTCCTTCCCACGTGCGTATCGGCCATCGAAGCACGCTGCTCTGGACGTTCCTCCTCAGCACACATTTTATTTTGTTTCATATGTTTCTCCAAACCCACAATTCCTTCGTCATCACCACTATCTTCGGAATCTGAAATAATGATAACTTGTCCACAGCAGGTTTCCCTGACATTATTTTGGTTGGCTCTGAAACCTTCATCATCTTTTACTTTTCTTTGTAGCTGGGGCAAGCTTTTTGGAGCTGAATCTGATGGAAACGTAGTAACACTGGCTTGAGCCATCAATGATAATTTGTGGAGATCTCTGTCTACCTGAGAATCTGTTAAGATGTCAGACTGAAGAGTGATGCTAGGGAGCTGTTGTATCAAGTCAGAAGAAACCTGATCAGCACCCTTGCTAACTTTCTTTCGCCTTGATTCAGGCGAACTCATAGGGCCTTTAAAAGGAGATGCTCTATGCATGGAAGTATCGGTCACTTCTGCAAACAAGGCCGAATCTTCAGTACCGACAGGACATTCCTGTATCTGACAATCGTTTTCATGGGAAGAAAAACCACCTAACTCTTCCATCTTCAATTGTTTCTTTTTCAGCAACATACTGTTAGGAGATCCGTGCCCTCCATTTGTGTTTTCCAGGATATCATCAGGGTCTAAAGTGAGATTGTGTAGGAAGCTATCCCCTTTCTGACCTCCGGTATCTTTCCTTGAACAGACATTCTCAACGTTAGATTCAGTCAGGTCTCCTTCTAATTTCACAGTACTAGTGACCAAAGCACTTTTCCTATGTTGCTTCTTTATTACACGTGATAACTTAGCACAGATTTCATTTTTCTGTGCCCTAGTTTTTGCCTTTGAGGGCCTGCCAAGGACATCATCCTGTGAAGAGAAACCCTCCTTTGGCGTGGACCCCTTCTCCAGAGCATCTGTGCTGGAATCAGCCGACAGGCGCATGGACGGAACTGCTCCTTGGTCACAGCCCCTTTCCGGACCATTTCTTGCAGTACAATTCTGTGGTGTACCTGAGGAATTATCTTTTACAGACTTCTGCTTCCCTTTAACTTGGTCGTGGGCTCTTTCAGGGAAAAGGTTTTTACTACTCTGCTTTAAGCATGACTCAGCTGACAGATGGCCCTCTAGTTTCAAATTTTTTATGTAATTCTTCTCGTTATCCTCTTCTACAGGGTCGCTCGCTTTGCTTAGCATGCTACTGCTCTGCTGCGCTTGACACCCATTAGCTCTCACGGGCTTAGACGAGGTCGGGCTCTCCGGGCAGCGCAGGTCTCTCTCCCCCGCCTTCCCTGCCTGCTCACTCTCTTCTTTAACACAAGTCGCAGGAGGGGTTTTACAGGAAGGAGCCAGCTCCGCCAAAGTGGTATGCTGAGGTACTTTGAGTCTGATGTTTCTGATAATTTGCTTTAAACAAGTTTGTAGCTCTTGGGTTTCCTGACTAGTCAGCTGCCAACCTAGAGATAAATTCCCTCGCAGGAATAAGTTGAGTTTATCCCAGAATCGCTTATAAAGAGTTTGCTGCCCAAGCTGACAACCTTCTTTAAGAAGACTTCTAATCAGCTGCACACAAGCAAGCTGGACCGAGTTAGACGGCATTGGATGCAGGGACAGAGACGTCACTGCTGTTCCCTTGGAGCCGCTGCTGGCCGACTTCTCGGAACTCCGCACGAACGCGGTGGTGGGGAGCTTGGCGCACTTCACGACAGCCTCCACCCACTGCTGGGAGCTGACCCAGAGCAAGTGCAGGCACTTCCGACTTCTATGGAGCTCGATCACGGACACCAAAATCAGGAAAAAAAATTCAGTGACTTTGTCACACGTGACAACTGTTTGGCTGAGGACATCTTTGACTTGGGAGTACAGATGGTGAATAACCTCTAGTATATAAACCACACCAAGGTCCTTAAGGTCCATGAGGGACTGAACAAAAGGGATGAACCACAGAAACGTGCTGTTGTGAACACGCATGTCTTGACCGATATCTGACTGGAGCACATTGGCCAATGTCTCCATTTCTTCATACATGTTCGGGCAATAGTCCGGGCAAATGGCTGATCTCCACCCCGAGTCCTGAAACACAGAAACTGGCATTCAGACAAACAAGCGCCATTCCTGACAGGGTCAGCACACAAGCTGTGAACAACAAAATAGATGGCTCCATTCTCCCATCCTGGTTTACACATATACACACCCCAGAGAAATCGGAAACGCAGTTCAATTCTGAGGGTCAGGTTGCATGTAAGGCAAGCTTACAACACCTCCATGTGCCCAGGCCCTCTCTCCATTAGCTGGCTTTGATTTCTAATCACGTCACTTATCTACCCCTACCCTACGGACTTCCCACCCTTTCCACATGCACTTAAAACCAACCTCCCAAGGTGTGTGCGTGGTCAAGTCCATTATTCCCTCGTGCACAATCCATCTGGTTCAACCAGAAAGCCTTTGTGCAGCAGCTGACTCAGAACAGCTACACAGCATAAAGTCAGCAATTCGACTAATCACATAAAACACAATTTTACAATATTAAGACAATACAATGTCATCCGAGTTCTCAAAACACTTTATACCTTTTTGGTCTTTTCAGGATTGTAATTGTATACAATCTGGCTGCAAGTCACCATATCATCCAGACATGACTCTGGTTCGGACTTGGTCCTTAAATATTAAAAACAGATAAAAATTACAGAAAGGAAGACCAAAGAGAAAACCAGCTATTGTTAAGATACAACAGACTTCCTTAGAGAGAGAACTTTAAAACCCTGACACGCTCACAGAACTAACCTCGCAGAGCTGTTCCGGATATTCTGGATCTCTCTGTTGTAGCTCGAGTTGTTGATGATGGTCTGAAACGCCTCAATTGGATCAATAAGTTGACCCCAAACCTTGGATCCCAGGCGATCCAGAATCACCATGAAACAGTGCAATGCTGGCCAGAAAGGATCTTCACTATCCTCTGAAATACAATGGAGTTATTTTAGAAAAAATACTATACTGAGAATTTAAGCATTCTTTTTTTTTTTTTTTGAGAGAGAGAGAAAGAAGAGGGAGAGAGGGAAAAAGAAACATTGATGTACAAGAGAAGTATTGACGTATGAGAGAAACATCAACCAGCTGCTTCTCAAACACACCGACTGGGGACTGACCCCGCAACGCGGGCATGCACCCAAACTGGGGATCAAACCAACAACCTTTAGCTTTGTGAGATGGTGGCCAACCCTCTGAGCCACACTGGTCAGGGTCGAGATTTAAACATTCAACTCAAAACAAAGCAGCGAGTAATTGAAAATAAAGCACTGCCAATTACAGGCTTTCGACGCTGGCAAATTGTAAAATTGCCTTTGCAGTTTTCCAAGCAATACTCTATGCTTCTGTGAGGTGTTTTTAAAAAGGGAACACACGGACACACAGTTGAGCTAAACTCAACTTTCTTGCCATTTGCCATTTCTGAAATGATCTTTCCTACTCAACTTCTCCCAGAACTCCTCCCTTCCTTCAGTAAACAACAGAAGTAGAGGAAGGAAAGGGAAAAAGAAAACCTGGCATTCAAGATGTAAACAGAGCCCAAGTCACCAGAAACCCTAACTCGTGTGGCCCTCAGCTGCACGCACTGCCTGCCACCACCGTGTCTCAGCGTGGCTCTGCCGGCATCTACTTTCACTCGGGACCAGGGACGTCCATGACTGACCAACTCTAACCTCCAGGCCTTGCTCTCTTCTCTGTCGGACATACATGGGCAGGACACTGCCCTACTCAAAAGACCTTCATCTGCTCCTTAAAGTCTGCCTAGAGAACTCCAAGGCCTCAGTCAAGCACATTCCAGGTCTGCCTCCTCCGCCTCTTTCCAGCCACACTCCCGTAATCGATCCCTCTCTGCAAGAAAAACAGACAGCTGGCTTCCTCTCAAACAAGAACGACACCACCACCTATCCAAACCCAGTTCACTGCAACCCGTCTCGAAAGCTCCCGCACAGGCCGAACGCCCCCTGGCCACCCAGCTTGCTACAGCACGCTCCTGGCACAAGTGCTTGGACTCCCTCCTCACTGTCCCGTGACCCAGTGACACAGATACCCACCGGCCTCACTGCCCTTGGGGTTCTTCAACTCTACTTTATCACACAGTCAACCCTGCAGACTTGGTCGTACACTTTTTTACCCTCTACTACAGCCAACACACTGTCCAAGGTCTTGTATCATCAGCTGTCAGATGGAGGAAGACCAGTACCAGTCAGGGTCAGACAACAAAGACAGGCCTCAGAGAGGCGTGGCCCTCAGAGGGCGGGGCCGGCCAGCCAGGAAGAACAACATAGATGCTGGCACACAGAGAGGAGTGGCGTATGCCGGCACTGCTGGAAATGAACCAGCAGCAACCTTAATCAGAAATAATCTAGCAATAAAATACCTGTGACCAAAAAGAGCGTAATAGTTACATATTTTAGATCTCCCACAAATGAGCTTCTATCCACACTGAGGTCGCCTAACAAAGAAGTCAGCGCGAACAAGTTGTGCTCATTACATCCTCATGAGTTTTGGCACGCGTGCTCTGCAGTGACTGCGTCTGCCACCAGGAAGGCAAGGAGAGAAACACCCATTTAAGCACAGACCCTCCCTAATCAGGCTGGTACGGCCATGAGCAAAAGAAAGGTGGGGTCCAATACTGAACTTGACTGCAGGTTCTAGACCTTATGTTCTAGACTCAATCAGCAGCACTGTCCCCGAGAACTTTCTGTGATAATGGAAATGTTCTACATTTGTGCTATTCAATACCGTAGCCACCAGGCACATGTGGCTGCTGAGCTCTTGAGATATAACTAGTAGACCTGAAAAAACTAAATTTTTAATGTAAATTTAAATAGCCACATTTGGTTAGCAGTCACCATCTTGGACAGTGAAAAAACAGAGCGCCAAAATAAAATGAAGAGCCAGGAAAAGGACAGACACAGGGACAGGGGAGGCCACCACAGTCTCTGCCATCACGCCACCGGAAATTCATCTCTGATGGGTCTGGTCTTCATTCTATCACCTGCTGGGTGTTTCAACACTGAAAAGTTGACTTCCTTGGGCTTTGATCTCTTGTTTTATCTAAGTAAGGTGCTGAATTAAACTCTAAAGTTCCCTTCTGATTTAGAATACTGAATCAGTGACCTAAACCAAAAAACGTCCATTTTCTTTTCTTCACACCTTACACCCAGTTCTTGCAGTGACACCAATACTTTACAAGTGCATCGTAATCTGTTGTGGACTGCTCTGCCTGATTTCAGGAACTGTAACTCTCCCCCTCATAGCTAAGGATGAGCGAGCAACCTCCAGAATTCGAGCCACAGGAGACAAAGCTTGACTCTGGTAGCAAATGCTGCCTCAGTTTCCTCTCCCTGCCCCCAAAGCATGGTCGATACTGATGACGGGTAAGTCTCCTCACAGTGGGAAGCAACCTAAGCCAGACTCAACCACTTTGGAGGCCTTTATAGAAGGACTCAGGGGGCTGCAAGGAAGAGTGAGCAATAAACCGACCCTCCCCATCCCATCCTCCCCATCCCATCCCCCCCCCTTGTGTGACATAGCCTGAGTCTCCATGTCCTCTGGGAGAAGCCCTTCCTGGTTCTAATCCCCTTAGGCCTGAATACCTGATGGGGAGGGGGGCAGGGCAGGATCTGCAATCACAAAGAATTCCTCAAAATCCTGTGAAACCTGATCTGCTAAGAGTGCCTTCATTCACATGTTAAGGGTCCGAGCAGGAACCCCTAAAGTTTCTGTAAAACTGCCTTCCTGACAGACTGACTCAGACTAAGCCCTCAGATTTCTTTGAAATGTTATCTACTATTTGATCCTTGCTGCCCTGTATTCCTGTGTATTAAAACCCAATAAAAGCCCTTAGAGGAAGGGGCTCGAGGCCTTTTCCCCTTGAGAAACTGGCCACTGCTCAAGGCCCTCCCCTTTTGAGGGATTGGCCACCTCTCCTCCCCAAGCAGGTCATGTCTTGGTAGTGTTTACTTTCATCTGTGGTGGACGGGGGCACTCATGGGAAAAGTCGCCCCTACAATAACCACCAGTATTCCAAAGCATTTAGCAAATGAGGCTGGTTACCCTGCGACTGCCTCTCCATGGTGTGCAGTATTGACTGCATGAAGTCGTTCTGCTTGTCGGAGCCCAGCAGCAGCGAGTCCATGGCCTGCTCCTCGAGAATGGTCAGCAGCATGCAGATCCCTGCAAGAGCACGTAGAGCGCCTGTGAGCACACGGATCGCTCCCCCCTGACACCGCCTCTGGTTTGGTGGGCAAAGGAGTGATGAGGCAGAAAGGTGAAGTGAGGGAAATCCAGTTCCCCACGCACTGAGCTTTGATATTTTCATACACAACTGCTAAGTCACAGCACTTCTGACTGATTTGAGGATAAAAAAGGGAACATGGTACCAACTTGGCTGGAAAACAATTTCTAAGATGACTCCCACACAATCCATATTTCCTGAAATCTAAGAAGGCTTCAATTTTCAGATCACCGTATTTCAATTACCAACCACTGCCGAATATGACATGTGATTAAAAAACCTAGAATCAACGAAGTAGGGTGGAACTATTTGGAGACACAAACCTCTTTCAAAAAGTGATCAAACCGTATTATAGTCAACCACTCCATTAATATTTCTTTACATCTAATAATGCTTCAAATTAAAGATCTATTTGCTATACTTGAAAAGGTACTTCTTAAACAGATGGTTTCCAGGATAAGTGTTTAAAATCAAGATGTCTAATGCCCATATCAATTTAATGAGAATAGACTGGAGACAGAAATCCTGTATTTAGCAATTTTGGTGATATTACCCAAAGAGATCACTTCCTTTGCACGGTGCTCAAGAGGACGGTATGAAAACACTCATGTACCTGTGCGGTATGACAACACTCACCTAGCCAGTAGTTTTTGTAGCTGGTAGTGTCATACATGTGCGAGGGCAGGATAACCAGTTTACCCTTCTCGAGGACAGACGAAGTATAGATGTCTGGATTTTCTAAAAGCCCCAACTCGATGACTCTGAAGAGGCATGTCAGAACCTCCTGTAAGTCATAATAGTCATCTCGCTCCACTTTTCCCAAGCCTTTTGCTGTCAGGATCGCCCAACGCCGAACCTGGAAGCCGAACACATGCATTACTTCATTCAGCAAACAACTGTCTACATCTAAGAAAAAAACAGCTAAGAAAACAGGATCGCCTGTAGGCATTAGAAGACACAAGATACTCATTCATGTAATGTGTGAGCCTTCTTTGATCCTGATTTGAATAAACTAACCCTGGTAAGCCCTTATGAGATCACTTCCATTCACCTAAACACTGGGTAGAAATGATACTGAAAAATTCCTTCAGGTGGAGTGATGGTATTGTTTCCCCCTCAAGTCCTTATCCACTTGCAGTCCAGTCGGCAGAGCAGGTGAGTGCTGCGCTCGCCACCCCCCAAGACCACCCCGCATCGCTCCTCGGTTACAGAGCCACCGCTCCTGGGAACCACCTGAAGGAGCTGAACAGAACTCCTACGACTGAGGACATAAGGACAAAGCCATGTTGAGACTGCAAAAATGAGTTAAGCGTCCTCATCTTTTAGGAAGATGTTCTTAAGTTGGTTACGGATGAGACGCTTGCATGCCGCACATTCGCTCTGAGCAACCCAAAGGGGGCGTAATACTGACTCTGTACTGACAGCTGGCGGGGCCCAGTGATGAACACATGGGGTTCACCACACCATTCTATTTTTTTATGTTCGTAATTTTCCATAACATTTTGAAAAGGGAAGAAAAAATGAAAACAAACCTCAAAAAAAAAAACCTTATGCAACCAGGTCAAGGTCAGGGTTCAGCACTCCGGCGCCGCTCCCTGCTTCTGTCCGGGCCTCGGCACTGCCTCGCCTCCCGCTCCTCCTCGTTTCCAGCTCCTAGGAACCGAACACCCTGCCCTGCCCTCTACCCCACTCCTGCACTTCAGAAAACCTCGTCTACCAGCAAAATGATGGTTTCAAACACTGCGGCTGGTGTTCACATGTGTCTGGCCTGGGCCAGGCAGATGGGGAGAGCAAGACAGAGCATCCCCCTTCACTGGTTCGGGCCGTGCACCGAAAGAGTCCAAGCCACCCCCTTGTCTTTTAAGCCAGAGTAGCAGCTGTCAGAGTATTATGACAGACATTTTAAACAAAATACACATCAAAACCTCAATTACAGTTGTCTGCATGTGTGTAAAAATGACACGCCCTTCCACCCCCGGACACACACACTCACCATTTCATTAGGATGGACCAAAAACAAGTAGATCCCAGGCTGTTTCTCAAACACCTGGAAGGAGCAGTTCGCTTGCTCCATCCGACAAAGCGCTTCCACACATAACTCATCTAGAGAGGAAAAGAAGGCAGTGAACACAGGATGTACACTTTACCGGCTTAGTGATCCCCTAGGTCTGGCTCCTGCAGGTGTTTTGGAGTCAGGCGGAAACTTGCTCCTTGTGGACGGAGGAGCGCTACATACCTGCCACCGCAGTTCCTGTGCCTTAGTCTGACTACTAGTGTACACACCTATTCATTTTTCATTCCTGACACAATTTTCTCCACAGATATCATCTTAAAATATCTCAACAGATCCAATTCCATTTGCATTTTACATTTTGATTTACACTAACTTTATTTGGTACTAGTGTGATACACTCAGTCATCTTCTGCCCCAACCAGGAGACTCAGTTTGTTGGAGCATCACCCCACAGACCAGAAGGCTGTGGGTTTGATCCCCAGCCAGAGCGCATGCCTCAGTGGAAGGCTCCACCCCAGTTGGGGTGAGTACAGGAGGCAGCCGACTGACGTGTCTCACTCACATCCGTGTGCCCCCGCCCCATCTCCCCTTCTCCCTCTCTCTGCAGTCAATGCAAATACCCTCAGTGAGAATCAGAAAAAAACAAAAAGCCTGCTCCCTTCCCCAACCTCCAGCCCCCCAGTGCCTATTTTGTCCAACTCTCATTACTAAAGAATGCCTTTTCCCCACTGGTTTGAAATGCTACTACCACGGAACACTGAATTCCCAAATAACCCAGCTTACTTCTACAGACTGAACCGTTCCACTACACGAGCACTGCTCTAACTCCTGCTGCTTCAGGGAAACATCTTCATTAATCTTTCCAAAGTGTCCTCCAGCCCTGGCTGGTGTGGCTCAGTGGACTGAGCACCAGCCTGCGAACCAAAGGGTTGCTGGTTCAATTCCCAGTCAGGGCACATGCCTGGGTTGCAGACCAGATCCCCAGTTGGGGGCACATGAGAGGCAACCACACACTGACATTTCTCTCCCTCTCTTTCTCCCTCCCCTCCTCTCTGACTAAAAATAAATAAAATAAAATCTTTAAAAAAAAGTATCCTCTACAGACCCACACACTCGCCCTATCAGATGAATCAACTTGAGCCTGTGAAGCTTCAAAGAATATTGTTAGTGATGGTGGCTGGCTCTGAGGAGGAGGAATAATGATGTGAAAAGCACGAGGGGAGCCCTGGCCAGGTAGCTCAGCTGGTTAGAGCATCATCCTGATGCTCACCCTGAATCTGCCAAGGATGCAGGTTCAACCCCTGCTAAGGACACATACAAGGAGCAACCAGTGAATGTGAGGATGAGTAGAGCAAATCAGTGTTTCTCTCTCAAATAATTAAAAAATCCATCAATGACTTAATTAAAATAATAAAATAAAAATAAAATAGAAAAACACAAGCAGCACCTGGGGTATGGACACTGTTTCTTTATCTGGGTGGCAGCCACGAATGTGTGTTCAGTTTGTCAGAAGACACCAAGTGGATGTAGTATTCTTTAATAAATATTTGAAAAATGACCTGTTAGAATTTTAAAATCTATTTTTAATGTATTTAGATGTAATCAATTCTTTAGATCAACTTCCAGTTCACCAAAAAACACAGAGGACAAGTGAAGTAATACCACAAGAAAGCGCCTAGAAAAATCCAGAAAGCACCTTATTCTACAGGGTAAATGTGTGGTCTCCACAAGTCAGCGAAGGGAAAGAAAGCAGACGACAGCCCCTGCAGCGCAAAGGTGTGTGTGCGAACACTGTTTCGGAAGGCGTGGTCCCAGACTGGGCTCTAATTCACGCAAACCAGCCCAAAAGCACATTTTGTGTCCACTGGAAAAACGTGAACACAGACCAGATATAAAAACGCCTGAAAGGTGTTATCTGGTTAGACTTGATAGATCAGGAAATCGTCTTCACCTCTGAGCACGTCATACTAAGAAATGCAACCACAAACGACCAAAACCGCAGCAGCTGTAACTTGCCAGGCCACCGTGAGTGACGGAAACGACTGCAGCCCAGTGGTCTCAGTGGGAATGACTCTGCCTCTTCCCAGCCCTGCCCCCAACACCCAAAGGCATGCTGCAATGCCTGAGACATTTTTGGTTATCGAAACTTGGGGAGGAGGGGAACAGAGGCCAGGGATGCTGGCCCACGCCCTGGGTGGGCAGGGCGGTCCCCAAAACAAGCAATCGCCCAGTCTAAAATGTCCAGAGTGCCAAGGGTGAGAACACAAGAATAAAAACTGAATGGAGAGATGGGTAAAATGTATAACAAAGCAAAGAAAGCAAGATGTCAGCAACTGTGGAATCTATGTGGTGTTCACTACATAATTTACCTTCATGTTTGGGAACTTGGAAAGGAAAATGCTGGAAAAAATATTAGCAAGCATCCTCCTTATATGTTTAACGAAAAGCTTTTCATACAGACAGACCCAAAACCTCACATGTCTTAACCAAGAAAACTGGTCTCACTGGGGGACACCCAAGACACTCACTGACACGCTCGTGGAGAAGCAGGTAAGGGTATCTCAGAATTTCGAGGATTGGGACTCGCAGCTTATTCTCGAAGTCCTGGCCCGTGCAGTCGAACAGCTGGGCCTCCCCGTTGTTGTCCACTATGTACAATTCGTCGTCGTCTTCGATCTCTCCCCGCATAGACTTCTCAAAGTGACTTATGAGACGCAGGGTTTCTAATTCCCATAAAACCTACAGGAAACAAAAGATGGGCAGTGTGCTTTGTAACTTGTTATCAACAAAATATACTGAATATGATGCACTTTCCAAAAGCCCTAACCGAAGCATAAAAATTCAGACATTTGCCCTGGCTGGTATGGCTCAGTGGATTGAGTTCCAGCCTGTGAACCAAAAGGTCACCAGTTCGATTCCCAGTCAGGGCACATGCCTGGGTTTGTGGGCCGGGTTCCCAACTGGGGGCGTGTGAGAGGCAACCAATCCATGTATCTCTCACACATCAATGTCTCTTCCTTTCTCACTTCCTTCCCTCTCTCTAAATAAAGAAAGAAAATCTTTTTTAAAAGTCCAGAAACTTAAAGAAGTGCTAGACCTCACGTATCCCATGCAACTGAAGAACCACCAGCCGCGGCCACATGCACAACACACACGAGCACACGGGCACGAGAGGGTCGGCGCTGTGCACGCACGGCTGTGCCGTCAGCAGCTCGGCATCCCTACCGAGTCTACTGAACAGGAAACGAGAAGTCGAAGCTTCTCAGTCAAAGCCAAGAACTAGGCCTCCTCTGCTTTCCTTTCCACTTCCCAGCCACTGGCACCTACAATGTCTTCAGCATAAAGACGCCGGTTAACTTCATAACTGGAAAACTGTGAACGCAAACTCTCCCCAACGGATTCCAAACTGCTCATCCCCCCCCTTTCCACACAGCCCTACGGTCTGTGGTGTTTCTCATCACATAAATGCAGCAGCCCAACATTCAAAGCTACAAATTTAAAATTCTATGTTTAACTTTGGTCACTATGACTGGGAAATATGCTTGCCCCTGGAGGTTTTTAAAAAATGAAGAGAAAAAAAATCAATGAAAAAAAAAACAGCCCATGCCACTCTGACACATGGATTTATAACACTGTCAAACACTGACATAAAATGTGAACCAACCCCCCTCTACATCACTTCATTCCATAGAACTGTTTTATGGGAGGCCATAAGATTCCACTTTGGGTTTCAATTCAATTCACTTGGCCAGTGACTCAGCACCTACTATACAGCAGGCAATGAATTAGGCACTTCAAAGTTTAAAGGATCAGTCCCCTGAATGCTCCCAAAAGAGCTCCAACTTGTCCTCCTGCTGGTCATCAAGCTGCGACCACATCCCCCACCTGATGTGACTTACCTCGTGCAAGACAGGCAGCTCGTCCCGTGCCCTGTGGTACTCAATCACACACTCTAAGCAGTAGCAGAGGTCTTCGTCTGCGGTCTGGAACTCGCCCGCTGCTTGGAACTCGCCGCCCTGGGCCGCGTAGCGCTGCAGGAAGTCGGTGGTGCAGGCGCCGCCCGGCGTGCACCAGCAGCACGTGCTCATCCTGAACCTGCGTCCAGAGCAGAGCGCAGAGCGTCGACAAAAAGACCAAACGCTTCGGGCCTACTCTGTGCAAAGAAAGGTGTGCTTCCTACTAACGACCCTCGTCCTCACCTTAGGATGTGCCTCCACCACTTCCAGAACAGTCTTCTAGCCAGCTTGACAGTTACTGACTAAACTCAAATTTGTGAACACTCAAAAAAGCCTTTTCTTTGACACATGAAAAATATAATAAAATGAAAGCATTTTGTTAGTAATAAACATAAAGCAACATACAGTTGTTCTATAGAAAAAGGTCAAAACTATGTAATAGTGATGGAAAATATACTGAGACAGAGAACTGTTTCCAAAGCACAGATTCTGCAGTGTTCCACTGATGTACTTACGCTGAGTCAAAAGCTCAGGAAATGTTTTACCTTCCCAAAAACCATGTTCCACAGATCCATGGAAACATAAAAATGCATACAAACTAATCCATACCAGTACCAAAGACTCATCCAGAGAGAAGACTGCCGCTTGTTTAAACGGTGCACTCACACGTGGATTTGCCACGGGGTTACACTCCCTGCTCACCACGCACTGCAACAGCGACGATGCTGACCTGCCGCTACTAATCTTGACACCCGGTTTTTGGCTGTCTCCAACTTTTTGTTTTTATACGATCAGAGCCTCTACCACCCAAACTCAAGTGAAAAGGTTAAGTAAGATTAGATACTTTTCCAAATATTAGCAGTCTCAAGGAGAGCAAAGTAGCAAGACTGTACCAAAACCAAATACGTCAAAGACGTGAGTGAAGATCTACAAGGCAGGTTTATCAGAACTGCAGATGGCACCAAACGGCAGATTATCAAATAGGACAGAGGCCAAATCCAGAGAGATCCCCAACTCGAACGACAGGTCTAAAAATAAGCTAGGATCTATATTTTTATCCCTAACTCAATGCACATAAAAGCAAACAGGATGGACACTGTCAGTAACCAGGTACTGTGGCTAAGGAAAGCAAATGTACTCATTAAGATAAATAAATAAAGGAGAGAGGGAGGAAAACAGGAGACGGGGACTGGGGCAGGGAAAACACCGGTGAACTGGAGCACCCAGAGCCTGGCCAGGAAGGGCTCAAAGTGCAAGAGGACAGGGCCTGGCACAGGGACACAGGAGCCAACCTAAACGAGCTCGCGATGGCCGAAGCTCAAACATCTGGAACACAACCAACGGAGTGACTGAGTTATGGCCCACATTATAAATACACATGAATCCATAGCAGCATAAACACACGACTGGCTGAAGGAACAAATGTGGGAGAAGGGGCAGATCTTCCTTTTAGAAGGATTCCAAATACACACTGATACTCGCCTCACCACTCCAGGAGGCAGCCCTTAATCCCACCCCCTCCTGAATGTGGGCGGGACTTGGTGGATTACCGCCAAAGAAGGGAGTATGGAAAGGAAAAACAGTAATTTTACAGTGGACACACCTGGCAAACACCATCTTACCCAGGTGATCGAGGTTAACACCATCTGTGGAGGTCACGTTTGTAACCCAACATGTGATCATGATGCCACTCCACCTCCGTGCTGCGCCTCTCCAAAACCCACGACACCGTCTACACACGAAAAAACACCACACAAACCCAAAGTGCTACCTAAACAGCTGTCAACCAGTCTGAAAAGAGAAGAAATGCACTCCCAAAGGGAAGCACAGCAGTATTCTTTTATATGGAGCTAATAACTGATTGGGAATTGGGCTTGGCAATTATCCAACAAACCACATCTTGAGAAACTTGACCTTAAGTATCCAGTGAATGTAAAATATCAGCCTGATAGAAAAAAAAGTAAGAAACCCAACTGTAAACTTAACCAAGTTCACCTCAGAAGCTAGAGGGCCCTAGCCTACACTCTCCCACTGGGGTGACGGCCCCACCCTCCGTGTCAAGCACAGACACGCACACAGAGATCTGTAACACGTTATCACTAGCATTAAAATTCAGGGGAAATCCATAGGACAGAAATGTCTAACATGTTTCCTTTCAGGGAGAGAGAAGGGAAAGAAAACGGTGAAGAAACATGAACTGGGTCTTTGGGAACCTTCACTTGGCAGCATGAGGGCTCTGAGCACGCGTCGCCCTAACACTCAGAACGCAGACAGAATCTCCGCTGAGGACGTCTGCTGAGGCTTTTGTGCCATAATGCCAGTTCTCTAAAATAAATTCATTTTTTAAAAAATCCTTTCTTAGCCCTGGCTGGTGTAGCTCAGTGGATTGAGCGCGGGCCTGCGAACCAGTCAATCGCAGTTCGATTCCCAGTCAGGGCACATTCCTGGGTTGCAGGCCAGTTCCCTGCAGGCCAATTCCCAGCAGGGGACGCATGAAAGGCAACCATACATTGATGTTTCTCTTGCTCTCTCCTTCCCTTACCCTCTAAAGATAAATAAATAAAATTTAAAAAAAAATAAAAAAAAAGATCCTTTCTTCTTACACCCAGGATTAAAGACTTATATGTAAATGCATGAATATAATCAAATACATGTATTTGTCTTGTGAACCAATTGTTAAAGTTTATTAATTAACTATGTACTTTCTTCATGCTCCTAAAAATAATTCAACACAGCTTTCAACAATAAAGTACTACATATAGAACAAGACAAGTAAAAAGGAGATTAAAAAAGAGTGAGGAATCTGAACTTATGTAGAAGAAACTTCACTTCACTAAGTCCTAAATCAGGAGCTTCCTGAAAAGCAAAGCAGAAAGGTGACACGAGGACACGTGCACGCAGCCCTCGCCTGAAAAACAGAAACTGCGTTCCGGCGGCAGTGCCCCAGCCCTTCCTGACACTAACGCTGCTCAAATCACAGTTTATTAATGCCTGCAAACAACGACTACCAAGTAACACAATGAATAGTGTTAGTTTTTGCAGAATGTAAAATTACTGCATTCAAAGAAGAATGTCATTTTCCTAAAAGGCCAGGATCACAACACCAGGAAGTCAGGTCTACAGAAGCTGGTTTTTTCCAGTGATCTAATTCAACGTGGAGAGTGAACTCACATCTAAGAAAAGAAAGTGAAACTTCTTCGAGATTTCTCAAACATCAATTATTTTGAGCATGACTTGGCAGATAAATGACTGTAGTCAACTGAAACTTTGAAAAAAATGACAGGACCAAAGTAGAATAATAACTTTAAACATATACAACCTATTAACAGAGTGGCTAGCAAATGAAGCCTTCCATTAAGAAAACCCCTGCCCTGGCCAGTGTGGCTCAGTTGGATGGAGCATCATCCCGTAACTGAAAGGCTGCAAGGTCGATTCCTGGTCAGGGACCGTGCAATCCCGTCCGGGCATGTGCAAAATGCAAGCAAACAGTGTTTCTCCCTCTCCATTCCTCGCTCTCTAAAAGCAATGTAAAAATGTACTCAGGTAAAGATAAAATAAATAAGGAAAAAGGAAAAAAGGAAATGATGGAACCTGCTTCTTACTTCACTCAGAGAGCTAGGCTACTCCCACACTAAAAGCAGAACTAAATTTTCTCAAACCCAATGGAAGTCACTCCCAAAAACAACAGGCAAACACCATGGAACCTACAAGGCCCAGTGGACAGTGCCACAGGGCACACCAATGACAGAAGCATGTTTCTGTGAGTGCTTGCAAATGACCACGTGTATGGTTATGTCCCCAAAACTAAAATCGTCACTGGCCTGCTAACTAAGCCCAGCGAATTCTGAACAGGGTATATTGTAATTTTCCTTTTAAGGGAAAACTACTGGTAGGTGACCACAAATCCTGTTAAGTTTTTGCCCAACTGGTTCTTTTGGAGGTTGGTTTTGTTAATTTAATTTATGAAATTCTGAAATTGTTTAATTTCATCAGAACTGTTTGAACCATTACTGAGCCACAGACAGGGTGTCCAGGGAATCCTCAAGCTGCAGAACAGAACTAGGAACCATTCCCCAAGGATCAAAAAGAGTCCATTTTATTAACTTCATCCAAGGGAGCGGATGTGTCAGTATCACAGGATGCTCCACCAGAGGCAGAGCTGGAACTTTCCAGAGCCTTACCCTGGAGACATCATTTTTCAGTATTAGCTGGCCAGAAACTTCAAATAATAATAAACTTTTTTTTCTATCCTTCCCAGCTAAACTTGAGGAAAAAAGTCCAGATTCATTTGCTCGGCTCCACTGCACTCTGGTTTCTACCCTTACGTTCACTGAATGCTTTCACAGAAGTCCTTCCTAATCTCTGTATTACCAAATCCAGCAGACAGATTGAATTTAAAATGTGCAAAAAGAAGAAAAAGGAGAAAAAAAAGAGAAAGGAGGAGAAAGAAAATGCTGACCACACATTCCTTAAACCCTGTCCTGCGGCCGCGCGGCTCCACTCAACTCTTCTTCACTATCACCTCTTCCTTTTGGCCTCTGCAAACTCAACAGCCTGAAGGCGGTCCTCAGGACTCTAACCTCTTCATCTAACACCCTTCCTGGGTGACCTCATCCAAACCACTGCTTCAACTGCTGCCTATTTTGAAGCTTCCCAAAAACTGTGAGGGTATGTAGAACCTTAATGCAATCTTAGCTCCATTTCAGCTACTCGGTAAGCGATGACCCAGCCTGGAAGTCCACAGAGACAGACGCACCAAGGTCTAGCTGCGCAGGGAGTCTCTGTCCGCCTCACAGGCACCTCCAAGCAAAAGGAACCAGGGAAACACAAAGTCTTCCCCAAACGTGTGCTCTTTTCTGTACTTGTGACATTGCTGCCCCTCTGGTTTTCAAACCAGTGTCCTGTGAATCACCCTGCCCTCTCTTTCCCCGCAGAGTCTATATCCTTGATTACACTGTACTTCACTTTCGGTGAGACTGCCTCTGCCTCGGTTTAATGCTGCACGTTTGCACTGTTGGTCTGGATTATAGAAAAAGCCTGAACAGAATTCTTCTGCCTCTTGTTCTGATCCACCACCAATTCTTCTTCAAAAATGCTGCCAAAGGGCAAAGAAAAAGCTGGATTTTGAAAGCACAAACGACTCCTCCACAGCCTTGGGGTAAAATTCACATTTTTGAGCTCACCACACCAGGCCCTCCTTGATCTGACTTCAGCATCACCTCCACACACTTGCTCTCCCTGAAATGCTTCCCAGTGTTGGGGATTCTCTGCCTTTATGGAAGATCATCCATCTGCCTTAAGCACCTACCCTTCACACCTCTGCTGGTTCGCACCCCGGAAGGCACACCAAACTCACCACAAAAACTTAAAAAAAAAAAGATGAGACACTACTGATAAAATTCAGACTAAATTTTTAAAAAGAACTCCACCAGTGATTCTGATCAAAAGCATACAGCCAACCCACTCTGGGGCTGATCACACCTGCGTGGCCCCCTGCGACTAGGGCTTGTCTGACCCACCCTCCCCTTCCCCGCGGTCTTTCATGACCTTCTGCTTTATTCTAGGACTCTGCATGTCTCTATCACTGTTCTTCCATGTTGGGAAGAGCTATTATTCTCAGAAATCATGAATCTGTAGTGCAAGGATCTATTCTGCATAATTTCTTTTACTGCTGCTTGGCATATACTGCATGACAGAAAAATGTCTTAAATGTTTGCTTAAAAAATAATTACCAAGGCCCACAACTTACAGAGATGTGATCCTCTCAGTCGCGATTCCTGGGCGTGCCTGTGAGAGGGTGAGAATTTGCCTTCCTATGTACCCAAACTCTGGCCCCAAAAGAGTATTTCTGAAAAAAGAGAAAAAGGAAACAAACAAATAAAGCAGTGTTTATTATACTCTCCTCTGATTTTCACATCAGTGCTCTAGGTAGAGCCAGATGTTACCATTTGATGAAAAAGCACACGCTCATAGAACTCAGACAACTTGCCTACTGATGGTGCAACTGGATGCCAACCTGCGGGGGCGGCTCTTGTCCCGCTGGGTCAGGCCCCGCATGGTCAGAAATGCCCCCAGTGGGAGGGGACACGCAGGTGTGATCAGCCTCAGGATCCGCACTAACTCATCCCTGTCACTGTCCACGTGAAACTCTCCCTCCTAACCTAACCACAGGGTTCTTTTCCCGCCCACACTCGTGCCTGGTCCCCTCTGGGCTGCCAAGGTGGGGGGGTGGGAGGCAAAGCCCCTCTGACCGGCTGTTAGTGATTCACCACCTTCAGGTGGAGCAGGGAGGGCTCAGGTGGCCATTTAGGGGAAGCACTCTCTCCCAAGGGAGAGACCCGGAGTAGGAGAAAGACAACCAGAGCAGGAGAAAGATGGGGCGTCGAGAGGACCAACACTTTCTGAAGCGAGACCTGCCCAACGACCCCCCAAAAGACACCACACGACGCCCAAAACAAAAACAGCTCACACGATACCGCACTGTGGACAACGCGAAGGGAGAAGTGAGGTCCCAGCGCCTGGGATCCTGGTACGCAGGAGGCACCAGAAGACGACCCCCCAAATGCTACTGGGGTGCCCTCCTGCAGCGCCGTGACCCTCAAGAGAGCGTCCGAGCGCCCGCCGCCCCTCCCCCACCTTCCCCCCCGGCCCGCCCTGAGGTCTGGAGCCGCGGCAGTTACTCCCAGCTGCCCCGCGCGCACCAGCCGCGCACGCTCTCACGTGTGCAACCTGGAGCCCGCCGCTCTCCTCACCCAGCCAGGCCTCGCGGCGACTGCTAGCCCGGCTCCATGCCTCTGCTCCCTACTCCACCGAGGGCGGAAGCGCAAGTCCCCACTCCACCGCCCAACCCACAGCCGCCGCGAGCAAAGATCCTGCCCCCGCGCGCCGTCGGCCGCCCGGAGGCCCCGCCCCAACTTCCAGTTTGTTTTGGTGCGCCGAGGGGCGGGCCGTGGGAAGAGGGGCGCCAGGGCTCCTTGAGGGGGCCAAGCACCTGGCACTACCGTCACTTCCGGGATACAGGGCCCACCAATCAGGTGGGCCCGCGCGGTGGGGGCGGAGCTTGGGCCCTCCCGAGCTTGGGGCGTTCGCCCGGGCGCGAACGCGGCCGGGTCAGGCACTTCCCTCGCCGCCCCCTGTCCCCGCCCCGGTAGAGGAGGTGCCTGACCTCCTTTACTAGGGTGACTTAGGCACCTACTTTTTTTGCCTCCCTGCTCTGTCCTTCAATGTGTTCAGGGCCTCAGCAGTCTCAGGAGGGTGTGTTGCAGATTGCGAAGGAATTTTTGTCCTTTTTAGAGTTCCCTTAAAGACCTAACACATATGTAGTGAACATGGAATGGAGGGACAGATGAACTTGTATTACAGAAAAGGGCTACATTAAGTATTGACACTCGGGAGAACACATGTACTTTATAACCCAGGAAAAGGATGCATTAAGTATGATCGAGAAAAACAATGCAGACTGTTACAGTAAAACCACCACTGGAAAGCCTACGCACTTTTTTAACACGTACTTGGAGGATGAGCTGCTACCACTATCTTTCACTCTAACAGAAAAGGCAGAAGAACCAAACAGTTGCGAGCACCGATCACTGCTGTAAAGAAAAGAGGAGGCTGAGACGGACCCGACCCAGCAGGCTGGTCGGCGAGTGTCTTACCGCGCAGAGCCTTCGCGGGAGAATGAGGGGCAGCGCGCCAAGAACGTGGAAGGCGCTGGGGATGGAAGGTTCCAGCGAGGGGGCGTGGCTGGTGGGGCCCCGCCGCGGCCGTTATGGTAATTAGCCAACCTGGCCGTTGAAGTCGGAGCACGTGACTGAGACCGTTATTCTCCTGGATTCTCGAGTTTTCTACCGTGGAATAGTTTGGCCATATTCAGTTGAAGTGTTCAAAGAATAAAGTTAGGAAACTGTTTCAAACTGTGCCTCATTACCAGTTGTACATGCATCCCTTTTTAAATAATATTTTTGTGTAATACTTTTGAAAATACAGACCAGGATGGCTATCGAAAATAAACTGAAAAAAAAGATAAGGTGGCAAGTCACCTGAATGTCTATTTCTCTGGGATAACTATTTTTAATGTATATCCTTGCAAAATTTATTACATATGCTATTGAAGTGGACATGGGGAGAAGGGGTGTAAGGGGAATGGATGGGAATGAAAAGATACAATAAAAATAAATTTTAGAATATATAAAGTAGATGTGAAAGAATATTCTAAAATACTATGCTCCTCACCACAGGGTAAGAAACAATCTTACCCTGAACACTGAACGGAGGAAGTTCACTAGACACTGTAGTTTGGGCTAGGGAGGCCAAAATCAGAAAAAAGTAAAATTTTAGGTTGAAAATTATTTAATATTCAACAACATATTGGTGTTTATAGCAATATAGTCATAAAATATGTTTTGTGATATGTTTAAGGAGGAACATGCCCATGAAGGCAAAAAAATGCTGAGGTCTCACTACAGCCATACTTTGATCTTGCCTCTGAGTCCTCTGTGCTCCTTATAATTTTACCATAGTTATTTTTAATCTGTAAGCAATATATTAAGTTTTGCATGCTTTTTAATCTTATCAAATTATACCGAATGCATTTTTCTGCAAATCGCTTTTTACACTCAACATTATGTCCTAAGACTGATCCAAGGTGCCATCAGGAGCTATAGAGCCCAAAGCTTAAACAACTTGCGGGTGTTCTTTAAAATGCTGCAACAAGATTTATGGTTACCAAGTTGAGAATAACATGAATATTCCTCTGGAATGAATGGCACAAATTACTAATTTAAAGGGGGAAAATCTACAAATATAAAAAATCTTAAAAAACCCAATATATAAACTGCAAACACAATTCTATAAAAGTTACATATTTTGGCTTCATAAGGGTTTTATGAAGGGTTTATATTAAGGGTTTATATTTTATTAAGGGTTTATAAATGTTTCTTTCAAATTAGTGATTTTGTTTGCTCATGTCATGTAAATTTTTACATATGAGCTGTAAAATCTTAGAGCACATAAAACTTCAAGCCTAAACACTCAGAACTGATGACACCTTATTAGCAGCCATTCTCATTTGTACACCCACTTGTGAGTTTTATATGTCAGTATTTTATGTCAAAATGTTAGTACTTTTTCCAGCTCGAGCCCTCCTCATCATTATTTGGATTATCAATACCCCCAAAGCCTGTTACTCATTATTTCTCTTTGAAATGGATCTCTTCTAATGAATTATTGAATTTTTGTGGTACTTTCTCTTGATTACGTCATCATTCACCCTCACTTTTGCTTCATATTCCATTGATTTTTGTCAACATTATATATTTATCTCAGTTACATACAATAAAATATACAGATTTTAAGTGTATAGTTTGAGGCATTTTAACAACTTTATACTTTTGTGCAACCATCTTCAATCAAGAAACCTTCTCTTCGTCCCAGAACCTGCCCTTAGACCACTGGTAGTGAACCCCTTCTCTGCTCACCTGACGGAACTGTTGACAACTGTTGACAACTTTTTTAAATCAATGGAATTACACCCTATGCACTCTGTCCTCTTCTGTTTGACGTGAAGAGTGTGAAGTTCATAGACGTTGCCCGTATTAGCAACGCGTTTTCATCGCGGAGGATGTCATGAGAATGGGTGTAGCGCAATCTGTTTTTCTTGCTCATCGGGTAGATTTTGGGTGGTTTCAAGTTTTCTGCCATTATGAAGAAAGCTGTTATGACCTTGGATAGAAATCCAGGGGTGGAATTTCTGGATTAGAGTAGAGGTAGATTTAACATCAGGAGGATTTACAGTCCATGTTCCAAGGTGGTTTTTGCCATCTTATGTTTCTATAAGCAACATACAACCTCTCTATCTGCTCCACAACCTTGTCAACTCCCATTGTGAATCTTTCAAATTTCAGTCATCCCAGTGGGTTAAACTGTAGCTCATTTGTTATCCTTGATATCTAACGCTGTAGAACACCCTGTTGCCTGCTTATTGGGAATTAGTATATCTTCTTCAGGAATTGTCTGCACAAGTCCTTTGGCCATTGGTTTTTTTTTTTAAAGGACTTTCCAGGACTCCTGACCTACAGGACTGCCAGACAATAATTTTGTGTGGTTTTTAAGCCACTAAATTTGTGGTAATTTGTTATATTGGTATAGAAATTGAACACAGATTTACTTACAATTTCAAACTTTCTGTTTGCCACTGATATAGACATGGAATTGATTTTTATGTATTGATCTTGCCTCTAGCAACCTAACTGGCATATTTACTCTAACACCATTTCTGTGAGGTTTTTTTTTTTTATTTCCTACATTCACAATCAAATCATCTGAGGGGGAAGGGCAGTTTGAGAGCTTCCTTTCTGGCCCGCAGAGGTTTCGCTTCCTTTTCCTGCTTGACTGGGCTGACAGGTCAGGTGTCAGAAGTGTTGAGAGTAGGCACCCTCTCTCCAATCTCAAAGGGAAAAATGTCAGTGTCTCACTTTTTGAAATAATGTTTGCTGAGGTTTTTGTAGATACCTTTGCGGTGGAGAAAGTTGCCCTCTATTTTTACTGGATGGATTTGGAATTCATCAAGTGCAAATCATTTTTTTTAAGATTTTATTTATCTTTAGAGGAGAAGGGAAGGAGAGAGGGAGAGAAATATCAATGCGTGGTTGCCTCTCGTGCGTCCCCCGCTGGGAACTGGCCTGCAACCCAGGCATGTGCCCTGACTGGGAATCCAACCAAGGTTGTTTGGTTCGCAGGTCCGCGCTCAATCCACTGAGCTACACCAGCCAGGGCAAATGCAAATCATTTTTATTCTTTATTAACATGGCAGACTGTACTGATGGTTTCTTTCTTCAATTTTTTGGGGGAGGTACTGAAACAGACGCAGACACGGAGCAGGAGCCGGTGGTTGCTGGGGGTGGAGGTTGGTGGGACCGGGTGAAAAGCATGAAGGGATTGAGAAGTACAGCTTGGCGGCTACAAAATAGTCACGGGGAAGTAAGTAAAGCACAGGAAGTACAGTCGGTGACACGTGATGACTGTGTGCAGTGCCAGGTGGGTACTGGGGCATCAGGGGAGCGCTGAGTAAAGTACGTGAGGGTCTAACCACTATGCTGTCCACCCGAAACCAATACAAAATAAAAGTGAAAGAAGAATTTTGTGTAGTGTGAGGGAAACAGGGGCCTTAGACGGGCTTGGGAAGATAAGTGACGCAAGGTTGTGATCTTTGCAGACACTGTGATATAGAGTGTCACCGCAAGATGCGGTGGGAAACCCTTTCCAGAGTTTCAGCAGGTTGGGAGTGTGAGCAACTGATCCCACAGCTGCGGGGAGCACGGATCGGAGAAGGGTCGGCGCATGAGACCAGCGTCGCCCGAGGTCCTGGGAGGTGACAGGGGAGGCCGAGTCCGGGTGGGTGCGTGCAGGCAGAATGGGTGGGGGGTTGCCAGTGGACTGGACATGGCGGGACCAGGGGAGAGGACAGCAAAGCTTCCTGACTCACTAAGTGAGAGCGCCACCACTGGCAGAGATGAGAAGGCCTGGGGGCGGGTAACAGGTTTTCAGTCGTGTGGGCGACTAAAATGTTGTTACATGTGAAACTCGACATGGACGACACCTCAGTGGAGACGGCAAGCAGCAGGTGAATTCTTTAGCCTGGAGTTCAAGGAGAATCCGACCCATAACCACACACTAGGGAGCGGTTGGCAGATACTGTTATTTCCAAACACTGGGAGCGCGTGAAGACCCCCAAGCGGCCCTGAGGAAGAAGGACATTTAGAAGTTGGGGGGAGTGGGGCAGAAACTAATTCTGTATGACTATACACGTTTAAGGGTGGCCAATACGAGAGTGTTACATGGTGATAATGGTCCAGTGCAGGAGAGACGACAATTAAGGGGATCAAAACCTCTGCTGTGACCTCAGGGCAGAGACACAGGGCTCAGGGGCAGGGAGTCAGCGTGTAGCAGGAGGAGTGGGCGTCCCCGGAAGTCGGTCTGTCCAGCTGGGGGAGGAAACAGGGTACCTGATGTACACGGGCTTCACCCCTCAGTGACTCGTGGAAGGGCAGACGGGTGTGGAGAGGTCGGCTGTTTCAAGCTGCTGACGTAGGAAACAAAAGCCCGAGGGAGACTAAAGGGGACTCCTTTGGTGTTTGGTGTGTCCACTGGGGGCTCACAGTCACGCAAGTGACACCACCCAGGTGAGCTGTGTGACTCCGGTGGGGGAACATTCAGGTCTTCGGGTGCAGGGAGGAGGCGATGGAGGGCTCCTACAGACTCGGGGTCTCAAACGGAGAAGTACCACAAAGGGAGAGAGTGAAGAGCTGAGGGCGGCCGAAGAGAGTCAGATGCGGTCAAGGAACCAGACGGTGGTGTGGATTTCAGGAAATGAACTGGAAACGGCATCCAGAAAGTGTCAGGCTGTGCGTGGGCCAAAGCTGCGCCGTCCACTGCTGCGCCTTCAGCTCAAACCGTATCTGGCTGACCCAGTGTGGTCGGCACTTGCGGAACTGAAAGCATTGTGTTCAGAATCCAGGCCCTGGTCTGATGATGAGACTCTTTCTTCTTCTTTTTATTTTTACGTTGAGAGTACACTGATTGCAGTCAGGAACAGTGAACAAGGGCTTAGGATAGAAGAAGCCACAGGAGAGAGCCTGGGCGGGGCTGCTTGGGCTTTCTAGAAACGTTACAGGAGAGAAGTGAGCCATGAGCCGAGAGAGGGCTGCTGTGAGCTCCCTGCAAGGTCAGAGAAAAGGGGGCCCTGGAGACAGGTTCGGGGGGGTTCGCCGGGGAGGAGCCGCCACTGCCCACCGCTCCCCTGGCTGCACATCTCATGGGGACACTTAGAGTTTAGGAGGTGCATGACGGTGGGGGAGGAAAGGGGAAGGCACCGGCGGGCCCCTGGGAGGACGGCACACTTTTTTTAAGACCTCCACTCTGCCGCAGCGTCCTGGCCTCTTTGTTGCATAATTAAGTCCATAAGGGAAAATAAACAGCTAAAAACATGCTTATTGGAAAGTGTAAAATGGGGGCAGGGGAGTGGAATGTGTAGGAGGGTATGGGGGGGGGAATGAATGGTAATAAAAGAACACAATGAAAAAGAAAAGTGTAAAATGACCAAGAACTGGGCCAAGAACTCCAGCAAGGCACCGGGCAAGTCGGTTGGCAAACACTTGGGTTGGTCCTTGGTCGTTTCCTTCTCTCTATCTTTGTTCACTTACTGAGCCTCCTCTTCCTCCTCCTCCCAGGTGCCCCCTCTGCCCTTTCCAGCCCTGAACCGGGGCTGTCCATCCCAGGCACCACACCCCTCCTCATAGAGCTAAGGACTCTGTCTCACCGGTGCGGCTTCTCGGCTCTTCTGTCCGTCCTCTTCTCGAAGTCCGCACATCCCAACCCGCACCGGGGGATCCCGCCCTCCCCCCACAGGCATTTCACAGAGCCAGTCGGCCCTTCCAAGTCCCTGCAGTTGTATGGTATACATCTTCCCAGCCCCAGGGGGAGGCACACAGGAGATAGAGGCGAGAAAGTTAGAAAAATCCAACTTTTACACAGTGCACACGTTTACTAGGTAAAATTCATAGCATGGGTACCTGATTTACTGTCATCATCTACTCTTGTGGTTTGCACGGGACCCCAATTTTCTCCCGGGAAATGGACCCTCTCGGCCACTCGAGGGATGCTGAGCTCCACCCCGGCTCCAGAGGCGAGCCCAGTGTGGCTGCTGCCAGCCGTTTTCCCGGCTAGTGAGAGGTCAGAGTTGGGCACACGTTTCAGTCTGGGCATGAGGAACAAAACCGGAGCTTAAGCCAGAACAACAGAAAGAGAGCCTTTTCCTTCCTCTGGGTGGGTATTGGGACTGCAGAAACGGGGGCCGTGTGAAGGGGGCCCTGCGCGGCTTGGAGAGGGCTCCAGAGAAGGCGCACCCTGGGGCTGGGGGCGAGCCCTCCCCCTGGACTTTCTGCCGAGAGCTCCCAGGCCCCTCAGATCTCAGTTTGAGGTTTGGGCCCTTGCAACTCACGCACTCTAACCTGTAAACGCACAAGCCTGCTGCCCAGAGAAATAAAACACCATCAACGTCTTGGGTTCAATTCTTCTGCATATTTTAATGTACCTATATACACACATTTTCTTTTCTTATTTTACAAAATTGAGAAAATATATACTCTTCTGAAATATCTCGGTTGATAATACTCTTCACCTCTTTTTGTGTTAACCAAAACTGTCAGCATTTAACATTACTGCATAATACTCCATTCTAGGAATATACAGTTACTTAACAAGTTTCCTATTAAGAAACATTTACACTTTTTTGTTTTTTATATACGGTAAATGTGCCATTCTCATATATTAGTTCTAGTATTTCATGGTTCTAGACGTGAAATTCCCGGATCACAGAGTATGTACATTCTTAAGGATTCACTGTATCTTACCGGATTGTCTGCCACAAGGAACATACAATTCATATTCCCAGCAGCATGGAGGCTGGCATGTCTCACAGAGGAGTGACTAAAGGCAAAATGCTTTCTAAAAAGAAAATATGCTTTTGCTCACTGAGTATTTACTGAGTGTCTGCATTTGCACAATGCTGTTCGGGGTTCTGGGGAGACTCTGGGGACCCGGACACTGGTTTGTCTGTGTTCTCCCTTCCCCAGTCACGGCAGGTTTGGGAACCAACATCACAGCATGATATAACTCAAGTGACAATGGGGAAGACACTCGGGGGACACTGGGCTGCACCCCGGCATGGGCGGGGACACGGTGTGCGGGACGCTGCGCAGCCCACTGTCCTTCCTGGGCTCTGCCTTGTACAGATGTGGGGAGGAGCCTGGAACGCGACTCCCCTGCCCAGCGGGCCTTGCTTGGGGGCTGCCCATGGGAGACACATGTTCTAGCTGGGGCTGAGTGGCAGAGAAGGGACAGAGCCGCACAGGCTCCAGACAGCCCAGAGTTGGCGGGGGAGCACGGGGGCATGTAGGCAGAGGGGCTGTGGTGGCCGCTCCACGGGCCCCCATTGCTGGCTAATCCGACCGCCCTGCTGGCTCCTGCACCCCGTGTAACGACTCTGTGGCCTGGACCCCACAGGGGTCCGTCTCCATCTGCAGTGCCTGCAGTGTTCTGCTTTCCTGACCCACAGGGGAGCCCTCAAGTCTCCAGGAGGTTCGAGACCCACAGCTTTCCCTAAGTGCCAGTTTTCCTGGAAGCAATGGAAGATGGTATGAGTTTCTTCCCTGCGGGCAGCCTCCAGAGGAGTTCGCAACCGGCTCGGAGAGGGCGTCTTGTGTGAAAAGCACACACACTTACACACCAGGAAGCCGCCCAGGAAGACAAGCTGCACATGCATGACACGCGCAGGGAACTGAAAGCACCCAGGACTCCCTCTGACACTCACCTACACCTGATCCACCGAGAGCACAGCCTCAGCAACAGGGGAAGGGCCGATGCTCTCACTGCGCTGGGGGCGCCTGGCAACAAAGTGCTTACAGGACGTGACTAACTATCCTCCTCTGCATGGGGACTTGGGGTCCTGTGGTTTCAGAAAAAGCGTCAGCTGCGATTTTATCAGTATGACTGAAGTGTGAAAGCATCACCTATGCTCTTCCTTTCCAAACAAACTTGAACCTGGTGATGTCAGTTCTCAAAGCTCCACAACACACGTCGTCATGTCTACAGCCTCTGTATCTTCTCTTCTATTGACACTGAAAACAGCTTTACCGGCACACATATGCAAACACAACCAAGCGTGGAGAGTGGGCGAGAAATGCCCCACCCCCTAAGTCCCTCCAGCTCCGTCCTCCCCCTCACTGTCATCGTCACGGCAGCGGAAGATGTCTCGGAACAGGAAGGCCCGCTTCGGCGCCGCGGGAGTGTGCGGCTCCCTGCCTCTCTTCTCCATCTTCTTCTCCAGCTTTTCCTTGAGCAGAGGCAGGCTCGTCTCATACAGGTAGTCTATGATCTCTGAAGGAAAGGGTTAACTTTGAAGTCATTTGCACAAAGCCTCGCCCCAAGGTCAAGGGGCAGTGGGCAGGACAGACATCCCTGCCCTGGCCTGTGATTCCCGTGCAGGCCCCTGTTCTCACTGATCAGCTTACGGCCACTCACTCCGTCCTCTCCGGGGTCCTCTGAGGCAGGCACTGCAGCTCGCCCGTTTTTCAAATGGGGAACCTGAGGCCCCATGACACTGTATGACACGTGCCCAAGTTATGGACTTGGTCGGGGCGAGGCCGGGATTCACAGCCGGGCAGGGACATCTGTGGCATGCCCGTGGCGCTCCATCACACATGGCAGGGCGGGGGCCCGGACGCCCGTGCTGGGCAGACACTGGAGACGCTCCTGCGAGCTCGTGAGAGGAGCCCGAGCCTCCGCAGCCGGTCTGCGGAGGAGCACTCCGTCGGGCGGGAGGCCCGCTGCCTATATTTTTAGCAAGTTCCCCACATGACTCGGGTGACCCGAGCTTGGGAATCATGTATCTAAACCACCACGCACGGCCACAAAGAAGGAACCAGGCGCCTGTTTCCCCTTAAGTGTGTGTGCACGCATGTGGGGTACGTGTCTGCACACGTGCACAGTGCAGCGAGCCGGAAGCACTCATGGTCAGACATGCGTGCTTGCCATGCACCAAGCACCCGGCAACTGCCTTTCACACGTGTGACATCATCTGGTGCCTCGGAACGTCTGCCCGTTGGGCAGGGATCACAACGCACCAGCTGTCACCATTTCACAATGGGAGAAGTGAGGTGCTCAGGAGGGAGGTCACTTGCCCAAGGCCACCACCAGCACAGGGCACCATGCACTGTGCTCTTAATGCCTCAGGCCCTGAAAATACTGACCTGGAAAGGTCTTCTTCTGCCAGAAGGGAACGCAGGTGGCCTTCAGCTTGTAAAATTTACTTTGGACATAAGACGGAGGAACGTCCCTTTAGGAAGGAAAAGGTGGAAACGGTGTCAGTTCAAAGCCCCATCAGTTCGGCACTGATGAGTCCAGCACGAACAGGGACACTGACTGAGAGGTCTGCAGACCCAAGTGGCTTTCCCAACCCTGAACCTGAAATCACCACGGCCACAAATGCAAAGAAGTAAGACACACCTGGCAAGCTATTGACCATTTGGCTAACACACACACACACACACACACACACACACACACACACACACACACAAGGATGAAAGCAGCACACAAGACAGGCTCTGTTCCAACTGGAGGAACTAAATCACTGGCTGGGAAGACGACGTGTAACGTGGGCCGGCCCGTGCCGACGCCCCATAAGTGCATGGCCCTGCCCGAAGCCCCTCCCAGGTGGGAGCAAATGAGCCCACGACCACTCTACCAAGAAGTCACTGTTCTGTGCCCCCACTTTAGAGATGGGGACACTGAGGACAGAGAAGTCGTCCCAGACCTCACACCTAATGAGGGGCACAGCAGGGACAACACGGCGATTCAGTTCCAAATCCACCCTCTCCCGCATCACACTCAGAACAAATACGTCTTCATCCCCATTCAAAGGCAGGCGTCCCGATTTTTTTTTTTGCAAAGTCAAAAAAAAACAGCAGATGCTGATGATGTTTTGGTGACTCAAACACATTTTCACTTTATAGTAACTAAGACTGAAACAACCAATTCTTACCTTCTTTTAAAGTGAAAATCCCTAACTTCACTTCCTGAACACTTTCTCAAACAAAGTGACCTATTTGTCTCGGTGATTAACTGGCAGCTAAAAGGAGTGGTGTAGATGACTCTATCTGTTACGTATGTTACGTCTGTCACATACGTAGAGGCAAACGGTGACTGGGCTCCTCAGCTCCTGCATCCGCACCAGGCCAGGACCCTGTCCTGCGTCCCCCTCCCAGGTCCACACTAGATCCTATTAAGCCATCTCGTGGGTGAGGAAACCGAGACAAGCTGGGGAACAGCCGGCCAAGGGCAGCTAGACAACGAGGGCCAGGACTCAGCACCAGGTCAGCTGACTACAAAGCCCCAGTTCTAGGGTGCCACCCCACTCCACTTGCCCACTGCGACCGGAGGCCACTGTTCACGGTCGCAGGACCGATTCAAAATGCAAAGGCTGCAGCCGAGAAGGCACCCAGCAAAGGCGAACACAGCAGCTCCCAAACACAGGAGGCTTCTCACGCCTCGACTCCATGCAAATGACCACCTGCCGAGGGAAGCAGGCCACGCAGAACCACAGGGCTCTGCTGCGGTCTCAAAATAGCTCCCGTGGCCCCCTCGCCACCCAGAGAAAACTCGCTGAGAGCAGCTGCACAGAACACACAGGTGCCAGCCGGACCCAGGGATCGGAATCGGCGCCTCGCGGTGAGATGGGAAGCACGACAGGGACACTGCCTCACCCGCCACATCCCCGCTGGAAACACAGAGCCCCGCTCGAATCAGGAGCAGCCCTGGGACACTCCGCCCGAGGGCAGACCACAGGACAGGCCGCCTGTGCTCCTCCAGCGGGCCAGTGCCATCAGAGACCACAGGGGACTCTGCAGATTGCAGGGCATGAGGAAAGGGGACCAGGACACGTGTGACCCTGGACTGCGCCTCAAGTCCGGAGAAGCGCTATAAAGGGCATCCTGGGGACACTCGGTGACACCTGACATCTGAGTGTGGGCTGGGCTTACAGAATTGTGCCAAATGTCAAACTTCCTCAGGACGGCAACCAGGCAGTACCACCCTTGTCCAGGGCCACCGCCCACCGCCGACTGTTGGACAGCGAAGGGGACACATCACCCCAGGGGACGGGAGAGGGGCAGAGTGGGGCTTTGTCCACATCTCGCTCACTCCTACTGGTGTCTGGGGCGGGGTCCCAACACACACACAGACGTGAACTCGACTTCAGACACAGTCCATGCGCAGCACGGGTCCTGGGAACCCGAGAGGCAGTTGTCTCCTGTCACCGTTAACCTTCCTGCGAGCTCACCCACCAACAAGCGGTCTTACCCGATGGCGCTGGCAAGATCTTCCCAGTCTATCTCATTAGCATCTTCCACGTTTATTTCATACAATCTAAGAGAAAACATAAAAATCAAGTTTTCCAGCAAAAGTCAGCATGATAGACACCTTCAGGGACTTAGACAATTCAGAGCCGAAGGCACCACCGGGTCCCTGGTGCCAGCGCCCCCCCCGTTACACGGGCCCAGCAGGGTCGGAGCGCTAGCCTAAGTCACTTAGTCAGTGGACTACAAGCCAAAAGGCCCCCCCGCCTTGAGTCCCCCACCAAACCAGGCTGCTGTGTCACAGTAAAACCGTGACTTTACCACTCAGAGCAGACACACGGAAACAGTATGTGTGCTCAGCACATTAGAGACCCGTGTTATGGCCTCAACGTTCATGCACTCCCTAAGTCCACCCCGAGGAGATCGGGGACTGTCCCCATCCACAAATGAGGCGTCAGGGCTCGGGGCCCGAGTCACTTGTGGAAGGTTTCATGACCGCAGGCAGTGACAACTCTGGACTGGCGAGGGCCTGCCCCACTCCGCTTGTCCCTGCCGTCTCTCTGGTCGGGCAACTGAAGGTGCCTTGATGCCATTAGGGCCGAGTTCAGGATGGAGCAGGAAGAAGGTGGATGGCTGGGGTGGCCAGAACCAGAGCACCCCCTGCTCTTTTCTGTCCCCCCTTTGCTCTGAGCCCAGGCCCCCCGGACACATGGGCTTCCTTCAGGACAGGGGCTCTGGGTGGACAGAAATTCAAAGGCGGACCAAGAGCCCGCACCCCAGAGACGCTGACAAGCACAAGCTGGAGAGCAGCGGGCTCAGCCTGCACCGTCGGCCCCCTCTCAAGCGGACGGGAGTCACGCGTGTGCGCACGGACACCTCCCAAGACTAAAAGAGCCGCACTGGGGAGCGTGCAGCGCACTGTGCACAGATCACTGCATTCCCTCTCCTCAGACACCCAGAGGCAGCTGCTGTCCTCATCACCTGCATCTAAGATGAACAAACCAAGACCTAGAAAGGCGGCAACACATCCAAGATCGTATACGGCGAAAGCACCAGAACAGCGGTCTGAACCAGGGCAACCCCGCTGCGTACTCTGCCGTGTGAGCCGCCGTGTGACCAGAGAGAGACCCAGGGGAGCCGTGCTGTGTGCCCGTACCTTTCGATCAGGTTGACCTTGGCCTGCAGTGCGTTGACTCCTCGGTAGACGTCCCGACCGTTCGTCATCCTCTTGGTCAGGATTTCCGTCCTGTGTCAGAACAAAGGAAAACCCAGCTCGCACTCAGGGGCCAAGTTTCCAGTATTTTCCTCATCTGAATTGCCCTTTCCCAGAGCCGCTTTCCAACGCCTGCAGCTCGCCGCCGCTGCTCGCCCCGACCACAACAGCCCTTTCTCAACACCAGTGGGAAAGGACAGAACGGGTGTGACTGAAACCAGGCGACGAGCACGAGTTCCCCGTGTGTGACAAAATCTCCACGATGCACTGTTTTAAAAGGGGAAAGAAGGATGAGCCCATGAGCAGCTTGCTAAAGGAAACTGTAAGCTCAACCGAGTTTTCATTGTTATAAAGCAGATGGCCCTGGCTGGTGTGGCTCACTTGGTTGGAGCGTCATCCTGTGAACCAAAGGGGTGAGGGTCTGATTCCCAGACGGGGCCCATGCCTGGGTTGGGGGTTCAGTCCCCAGTTGGGACGTGCACTTGGGGCTGCTGATGGATGTTTCTCTCTCACATCAATGTGTTTCCCTATCTTCCTTCCTTCTCCTCTAAAAAAACTTTTTTAAAAATCTAAAATAAATCAAACAGGTGGCATAGCTCTTACTGCCATGACCAGCAGCTGGAACACTAAACGAGACAAATTCAGCGAAGCAACCTCTAAGTGCTTTGGTGGGCCCTCTAGCGCCCACTGCCACAGGCTGGAGGGAAGGGTGACTAAAGCTCCCGATGTAAAATATTTCAAAAACCCTCCTCTGGTCCTGGCTGGTCAGGCTGCGTGGACTGAGTGCCAGTCTGCGAACTGAAAGGTTGCCGGTTTGATCTGATTCCCAGTCAGGGCACACGCCGGGGCTGCAGACCAGGAACCCAGTAGGGGCCGCACAAGAGGCAACCACATACTAATGTTTCCCTCCCTCTCTTCCCCTCTCTCTGGAAATAAATGTACTCCTTTAAAAAGAAGTCCTTGTCTGCACAGCAAAGCCTGCCGTGACGTGATGGACGGGTCATCAGCCATCACAGCCTCCTCCTTTCTTGACAAGAAGGGACATGGTGCTCCGTGGCGCTGGCACCACCAGTCTCACCCACAGCCGTCCATGCTCACTGGTGAGGAATGCGCCACAGGAGGTCATTGCAATGTGACATGAAGTAAACACAGTGTCCGACTTTTTCTTCAAATAAAAAGCACATCTTGAATGTTATTTAATGACATGGACTTTGAAGGTGACTCCCCAGTTTAACACATGCGGCCGACCCTCCACCAAAGGCTCACTCCAGCCCCTTGTCCCAGTCCAGACTGCGGGGTGGGCGGGGTTCTGGCTCCTCCCACCCGCGACCTGTTCTCCAGAGCTTACATCCCTGAGCGTGGTCTTCGAATGAAACAAACGACTCTTCGAAGGGACGCAAGGCACATAAACAATAAACTGTGTCACCCAGGGGTTCGCATAAAATGCACCAACTGGGGATGTCAATGGCACCGATGATCAAGGTGCCGAGCTTCCTGTGTGTGAGGCGGGCCCTGGGCTGCAGGGCCCCTGCGTCCAGGACCCGCTTAGAGACCCCCGGGCTGGGCAAAGCTGCAGGAGGCAAAGGACGTGCAGCAAGGTCGGCAGAAAACACTGCCAGGTGACGATGCACCTGAAGAAGGTCTAAGATGAGGCGTGCGACCCTCACTGTGAAGGCACCGAGAGGCGGAACAGGAAAGGCAGACCTGTCACCGATGGCCCCATTTGTGACTTCTCTCGCGGACCTGAGTCTGTGGGAAGCCCCGCAGGAGTGGCGTGGCTAAGGGCCGACTTGAACCAGGCACTGACACCGAGGGAGCTGAGGCGGCACAGAGGGGACGGCAGTCCTCGCCCCGGACATGGCGGGCTTTCCACGCTCAGCCCACGGACGTCACCAGCAACCTCACCCACCCGCCCTGTGGAAACTGCAGAGGGAGGGAATAATAGCTTGTCGAAATTTATATAAGAAGCCTTAAAACTTACCACTTACTTTTACACTGCATCCAATTCCTGGTTCCTACTTTCGCCTCGACTTCTACCCAAGATATACCCTTGTAGAGTTTTTCCCGGACAATCGACAGGCAGCGTTCAGGATTTTCTTGGAGTTTAGAATCTACCTCTTTTAAGTCCTGGGGCGACATTTTCTTTAGAATCACTTCTTCCACAGCCCTGATCAGTCTCTGGGTCTCCGCCCTGCTCCAGGCACCGTGGTTCCTTTCTGCGGGTGTGAAAGGGCCGTCTCAGAGTTGCGAGTCTGTGGGCCTTCAAACGCAACACTGGAAAGGAAGTGATGACGACAGGCGCGCGTCATCACACATTTACCCAAACCCACAGTGACCCCGGTGGCCACCGGGGGTGGGGGGCTGCGCAAGGCACATGGGAAATTTGGCACCTTCCTCTGAATCATACAGTGAACGCACAACTGGTCTAAAAAAAGAAGTCTGAGAAAGAAAGAAAACCTGGACACACGGACCACGAAAGCACTTGGGGCCGCGGGTTCTTTTAAGAGCCAAGGGCAGGAGAGCCCTTCTTAATGCAGGAGTCTTTTGTGCAACTTCAGCAAAGCTGGTCTTCCCGTTTCTGAGTAATGTCTCCCACGCGAGACTCTGAGGTTCCCCACATTTAACGGGACAACTGTAACCAGGTGAGTGTCTGTCACATGCTGACCTCTCCCCGGGAGCCCCAGGGAGACTCCCCAGGAGTCTCCAGGGCAACGAATGGCTGAGGCGACACCAGCACGGAGGCCCCTGAGAGCCTCTGGAGCCCGTCGCCTGGGCGGGGAGTCAAGCAGCCACGCTCGCCGCTGTGTCCAGACATCGGTCACGCCGGGGAGGAGCCCGAGACCCGCAGCCTGGGGACGCTGCTGGTCCGGCCCACCAGTGCTGTCGTCACTTCTCCCTGATGACAATCTGGATGATGGTTTAAAAGTCCAGAGGGTCCCCAGGGGAAAAAGACGCCTAGCTTTCACAAGACATAAAAAATTCAGACTTTGGCTTTACTTCTTGGAAATGAGAATGGGCCACACAGTCTCCACACGGCATCTGTGGCTGCATTTGGTGGCACAAAGGGCCTGGTCTGCAACTCAAGCCAGGGCTGACCACACACTGGCCTCGAAGACACCCGGGGCTCCACCGGCCAGTGTGGCGGGTGCATGGCAGCCCTCGCTACCAGTGACCCCCAACTAAAGTCTTGTTAAAGCAACTGGGAATTTTTCATGAGCAGAACACAACCAAGGAAGCTTCTGCCGAAGGAGGAGGAAGAGACAGGACGTGACCACCACTGGTCATGAGGACAACCCCTGCCTACCAGGCCTGAACTGTACCCCGCCCCCTTAGTCTCCTTCCCACTTCAGGAAGGGACCTCTCCCCGCCCAGCCTCTCCTGCCCCCCAGCTTCATTGGAATCGGTCCCCTCGGCGGTCAGGGTCGCACTGAAAGCTGCTGAACAGAGGAGGGGAGCCATCGGCCTGTGAGTAAAGGGCACGGCCCATAAACGCACAGGAGGGCGCGGGCTGAAGCGGCTCCGGAGAGCAGCTTCCCAGCAACGGCCGCAACGGGTCCCGGGCACTGGGTCCCGGCAGTGGCCGACGGCCTGCTGGGCCCACTCCTTCACCCAGGTGGGCTCACCAGGTGGGCACTGGAGACCGTAACTCACCGCTGCTGATCTGGGAGTACTTCAGGGCGACAGAGAGGCTGCTTCGGGCCACCAAGTCCCCAATCTTCTTCCAGTCATTGCCGTGGAGGGAGTGGTACATCTTTAACTTCGTGGTGTCCCCTGTGCTGTACCTACGAGAGAGGGAGCCCATGACAGTTTTCCCTACTGTAACTTCTTCCGTAGTTAGGTGAGATTCACAGAGTGCAAGGTGGCCGGTTTTGAAGCCTGTGACTCGGTCATGTGCCGCTCACCTCCACCTGGGTCTTCAGCTTTTTTAAAAAAGATTTTATTATCTGTAGAGAGAGGGGAAGGGAGAAGGAGGGAGAGAAACATCAACGTGTGAGGGAAACATCAGCTGGTTGCCTCTCACACCCCCCCAACTGGGGACCTGGCCCACAACCCAGGCAGGTGCCCTGACTGGGAATCGAACCGGTGACCCTTTGGTTTGCAGGCTGGTGCTCAATCCACTGAACTACATCAGCCAGGGCAAGTTCTTAAGCTTCTTAATCACTGCCCTCCACCATCACCAAAGGGACATCTTGTTCTCACTAAGCAACCCTTCCCAACTAACGATCAGTTGTTAAAGGAGAAAACACACCCTGACCATGGCCTGCAAAGCCGCCCACAGCCTGCCACCACGCCGAGCTAACTACGAGGTTACACACCGTCGTCCCTGCAGGGTCTGCTGCAGTCCTGGAAAAGCGGGTACGGCGGGCTGACCAACTCCCAGAGCCTGGGTCGCCTCCTGTCCCGGCATCTCGACTGTGGTCACCCTAGAAACCAGGCCCCGCTGTACCAGGCCAGAGGCCCGGCTAGTGCACAGCACCCAGAGCAAATACTGGGGTCGGGGTGTTCCCACCCAGACCCACAGGTCCCGCACTTCGCACAGCACACAACACAGACTTCTCCAGGTGCCTGCAGAGCCCGCCCTCACCTGCCAGGACGACTCCCGCCGAGTGTGACGCGGGAGCTCCCTGACTCCCGGGGCCCAAGGCCCCAGGGTCCTCCTCGGAGAGCTTGGCCTCCCCCGCACCCGCCACAACCCGCGGCTCCACACTGAGGGCCCCCTGTTTCCCTGTCCCTGCTCCAGGCCTCTGCTGGCCAACGGAGACAGAATGCGAGTTGTGTGTATTTAACACTTCCTGATGGCTGTACAGAAATTAATTGCACCTCGTCTTGATGAATTAATTTTTTACTCAGCCTAACATGTTAAAACTGCAGCCTTTCCCACATGCCATCAGTACCCACAAGGACCGAGCTAGTTCACATTCTCTTCCTCACCCCGAGCCTCCCACCCCGGTGCTTTCACTCTGCCAACATGTCCCTGTCAGGAGCCAGGACACCCCTGTGCTCTGCGGCCACATGAGGATGGTGGTCACTGAGACGCTGCGCTCTGGAGGACGGGGCCCACAAGGGCAGGAGCCCTGGGTCGGTTCCACACGCAAACATGCTACTGAAGGATGAAAACCACTCCCCGTGGATGAAGTGGAGGAAAAGCTCCCTTTCTGACCTGCCGTGGCTCCTGACCCGGGACCAGGGCGGGGTCTGTGTCATCGCTAAGGCAGCTCAGGAGAGGCCTGGAAAACCCTCGCCCTCTCTGCTGACGGGGAGCAGCTAGCCTTCCGGGCGGAGGGCTCAGCGCGCTCAGGAATCCCTCTCCCACTGCAGAGGACAGGGAAGAGACCTGGATCCTGCGCCTTTAAGAACTGTGCTTCCCAGCCGTTTCCTTCCCAAGGGCAGCAGGGTGTCCCGCAGGCTAATGAACTGAGAGGCACCTGGCAGCAGCAGGAAGGGTGGCAGAGCGACGCGGGCACAGAAACGAGGGCACAGGGGGCTGCCTCCCGAGGCCCCGCAGAGACTTCGAATCCTTGGACTTTCCACCTTGTTTCAATTAAGAATTCCTGACATTGCCCTGTCTGGCATGGCTCAGTGGATTGGGCGTGGGCCTGCAAACCAAACAACCGCGATTTGATTCCCAGTCAGGGCACATGCCTGGGTTGCAGGCCAATTCCCAGCAGGGGACGCACAAGAGGCAACCATACATTGATATTCCTCTCCCTCTCTCCTTCCCTTCCTCTCTAAAGATAAATAATTTAAAAAAAGAATTCCTGACATTGGAAAGATATTCTAAGAATAAACGGAAGCTCAGCGGCTACGCACGTCTCGGTGCAGAGTCACGGGGCCGAGCAGAACTCCGAGGTCCCGCTGGAGCGGGTCACTTGGCCTCCCCGAGGGAGCCCCGTCACCGAGTGTGGCTGTGAGAGGCCAGTGCTTTCAGGCTCGCCCCTTCAGAGCAGAGAAGGCACCCACAGCCCACCTGGCACCTGCGTTTGCTTTATTTGGAATGTCAGAAACAAACTCTAATTGGGTATTTAATTTAGGGAAAAAGTGGAGGAGAGAATGGCCATCAGCAGCTAAGCGCTCCCACGGACTCCCATGGAAGGGACTGCCCGCTGCCTGCGTGCCGTGGTGGACAGAGCTGAGCCCGGGCTCAGGCAACATCCCTGGGAAGGAACGTCCAGGCTCACGGGGAGCACACGGGCTTGCTGAGGACACTGGCCGAGCAACAGTCAGAGGGCAGAGTGTGCTGAGTGCCAAGAGGAAAGTGTAAGGAAAAAGCTGAGATGGGGGAGGGCACGAAGGTCAGAGGGGGACTGAAATGGTCCTGGAAGACCGCACCTGACGACGCACACGCCCCTGGCTCCACACGCATGCAGCCACGGCCTTTCCCTTCCCATCCGTGTGGGCGACACTCTGACTTACAGGGTCAGCGGGGACCAATGAAGTTCTTACCTGCCTTTGTAATTGTTGACGTCAAACATCTTCTTTGCCCGATAGTACACGAGTTTCCAGGGCCGGGCAATGCCCTTACCTGACGGGGGAGGAGGGGCGGTCAGCAGGGCACACAGTGTGGCAGGGAGTGGTCGCCGCTGTGAAGGAGCCCAGAAGAGCCCTTTCCGCACACCAACCACCCCAGACCGGGGCAGGGCCTGCAGACACTGTCCGGGGAGGCGGGGCATACATCCCCAGGCTCCTTGGAGGAGGTCTCAGAAAACTGGGCGCTTTGTCCGGAGAGGCTCTAGCTCCCAGTCTCCTAAGTTCATGGACAAGACCCTTACAAAGGCAAAGCGTGTAGAGGAGGGGTGGCTAAAGTGGGGGACCGTGCCAACAGTCCCCCGCAAGAGAAACCACCTCTCCAAACCAACAGGTTCGCCTAGCAACCTGCACCCCCACAGGCGAAACAAGCCCCCCCGCAGGGCTCACCCTCGCAGACAAACTGAGTTACGTGAGCAAAAGCAACTTTCCCGGGCCAGTCCTGGGCTGCTTCACACCCTCCTGACTTTCCAAGCGTCACCTCTAGGAGGCGCTCCAGCTACACGGAACAGACTTGGCCATGCCTGCGACTCTCCGGAGCCCCTGCTGCACAGAGGCTGTGCTTTGGGGCGGCGAGTGGAACACGTCCACCACGAGGAGCAGGGAGAGCGACCTAAACCGCGGTTATTGCCGAGAACGAAAGCTGGAAGCTGGCATTTCGTTCTTCCTAAAATCGGTAAGGCACCCTAGTTGGGAGGCGTGAACACTCTCAATCCCTGCAACACAGGCTGCTGCTGAGAACACTGTTCCCACGGCGGCATTAACATGCACCGAATGTGACCCTGGGCCACCCGTGTGAGGTGGACAGCCGTGGCGGTTCTAAACTTACCAATGTGCAAGCGAAAGGCGTGCTTTCTCTTCAAGTCGGTGATCACAGCCTTCTCCTCTGGGTACCTGTCCGTGTACAGCAGCTTGTCCGCACTCTCAATTCCCGTCAGGGACAGGAATTCTTGCACGTTTTTCTCTAACTGCTTATTTTCCTTCACAGAAAACTTGCCAAACCTAATGGCGACACCTAGGAGTTGGGGTGGGAGGAAGAGTGTGTCGTCAGTAACGAGCAAAAGCCAACCCAGCTCGTGGCTTCAGCAGCGGCAGCCCAGGGCTTGGCCTGCGCCTGCCCGGGAGCCGCCCGCTCCTGCACTGGACGCTCAGCGCCCTGTCCCCCGGTGGAGCGTGGCTTCCCTTCCCTACACGGCCGCCCCTGGGCGACCGCAGCTCCTGTCAGTGCACAGGCGAACAGGTGCAGCTTGTGGCTGAGTCCAACAGGCTTCCCAGGACGGTCTCGTAACAGTGAGATCAGGGAGGGGACCAAGCTGGGTCTTGTTTGAAACACGTCCACTCCACCAGCTCGCCCTCAAATTACTGACTCAGGAAAAGAAACTGCACCTCATCGAAGTTGATGAGTTAATGTCTTTAATTTTATTTCAGTTGTGCGGCGTATCCTTCCCAGGCCGCAGCCCATTCACCCCCAGGCCCGATCCTCTGGCCCCTGCAGCCCCAGGCCACCTGCCTCCCGACCAGAGGCCAGGCAAAGAGGGCACCAGGGCACCGCGCTGGGCCCACCCTGCAGCTCGGACAGTGATTCTGGAGGGGTGGCTATTACAGAATTCTACATCTGATACCAACGAAATCCAATCTACCAAGGTAACCCCAATAAATTCAACTAGGAACCCCTACTCTGGTTGGAGGGAAAGCTGAAAGGAACCAAAGGCTGGACCTCATGAACCTGTAAACCTGAGCTGTTCACAAAAGCCCACCGGGCTTCTCGGAGACACCGCAGTCCCACCAGCTCACCCTGTGCTTTGAACTCTCTAAACCGCCCCAGGTCATCGCGGTACATGCGCTTGATCGTGGTGGCAGCCCTGTCGCCGATGCTGGGGATGAACTCGCGGAGCTGCTGCACGGCGGCGTCCAAGTCCACGCCGGCCACGTCCGAGTCCTTCGAGTCCTCAGATAAACACACTGTCTCGGAGTCTTTACCGGCCGGTCCTACCCTGGGGGGGGAAGCGGGTCGATCAGCACCGAGGTAACCTGGCCCTGACAGCCGAGAACCTCTGCTCCTGCCACGACTCCCTCAGACCAGGGGAGACTTGGGCGGGAGGTCCGGGCTCGCACAGGGACTGCCCACGTGGGCGCGCCTCAGAGGCCGTCTGCAGGGGGACCTGCAGCCCGGGCCCTGTTTCTTACTGGGCTGTTTCTCAGCGGTTTCTGTGTTAGATACTGACCTCCCAGTGAGCTAAGCCCTCTTCTACCTCCACAGACACCCAAGACACTTCACCCTGACCCCTTCCAGTGAGTTAGGCTTTAGAATAATGATTGCTAATTAGTTAAATCAGTACCCAGGGCTCCCATGGTTACAGTTGTTTTTTTAAAAAAGATTTTACTTATTTATTTATAGAAAGAGGAGAAGGGAGAGAGAAGAGGAGAGAAACACTGATGTCCGTTGCCTCTTGTACGCCCCCAACCGGGGACCTGGCCTGTACCCTAGGCATGCGCCCTGAATGGGAATTGAACCAGTGACCCGTTGGTTGGTTGGTTTGCGGTATGACACCCATCCCACCGACATCAGTCGCGGATGGTTAGTTATTTTTGCTGTGGTCAGTAATGGCCACATTTCCCCTTTGATTGTTTTTCTATATATCTATCACTAATCCATTCTCAACTCTCTGCCAGATGTTTGAATCTCTTCCTACGTTCAACTGTATCAAGTAACTGCTCATACAGGAAACTGAAAAAAAAAAAAAAAAATTGTGTGTGCTTGTCCAAGAAAAGGGTCCATAGCTTTCAGAGGGCTCACAGTGCAATGTAAATTAAGCGCACCAGGCCTAGGACATTCCTGCCTCACTGTCAGTGTTCTGGAGACACCCCAGGTGGGACTGCACGGAGGGTGCCGTGGGTGGGGCCACAATTACCACAGGAGCCGGCCCGGCGGGCCCTCCTCCACTCAGCTGCTACATGGAGCTGGGTTAAGCCAGGACAACCTAACACATGTGAGGAAGCCACTGAGTAAAAATGGGGGCGGGGCGGGAGAATCTGTCTCTAGTCCCAGGAACTGAGAAAAAACAAACAAACAAACACACCTCCCTGCTTTATGCAGCAGATGCTACACTCACACGACAACTACATATAAAATGTTAAAATCTCCTTTCTTAGTGAGAACCCCAATTCAAGCCGTGCCCTGGTGGGTAGCATTCTCAGGCACCTGCTCCTTCCTCCCATCCAGACGCACACAGACAGACGGGGTAATGTGGGCGTCTCAAAAGGCCCATTAGACCGAGTCCCAACTTCAGAGCTACAAGAGCACTCACTGCAAACCCAAGCTGGCTGCCCATGTGTGCACGGGAAAGAACACGGCCTGCGGAGGGTGGGCTTAAACACGCACTCGGCCTGGTCTGCCTCCGGGGCCTCTGCCATCTGCCGTGGACATGCCGAACAGAGGCCCTGGGCACAATTCCCACAGAGGACGGACAGCCTCAGAAGGCAGGACGGTCCCGCGTTACCTCTCCGCCCCTTCCGAGGGTGCCTGTGTCTGCTCCTCTGGCAGCTGGGGTGTTGTGCTGTCCTCAGCCAAGGAGCTGTGACCTTCCGGTGAATCGCAGGGTGCGTCCGGGCGCTCACGGCTCGCGGGGCAGCCTGAACAACCACCGTCAGGCGCTCGGGCACCGTCACCAGCAGACCTTCGCCTCCTTTTCTTGGCCCTTTTCTTGAACTTGCGGGGTTCCTTCCTGCCTTCTGAAGTGCCTGCGTCGTGGGCCGCTTGCCATCCCTCAGAGCTCCCGGTCTCAGGACGCTCAGACTCCTGGTTATGGGAAATCTCTCTCTTCCTTTTCTTGGACTTCCTTTCACGAGCGGCCCCCAGCGGTGGTGTAACTGGGCCTTTGAGGGGCACAGGAAGCAGGGGCTGCGGCTGGGGCTGGGGCTGGGGCAGGCTGGCACTGGGGCCCCCTTGCTCAGCCTCATCACAGGACGCAACTTCCTTCCGCCTCTTCTTTTTCTCCCTGACTTGATGGTGTGCTTCTTCCAGCTCCTTTTTCCGTCGCTTGGCAACTGTGTGCAGCTGCTCAGCTTCAGGCCCTTTGGCTGAGGCTTGCTCCTTGCTCGCGTCAATATAAATGATGTCGACATCCTTTCGAACATTCTTCAGGGTGTCCTTAATGTTTTCTTTATCCACTACGACATACACGACGCCTGCGTCGCCCTGCACCCCCAAAGCCCTCTTCTTTTTCCTCTTTTTGGCTGTAGGAGAGGCCTCTTTGGTCTCATCACCGAGTTCTGATTTTTCTAAAGGAGAAGTGAGAAACTGGTGATCTTTTCTCTTGTTTTTACTCTTTGTTTTGTGAGACAGTTCACTTTCCAAGGGGGAGTCTCTGAAATTCTCATGGGCCCACATCCGATGTCTTTCCTTCTCTACAGAATACTTTTTCTTTTTCTTGTCAAAAACTGGAGTGTGGATTTCCAATCTGCTCAATTTGCCTTCCATTTTATTCCTAGAGGGAAATCTGACAATAGTTTATTTTGCAAAGCATTTTAAACATCAGCCTCCAGAGGAAAAAAATCGTAAGAAAACAAAGTTATATGACAAATGGCCGGCTGGAGTCATGCATATACATTGCACACTATTCTAAGTGTGGGGGGGGCGGGGGCGGGCGGCTCACAGTAACTGCTCGGCCTGCTCCCACTGCCCAGAAACAAGGAGACACAGAGCCTGTGCCGCCAGCCCCTACCCCTACAGCTTCACCTTTACCTCTCCTCCCAACTCTGGGCTCCAGCCACACACTTGGGGGACCTTTTCTGGTCCCCCAAACGTGCCACCTCCCTGGTTCAAGGTCTACCAGCATCAGACTCCTTGCACCCAGGACATTCCCGGCTGCCTCCTTCTCTCCTTCAGAGTGTGGCAGGAATATCACTGCCTCAAGAAAGCTCCCCCTGGTGAAAAGAATGTACCCATTATGATACCATGTATATAAAGTGTAAAGTCTGCAAACACTTTAATGTGTCTTTTCTCAGTGGATACATACTAGGAAAACTGTGAACATGGCATGGGAATTATAACTGGCTGGCCAACTTGGGGATGGGGGATGCGCCTAGAGCCGGTTTCTTTTATATCTGTGATCTTTTATTTCTTAATTGGGATAAGGAGGACAGGGGCATTCTATTTTTATCTACACTCATTTGAATGCCCAAAATAAAAAGCAAGGGGCAGAACCAGGGTATAGATTGCTTCCTTTTGTTTTTAAAAACAAGCAATTCAAGGCTATAACTATCTAAGTATTTCCCAAAAAAAGCAAAGGAAAGAAAGACTTCCCTGATCCCTCGGGCTTAGTGCATCCCCCAATGCTGTGCTGATTTCCTAGCAAACTGTGCTTCACCTTTGTAGCATTCAGTCCAACTGCAGTTTAAAAAATAGTCATTTCCACGCTGGCTGGTATAGCTCAGTGGATTGAGCACGGCCCCGGGAACCAAAAGATCATAGTTCGATTCCCCGTCAGGGCACATGCCTGGATTGCAGGCCAGTTCCCAGCAGGGGCCAGTTTCCAGCAGAGGATGCATGAGAAGCAACCATACATTGATATCTCTCTCCCTCTCCTTCCCTTCTAAAGATAAATAAATAAAGCTTTAAAAAAATAGTCATTTCATTATCCTCTGCTAAAAAAAAAAGGGAAATTTCAAGGAGGAGGGCGGTTTGCCTGTGTTTCCACCATTGAGAAGCCACCCCGGACTCTGTGTCACATCAGCGTGCAGGACCTGCCAGCACCTTCACCGCAGGGACAGCAGGGACTTGAACACTGACCTCGGTCCGAAGGTCACCTCTGTGAGAAAGAGACTGGACGGGCCTTGTTAACGTCCGACAGAGCATCTAAACTCTGCAGTAAGCTGGGATGAAATTTAATAAGGCACCAATGTCAATACTCACGGAGAGCACATGCATTCTGAAGTTGAAGTACACTGATGGAAATGAACTTGACAAAAGAGATGGTTGAAGGTTCGCTCTTACAAATACGCCTGTGACTCTCCTTTCTCTGCGTTCCTTCTGTGTTTCAACTTTTGGGATTTTATTTCTTTCGACTAGTTAGTGCACTTACGGGGCTCAATCAGCATCACCTGGCCCTACCTCTCCCCGTACACAGAAGGCGGCATCGACACATTCTGGTCTGCATCCTGCTGTTTGTCACATAACGGTGGATCCTGGAGATCCCCCCGTACCAGTGCCCCTTCAGGTCTGAGCGGTCAGCCCATTCTCTAGAGGGGCACTGAACTCCTCCTGGGCAGTGAAGACACTACGTGGCGGAGGGGAGGGGCTGCACATGGACATGCGGACTTGCACAATCAGCCCAGACCCCCAGCCTCAGGGTCTCCCCCGTCAGTGGAGGGGCCCAGAGCGCGGGCTGAGGCCTTCCTCTCCGCTGCCACACAGAGACAACGGAAACTCACCTGTGGCCTCTGAGGTCTCAGCTGCCGGCAGGGTGAGTGTCGAGAGCTAACTCCCTGTTCGGGGAGGGGGTTTATCTGCCTCACCCGGGGACTGGAAAAGGAGCTGGCAGTGGTGAGTCTGCAGGGCACTTTATTACTCCTGGGGCATTATTCTCCATATGAACAACTGTAACCCTACTTTGGCCCACCCTTCTAAGCTACTGTAGCCGGGCAGCTAGCAGAGTGCCTGGCTTGTAGGAGGAGCTCAATAAATACCTATTTTGGAATGAATGAATGCTTCTCTTCAGGTACCCTGGAGAAAACTCACAACTGGGCGGACGAGCACCATCTATCTGGGACCAGCACGCTGCCCAGCCATCAAACTGTGTCCATCTAGATCTGCACTGCAATGTGGGAGCCACCAGCCCCGAGAGGCCGCCGAGTACCCGAAGTGTGGCCGGGCCACACTGTGCTCAAAGTGTGACATACACTTTGAGACTCCCCAGACTTAGAACAAAGACACTAAAATGTCTCAGTCATAGTTCTTGCATGTTACTTTCCTGTTGAAATAGCAATTTGAATATTGTTTGGTAAAATACATTCCTAATTCCACTTTTTCATGCTTTTTAATATTGCTACTAGCCACAATATTAAATTATGTATGTAGCTTGAATGCTATTTTTGGGGGCAGCCCTGCTTGAGACAACTCACTTGCCCACTCTTTTTAAAATAATTATATCAAATCTCCCCGACTCTCAGCAGACTTCTAAGTTCCAGTCTTCCCTCTCACTCGCAGCCAACTGACTTGCCCGTGACCTCCCTCACACGCACACACACTAGACAGGTTATTTCCCTCCGAATGCAACATGCCTGCGTGCACCTGTCCCCTTTCTTCCCCTCTTGCTGCAACAAAGGAGGGGATTCTCTTGCCAAAGGCCATCTGCCCATGCGTGCTGGAGGCCAGCCTCTCAGAGACCAGATCCAACAGGAGACCCCACCTCGGGTCTCTAGCCTCTTCCTCTGCACAGGCCCCCTTCTAGCAGCACTCCCTCAATCTCTACACTCTTCTGAATGAAGCAAAGCGAAACAACACGGATGCAGCCGTTCTCGAACTCTAAAGTCCCATCCAGCGTTTCTTTCCTCCTCTACACAGCAAACTCTTGAGACAAGCTGCCCTCTCTACTTCCTTGCAGTCCATCCATTTCTCAGCCCACAGGTCACTTCCACCCTCATTACTGCCCAGAGTCTGCTCCAGGGGCGGTGCCTGTGACCGTCAGCCCTTCATTGACTTTCCTGGTCCTTTCAGGACCTCTTCGTAACAATAAACAGACGATTCCATCAAATATCTGTTATACCCAGCTAGGAAAATTACAGCTAGGGCATTACCCAACCCTAAATCTGCAGTTCCTGGAACAGGGTAATGAACAAACATCAGGGAACAATTGGGTTTAAAATTCTAGCCAAATAAGGTAACTAACCTGGGCCACCAGAAAGTGCCCGCCAGCAGCAGCACCCACCAATCAGGGACCCTCGCCGTTTTTAAATAAGCCAATAGCTAACCACCACCTCTGCTTCTGTATGCCTTTGCTTGCTTGCTAGAAAATATAAATACCCAGTAGTCTGTAAGCCAGGCGCGACTTCCATTTTGTAGCTCTGAGTAGCTACGTGACTCCGGTCACAGTTGGGGAAGTTCGCCCCTGCGCAGGAAAATCTTTGGCCATTAAAATTTTTATCAATTCGGTTCCGGACTCCGAGAGTGTGTATTTACCCACCGATCGTCTACAACATATCCTACTTCCCATCCGTTTCTTTCTTTTTAAAAATACCTATCTCCTTCTGGTTTCTTGAGTTCAACACAAACTTTTAAATACGTGGTCACTTCCCACTATAATCATTTCATGGTTTCTCCATTATTCTCAAGATAACATTCCCAAACTGCAGACCTACCATGCCCTTCACCATGGGTCTGGTCCACGCCTGCCTCTCCAGCTCTCCTTCTCTCCGGGGTCCAGACGCCCTGCCTTCAGGTTCTCGAACACACCGCACTCCTTTTCCTGCTCAGGGACTTTGAAAAAGCAGCTCACGCCCGCAGCAGTGCACTTCCTCCGTGTTACCTTTCTGACCTGCGTACTGGTTTAAATTTGAAAGTCACATCAAGAAAGCCTCTCTGATCGCCTCCCCGGGTCCCCTCTGCCTGGTATGCAGCGTTTCCCAACAATCCAGCTGCTTCCCTACTGCACGTGGCTCAGCTGTGCCATGATCGGCCCCCTAAGGGCTGCGATTCTGGCTCCCAGATAGTTCTATGCCTTTGGAATGAATTGAATATGCACTTATCCCCGCTTCTGAGGAACAACCGTGCCAAGCCTGGCCCCGGATTCTGCACCACTTGGGGGGCGCCAAAGGGGCTCAGCTGCGCTCTGGGGTGGGCGTTCCGGGGCCGGGAGGGGAGGAAGGGAGGAACTACCGCGAAGGCCGCTTCTCCGTCCCCTTCGGCGCAAAGACGCGACCTCGGTCCCGGTGCGGAGGGGACTAGGGACTGGAGCGGCGGCCAAGCAAACGGCGCCACCCTCATCCGTGAAAACCGCAGGCCAGAGGCGCGTCTTCCGGAGAAAGAAGACCATAACCGCCACCGCTCCATTTATATAAGCGCAGCTAAAAAAAACACCTGGAACAAGAAAACGCCGCTTTCGACCTACCGTCCGAAGGCGTCACCACCTTTCCTACACTCCGGAAATTCTGCTGCTGCAAAAGCGGAAGTACTTTGCGTCACTTCCGACCCCTCCCCCCGCACCCCGCAGCCTTGGTAACGGGCCTCCAGCTGGGACGGGGACTGCTACGTGGTTTCCGCCCATTTCGATCCTGGGGTGGTTGGGGGTGGAGGGGATCAGAGCGGGATCCTAAAACGAAGAAAGTGGGACCGAATTCCACGGACTCGCTAATTCGTTCATGCACCCCATTTCTTCAACAAGTTTTGCTAAGCCCCGTTCTCCGTTCAAGAGTGAAGAAGAAGATGAGGGCCCTAACCTGAGGAAGACCGGCAAACAAATCCACCAAGACCTCCTCGGATTATGCTATAAGGAAAATGCAACAGAGCCACGTGGCGGACAGGGAGCGCTACTTGAGACGGAAGTGAAGGCTGGGTTCTAAACGGAATGGTGCGCCCACATGTGGACGGAAGAGCGTTCCAAGCTGGAAGCAAATACAAGGGCCCTGCCCTTGGCTGGTGCAGGAGCTGAAAGAAGGCCAGGGCAGCTGGGACCCAGTGAATGGAGGGCAGCATGGCAGGCGGTGACGTCAGCGGCAGGCCGGGAGTAGCTGGCGCGGGGTAGATGCGCAGGCAGCTGAAAACAGCCTGTGAGATCTTCCAGTCCTCCCATTTCAACCTAGTCCTGAAGAGACTTAGCTGTGATTAGAAGTAAAACTTTAACCAGGCCTTCCTGTTGGAGAGCGGAGGGGGACCAAAAAACCCGGAATTTTATTTCTGAAAAGTTGTGTGTTTATTCTTGCATGTTTAAACTTCAGTCACCTCCAAAGTACTCTCCACCTGACACACTACACCTATTGAGATGTTTTTGCCACTGCTCAGAACACCCTTTTAGTGCTTCCGTCATTTTTTGTTTCACCTCTTTCACATCAGCAAAATGTTTCCCTCTGAGAAACTTTTTCATATAAAGAAACAAAAAAAGTCATCCAGGAGGGTGGGGCACGGGGGTCATGCCATTTTGGGTCAAAAACAGCTGAACACTCAGTGCAGAGGTGTGGGCAGGTGCATTGGTAAAATCACTCATGGAATGGGCCAACACACTTAGTCTTCAAAAAAAGTCACTGAAGCCGGATGCAGCCTCTCACAACAATGCCAGCTAGTAATATACTGATACAGTATGGGTTCCTAGAACGCTCACCTAGTTGGGGAAGCTTATACCACGAGGGGCTTAATGTAACTTGCCCGAGGGGAGTTGAGTCATGTGGCCCAGCCAGGAGTCGCGCCTGTGCTCCATGTCTCTACTCGCCTGCCTCTCACTGCACCACCTGACTTCTGACTGCAGCTGCCACACGGCTTTGATTGGAAAGTGCACAGCTTTCCTTGGCTGGTGTGGCTCAGGGGATTGAGCACCGGCCTGCAAACCAAAGAGTTGCTGGTTGAATTCCCAGTCAGGGCACATTCCTGGGTTGCAGGCCAGGTCCCCAGTAGGGGGTGTGCAAGAGGCAACCACACACTGATGTTTTTCTCCCTCTCTCTCCTCCCCCCTGTCTAAATAAATAAATCCATACATAAATAAAAAGGAAAGTGCACAACCTGCATTTCTGTGAAAGTTCAGAAGTGAAGCAGGCTGGAGAAACCGTAAGCATGCACCATACACACCCACGTGCCATCACCAGGGACTCCCTCAGGCCTTGGAGGGGCAGGTGGAAGTCTGCCAGGAGGGCCCTGGAGCTGGTGGTGCTGGTGTTGTCTGCTGTTGGTAGGTAAGGCTGTGAAGTGCAGGTTTGTCCTCGGTGCGGCTTGCTCTGTGGTGAGCTCCTTATCCTGAGCCTTGGGGATGGATATCTGAGCACTGAATGATGACAACAGTGGATAAATAAACCCAGGGAAGGGTAGAACCAGAAGGCACACTAGACATCCTGGAGGCTCGTGGATCCAGAAACACTGCACCATTCAGCTGGCACGTGTGACAAAGTGCAGATCCCCAAGTTCGAGTATGGACTGCATATCTGGCACTGTTACAGCGCCATGTTAAAAACCCGCGGGCGTGACGACGGCACTGTGGTTGTGTACGAGACTCTCCTGTTCCTTGGCAGATACCTACAGAAGCATTTTGGGTCAAATATGATACTGTCAGCAAATATTTTCAAAATGACTCCGTGACACACAGAAACTTATCTGGCGAATACTAAGGACCAGTGAAGCGGAGTAAAATCTACACGGGTTTTCATTGCCCTCTTCTTCCAACTCTTCTGCAGCTTTGAACGTTTTTCAAATAAACTCTGCAGGGAGGGAGGAGACATTTTAAAATGCAGACCCCCAGATACCATTTCCAGATATTCTGACTCAGCAAATCTGTGCGTGTCCGCGTCCCTTCCTTCTGCCGCACGCAGTGGGGCGCCATCGATCTTATTTAACTCCAGACTTTCCTCGCTGCCTGTTAGGCAGAGGAAAAAACTGAGGACCCAAGAGCGTGACTAATTCGAGACCAACCATTGGATTGGCGGGAACATCGGGTTTAAAGTAAGGGTTTTGCCCTGGCTGGTGTGGCTCAGTGGATCGAGGGCCTGCCTGGGAACCAAAGGGTCACCGGTTGGATTCTCAGTCCCGGCACAAGCCTGGGTTGCAGGCCAGGTCCCCCAGTGGGGAGGAGTAGGAGAGGCAACCAACTGATGTTTCTCTCTCTCTTTTTCTATCCCTTCCCCTGTCTAAAAACCTTAATTAAAGATAAATAAATAAAAATACAGTCGAGGGTTCCTGGTTCACTGTGAAACATTTGGCGCTCTGTGCCGAGGGAATCACGCGAGGATAAATGGGTGGGCGCGGGGGAGTGGAGTGGGGGTGGCCGCTGGGACGGTACTTTTGACTCGGAAGTCTAGACGGCCCTCCAGAATCCCGTAACTTTTTAACACAAATGGTGATTCTCAGGTTTTCTCATATCTATTTAAGAAATCTCCGAACTCGTCCACTTTAGTGGCCGCCAATCGTTTCCTAAAACAAACAAGGTCCACCTAGAACCGTTGGCGTCCCGTCGCCATGGAGACAGACCGTTCCATTTTTCCTCAAGGGGTGGTCTTGGTTTTCTCTGCTTTCCCCATCCGCAGCACGGTGCCCAGAAGATGCTCGGAGTGAACAGAGGGACCTATATGGACCGATAGGACTCCCTGAAACAAGGGTGCACCGGAGGTCGGCGCATCCCGTTCAGGAGCGAGACCGGCGTCCTGTGCCCACCCCGGGGTCCACGTAGTGGGGTTCCAAGCAGTCCGCGGCCAGGAGCTCCGAGCTGTACCCGCAGCCGGGAAGCGAGCCGCATCCAGACCCCAGGTCGACTCTCCGCGACCACCAAAATGCCAGAGGTCAAGGGCTCCCGCCAGGATCTCATGCCATGGAAGAAGAAGCAGCCGGTGCACCGCACCGTCAGCCAGATCTGCCCACCCCCACGACGGCCCCTGACCGTAGCAGACATCCGGCCGGGCATGCAGAACGAGAGGCTGGGGGTCGTGCGCGATTCCATGTTTCAGAACCCGCTCATTGTCAAGGTGAGCCGCCCACATGCCGCCACCATTTCGCGCTCGCCCCCTCACTGAGCACCCACGCGGCCCAGGGTGTCCACGAACCCAGCCCTGGCACCACGGCTGGGTCCCAGCGCCGCGCTGGCAGCTCCAGCGCTGGTCCAGAGACACCTGCACCCCCTTGCGGCCACGGGCGGGTGGCATCCTCTCTGAACCTCAGCTTCCTCATCCGCCAAGTGGGATGCTAACAACACTCATTAGAGGGAGTGATTGGGAAGATTGGTTGGGGTGGTCCCTGCGGGACCCCTGGGATGGCACCTGACACCCAGTGAGCCCGCAGTGTTGGTTGCCGCTGTTTTTGGGAGCGCGGCGATGTGCCCACAGGGTGACAGGTCAGACGCACCAGACTACATCCTCACCCACCCCCTGCCGGCCCCCCAGGGCGCCTCCCGCCTCCCCCCTTCCCCTTGCCCGCCGGGCTGCTACCACGCAGTGAGCGCACTCTCTCCTGGAAGCACCACTTCCCACGTTAATTTCCGCTGGATCAAACCTGATCCAGAGGCGCCACACGAAGGCAAAAGCATGAACCTGGGCCCTGGGAGGCCCGGCAGGCGCAAGTGAGGGAGCCAAGGTTTCCATCTAGATCGCGTCTCCGTTTATTGCACGTTCCCTCGTTTAATCTCGTTTCCGGACTGTTGGTCAGCCAGCAACCAACACTTTCCCAGGGCCCCAGGGAAAGTCAAAAGTCAAACTGAGACTTGGCTGCTGGGAAGCATGTCACGCCGCAATCTTGTCTCGCGCCACTGGAGGGCAGTGTGCTGTTAAAAATGCGCGCAGGTCCCTGCTGTCTGCCAGGCCGGAGGCAGGTGGCCACCGGGGTATGCCAGGTGCAGGTTGGAGCCTAGAGGTTCTTGCCGGCTGTTCGGTTTGTGGGGCACAGGGAACCTGGGTTTTCTCAGCATCATGCTAGATTTAGCTGAGTTACTTGGTTCCTGTGAAAACATGGACTCAATCCTCTGGCCTTCCCAAACTGCGCCCCTGGGCCTGCCTCTGCGGAAGCCGGCTTCTCTCCCACACCGTTCTCACGCCCTACTCCCCCTGCCCCTCCGGGGAAACAAGGTCCTGCCCTTATCTCCAGGTGCGGAGAGCCGCTCTCCACGGACAGATGGGACAGACAGATGGGGCTCACCAATTTGGGGTCCGGGGGAGAACTGAGTCCCCACCTCTGATCCACTGCTTCAGTATCAGGTCACTGCTCTCGCGGAGGCGGCTGTGGGTGGGCACCTTCTTCTTTCTCAAACGGAAACAGGGCCATTTTGGAGTCACTGTTCACCATGGTGAATTAATGGTGTGCAGTGCCCCCCCTTGAGCTATGTTGTGTGCTCACACACAACACATTAAGTATGTGCATATGCACACATGTCAGGCATATACGTACATTTACATATATGTCACACGTATGCATATAAGGCCTGTCCCCCAAAAGTTCAGCCATCGTTAATGTAACGAGAACGGTTGGCGTGACATCAGTGTAACCCGGAGCCGGGAGAGTGGCCCGGAATGCGCATGCGTGAACAGTGACGCCCTCGCTGTACTGGTCATTGGGGGCAGACCCCGTAGAGTAAGTGTATGTGCTGTGCAGCTGTCACACTCCAAATGACTGAGCGAGTAGAACTTCAAATCTGCATCAGATTTTGCGTGAAGCTTGAACATCCCTCCGTGGAAACTACTCGGGTGACTCAGGAGGCTTTCAGGGATGACGCAATGAGTGCAGTGCAAACGAAAGTCTGGCACAGACCCTTCAAAGGTGGCGAGAACCTGTTGAGAGTGGCCCAGGTCCTGGAAGGCCTGCGACAAGCAGAGCGCCGAGGGTGTTGGACGTACACGGGCTGCAGTCACCGGAGATCAGCGACTCTCGGTGCGAGAACCAGAAGCTGCTCTGGGGATTCTGGAAACTGCCGTGTCTGAGATTTTGATGCAGGGTCTTGGCATGAAACATGTCGTGGCAAAATTGGTTCCACGGCTTCTGCCACCAGAGCAGAAGGCACATCGTGCTGCAGTTGCTAGTGACTTGATTCAGACTGCTACCAGTGAGCCAGGTTTCCTCCGTCACAGCTGAAGTGGATGGAGGCATCACTGTCCTGCGTTCACCATTTCCCATGTCTTCCTCAGTAAACGTCTCCATTTCTCACAGTACGTGGCTGGATGCTTTCTGGACAGACCTCGTACATGTGTGCATGTCCGCTATACACAGATAAAATTTCTGGGGTTTCGGTAAAGTAAAATATGTAAGTAGAATTGCCTTTTTCTCCCCTTGCTTCCCTGCTCCATCTCAAGGACAACATTTGGCCTCTGGATGGCACTAGCTAAACAGCTTCCAGGACAAAGTCAGTCCCTGACGTGTGAGCCTGCAGTGAGGCTCTGCCGCTCCCTGACTGATGAGGAGGGGTTTGTCCTGAGGGCGTGAGACACAGAGCAGCACAGCCCCGGTGTGGGCGTCAGTCGGGGGGGCAGCCAGGGGCTGGAGGGCCTTTCCTTCTCCCTTCCTCCCCCGGCTCTTCTGGGCCACACACACTTCCCGTAGCAGCTACAATGGTGCCCACATTTCCACAGTCACGGCTGCCACGGACTTCCCACCAGAACCTGACCTGAGTGAAAGCTGCAGGGGCATGGAGAGGGAGGAGGACCCTGGACTGTCATATTTCCCAAACCCCCGTTTGCGAATGGGCACCTGAGGTGGCCTGCAGCGGGCTCTCTGCTCAAGGTTCTGGCGGAGCAAAGCCTGATTAGAAGCTACACTCCCCGGCCCTGCTCAGCACTATTTTTACCGTTCTGACAGCTTCCTATATTTAAAAACATTTTTTAATTGTAAAGAAACTTTGGGTTTTTCAGTTTTCAAGAAAAGGAGAAGAGCCCTGGCAGTTAGCTCAATTGGTTAGAGCATAGTCCAGTTACGCTAAGGTTGAGGGGGTCCAATGCCCAGTCGGGGCACATGCAGGAATCAGCCAATGAATGTATCAATAAGTGCAACAACAGATCAATTTCTCTCTCTCTCTCAAATCAATAAGCAAAATTCTTTTAAAAGGAAAAGACTGAAAGTATTCAAGATTATGGAAGCTTTTAAAAAATGTTTTAAAATTAATTTGGGAGAGTGAGAGAGAGACATCCATTTGTTGTTCCACTTATTTACGCGCTCACTGGTTGATTCTCATATGTGCCCTGACCAGGGGTCGGGCCTGCAACCCTGGGGTATCTGGGTGACGCTCTAACCAGCTGAGCTTCCCGGCCAGGGCTAAAGCATCTTTTAAAAAGTAATAGGTTTCTTAAATTGTTTTATGGCTTGGCCTGTGGGTTTCTTCATTGTGCTACGTCGGTTTTGAGTATGTTTCGGTTTGGGCTAAGTCTGAACCTGCAGGTCGAGTTTCTGTTGGAAGAATAAAATGCCTCAGAAGTAGTTCCTCATTCCACCCTGCCTGGGGCTGCTGCCGGGGGCTGCTGCTGGGCTGCCCCCACCGGCGGCAGGATCAGGACTTTTCCCGTTTACAGCGCAGGCCGGCCGCCCGCACAGAGCCAGCCCCGCTCTCTCACAGCCGCGGGGTTTACCGGGACAAGCACACACCAGTTATTTGGGAGTAGGTCTGCGAGATGCTACAGTAACTGAGCGAAAAGTGGGAAACTCAGATATCCGAGCCGGCGTTTCATCAGCAAATGCTCCACAAATATCCGCCTCGTTTAAAACCAAGCCGGCAGGTGATCAGCGAGACTCCTCGAATCAGGCAGGTGTTTATGCGGTCACAAAGAGATGGAAATACATTCTGTTAGAAAGATCTTCTACCCAACTGTATAAAGTGGTGGGCTGTTAGCTGTTTCCCCTCAAATGTGACTCTCTGGGAAGAATAAAATTAAATAGAAAAACAACCAAGCTTCCCCTGCTGGATGCTCATTTCCCCGGAATGCGTGACTCGACACAGGGCCCACCACGACGGGCTTCCAGGCTCCCCCACACAGCCCGTTGGGCGCGCTCTCCTGCCGGCGGGACTCGGCTGGCACCCCACCAGCGCAGTTACGGGGAGAGGCTGCTCAGTCTGCTGCACCGGCAGCCTCAAATCTGCTGTCGCCCGAGAGGCGGGCGGCAGGTGTGTACGGGGTGGAGTTTACGGAATCGAGCCCCCTCAGGAAGCACAAACGACTGTGGCACCCGACTTTTTAATAATTTATTACTGGTTTTGTGTTACTGTGGGGCTTGTGTCGCAAAGAACAAGCGCATGCATTTGGAAAATAGAGTCGCAGCATCACATCACGAACAGAGGGCTGCACACACCTGGTCCGGTTCTGTTTCTGAGGAGAGTGAGGCCCAGAGTGACAGAGACTCATCCAAGGAGCCACTCGGAACCAGTCGCAGAAGTGGGATGAGGTTCACGTCCCCGACTTCCGGCCACGGTGGCCCGCGGTGGCCCAGAGGGAGCCCGTGCACCACTCAGCAGGCCGTGGAACCGCCTACCCCCGAGTCTGACTCCCCAGTCACCTCCCTCGGCGTCCTTCCTGAGCGCGCTCTCCTAATGTCTCCGGACTTGTGGGCAGCTAAGAAATATTTATTGAGGGTTTACTAAGCGCCCCCCACCGTCCTCAGCTTCCTTGGGGGCACAGAAACAACTCCAGAACTCAGCCTTTCCCCACAGGAGTTAACCATGTAGCTGGGGGCGGGCGGAGTATTTACATGTCACACTGTGTGCACATGTATGTTGCACACGTATGTTGCACATGTATGTTGCACGTGTGTGCCGCTTGGCGCAGCACTACCCCGAAGAAAGCTCTCGGAAAGGTTGTCTGATTTTTGTGCGCACGCATGGGGCACCCCTGCAAGTTTCAGACCAGCTGCACGACCCAGAAGGGCTGAGATCTCGGGGAGGAAGCCCCCAGCAGGACTCGGGGGCTTCGCAAGGACACAGGCCTAGAGCTGGACCTTGAAGGGTGAAGCGGGAAAAGCAGGTGAGCGGGGAACTGAGGAAAACTCGGCCCTCGGGGCC